GATTAACTTGTTTACTAGTTTATGCTCATTGCACGCATACGCGCTCGTCTTGGGCGTCCCTTCCCAACTCTGCCGTTCACTTCTGCAACATAAATTTGTTTTGTCATTCTTTCCTCGTTCTTTCTTTCTACATGACCAAACCACCGAAGCATTGATTTCTTAATCTTGGTCACAACGTCATTTTGCAAACCACACTATTCTCTTATCACACACTTTCTTACCCTGTCAATCAGATTCATCCCTAGCATACTCCTTAATACCTAAGTTTAATATTTTAATGAAAGAATTTAAGTAAAGAATTTATATACATTTTTTATCAAGTATTGTTGTATATAATAAAGCGTGATCATTGATTATAACGTTGCGGTCGCGTGGTCAGTGCAATAAATATAAAGAAAACGTTGCACTGGCATTGACCCCATACCGTTATGCATATAGTCTAGGGATGGAGATGAAAAACATCGATGTTTTATTCGATGTAACATATGGTATTGTTAAATAAATGTTTGGAAAAAACATCGATTGTGTAGGCAGTCATAAATGTTAGTTATTTTTAAAGTTTTTAATCTATAACAAATAAATACATTTGAGCCTGTAATATAGAAATAATTGCCTTTTATTGAGTTGAGGGAGCTATTGTCATGCGATTAAGACATCAATAACCATTTTCAAATATTTTATTTGTCTTTCCGGGATAATATTTGGTATGGCTGAACCGATCGTAATGAAACCTTACGAATAGATAGAGAGTGATGCCAGGAATGATCGCAATTAGTTTGTGAATTTAGTTTATAATATACGATATTAAATACAAAAACTAAGCAATATAGAACGAGTAGGTGTAGATTAGGTTACATGACTCACAGCATTGAACGTTGATAGATAAAAATGAAGCAATACTACCGTAGACAAGAATTTAATGCTCGATATGACTCGACGCATTGTTATTTGAGCTAAGTTATTATTAATTAAACGAATGCATGGTTTAGCCAAATATTGCTGTTGATTGGGGATTATTCAATGTATTAAAACATACATACAACGTTTTAAAAATGTTTTTTGTAATACAAATGTCCACCTGATGTTAAGTGAATGCTGTGGCCTATAGACATCTAAATCTATACTGAATTAAGAATCAAAATGCAGATGCGTTGTCACACCTGAGGACTAAGATGTAATGCCTCGTTTCCAGTAAAACAGTCTCCGGTTCCCTAAACTCACCATACGAAACACAACAGCATTAAGTTGTTATCTTACGCTGGTATTCTGTGAGAGCGTGGAAATACCCCGGTCGAGTCGACCCATTCATGCTACAACCATAATATAGCTGCAGCGTGGCTCCAAGTAAAAAAGCATCAATGATTCATCGAATCACTAATACTCGTACATCGTCCATACATCGGTATTGTTTCGATGCATCAATGTATCTCGTCCACCACTATTATAGTCCGTCGCACACCGTTGCTTGCTGTTGTGTTGTGTTAATAAATCTGCGGTGTGCGTTATTCTGAACTCGAATTAACGCGATACAACTTAATTATTTTACTTACATAAATTTCACAAAGACAAACATCCAGTCCCGGAACAATTACTTGTTCCGTGCGGGATTTGAACCTGCGGCCCTCAGCGCTGCAACTCACTGCGGCTCGGAGCCGTCGAAATTATCCGACTAGTGTTGAGCAGGCAGTTTACCGATTTCATGAGGACAGGTTATATTAATTAGGGTCGTACCACCTAGAGACGACAGATGACAGATGAGCCATAACGAGTATTTGATAGATCCAAATAAGTGAATGATATTAGAACAATTAGGAATTTGTTATAATTAATAGTATTAGTGGTAGCGATCACCGAATGGTTAGAGGCACATTGAACCTAAACGTTAAGTTGGAGAGGTCTCGTCTAATGAAGTCAACGCTCCGTCCCCCTCGTGCTCTGTTCCAAAGTCCCGAAACCTTTCAGCTCGAGTTACAAAACCGTTTTCAGTGCCTAGAAGACTGCAATGAAGTGGACGATATGAATGACAAGCTCGTGGAAACTGTCCATGCGGTCGGAGCTAAGTTCTGCAAGACCCGCCGCAGAAGAACACAAAAACTCTCCGATCACACTCTTAATCTCATGGCTGTTAGACGGGAGATGAAGCTACATTCTTCAACAGATTTGACAGCATACAGGCAATTGAACAGACAGATCTCCAAATGCATGCGGCGGGACTTACGCAACTTCAATACAGCTTGTAATGAAGAAGCGATCGAGCGGAACCAAGGCTCCAAAGTCTTTGCCAGAGATCTGTGTGCCAGAAAGAGCCAACTGTCAAAGCTAATGTCTGCTGAAGTCATTACGAATCGTCTCGCCCGCATACTTGACGACTTCCAGTCTCCCGAACAAACCGGTTTCCGAAAGGGCTTTAGCACCATAGACCACATACATAAAAAATTGTACAGAAGTCCGCAGAGTACAATTTGCCACTATGTCTGGCGTATGTGGACTATGAGAAAGCCTTTGATTCCGTCGAAATTTGGGCGTTGCTGCAGTCCTTTCAGCGGTGCCAAGTTGACTGTCGGTATATCGAAGTGCTGAAGTTTTTGTATAGTAGAGCTACGATGGCTATCCGAGTACAGAACCAGAGTACGAAACCTATGCAATTGCAGAGATGTATAAGACAGGGTGATGTTATATCCCCGAAGCTCTTCACCGCTGCAGGAAGTCGATGGATGCATGTGGCTCAGGACCGTGCTTTGTGGCATTCCTTGGGAGAGGCCTATGTTCAGCAGTGGACTTATGAAAGGCTGTAATGATGATGATGATGAATAGTATTAAATATTTTTATATTACTACTAGCGATCTGCCCCGGCTTCGCACCGGTGATTTCTTGATCTCGACAACAGTTCCACCTACCGGGTCTAATTGTAAATCTAATCCATCGAGGGACCCACTCAAATGCACACAAAAAATTCATTAGAATCGGTCCAGGCGTTTTCGAGTTTTAGAGAGACTAACGGACATCAATTGATTTTTATACAAAGGGATAATAGCGTACCACGCTATAAGCTTATCGTTGAGCTCTATTGTAGTACCACAGATAAGTGGTGCCATAGTTTAAAGAGCTCTAAAATGTGGTTGTATCATAAAGCCCGGGATATTTTTATCGAGTTAGGGTGACAAACTCACACAGTCCACCTTAAAGTAAGTGGATGCTTGCCCATAGACATCTACATCTATCCTCGATTAAGAATCGAAATGGAGACGCGTTGTCACCCCTGAAGACTAAGATGGAATGCCTCGTTTCCAGTATAATTTGAAAGTTAAAGAAGTGTCATCAGCAAATAATACTATATCATGGTTATCCCCTACTATGTAAGGTAAGTAATTAATGTATACAAGAAACAGAAAGGGGCCGAGAATTGAACCTTGAGGCACGCCCATATGTACCATCGGTTAAAAGTGATTTTATTATTTAACACACATTATTTACATGAATTAGTTATAAAGAAGGGAGGGAGGTGTGCCAGGATCATCTCAAATGAAAGTCCGTGGTCTCTGCCTACCTCTCTGGGTAACAGCAGGAGGGGTTTATGTATGTATGTAATATATGTTTATGCTTATGCTGTAAAGAATCGGGTTCGACGGTCTGCAGCAGTGAAGATTGATATTTGGACTTTCAAATTTCGAACACACTAACACATCCAAATGCGAAATTAAAAATAGATAAGGAAAAAATAAAGATTTCATTTCATTTCATTTCTGTAAATATCTTCACTGGTAATCTCACCGCGGTCGTCAACTACTTCACGCTTATTACGACGTAGTGTCGATGACCCGGGCTCAGGCCGCCTACACTACAGTTGAACATTACTGACCCCAGCATATTACACATATACATTGGGACGACAATGAAATATATATGTGTGGTATAATGAGCCGTGTAGCTCAAGAAGAAGTTAAATTGTTGGTTGAAATTTAAATGCACAGGAATTGCAAGACTTAACTCCACTCTCAAGAGTGAATAGGCTTTTGTTAAGCTAAGTTAGTACCAATTACTATATACATATATATAACTGAAAAACGGTTGACCTTGCAGGCCATCCCTGGATCTTCCCGCTTATTTTCAAACGCAACGCTCGAAAATATATATTATTTTTAATTCTTATTAAAAGTTATTTATCTGCCCACTTTTGAAAATTATTAATTTTCAAAAAGAGAACCACGTGCTCGGCCGTGAAGGATAACACCATGAGTTGCCTGTATGGCTGAGGAATAGGATATGTTTCGAAGACATGCGAAGTCCACCATCTATTTGTACGTGGTAGAGCCATGCTGTAGCTATATTAATATTATAGTTGTAGCACGAATGGGTCGGCTCGACCGGGGAGGGACCACCACATACCAACGTAAAATAGCAGCTTAATACTGCTGTGTTTCGTATGGTGAGTGTGTGTAGAACCGGAGACCCATTTTTACTGGAAGTGAGGCATTCCATCTTAGTGCTCACGGGTGACAACGCATCTGTATTTTGATTCGTAATCGAGGATAGGAGTAGATGTCTATGGGCTGCAGCAACCACTTATCATCAGGCGGACTGTGTGCTCGTTTGTCACCCCTATACTATAAAAAAAAACTATTCGTTAGCGCTGTTGTCGAGATCCAGAAATCACCCGTGCGGAGCCGGGGCCGATCGTTAGTATAATACAAAAGGAAAAAAAGTATAGTTTCATCCCATTTAGGTCCTAGTGCCCCAGATAGGCTCTCAGAAATGATTTCTAAAAGGGCCTTACGGTAACTTTCCTTTCACTAGTATCCGCACAACCCTATATTATACTCCTTTATCTATAATTAGGAAATCTCAAATAGTTGTACCAGCATTTGCACGCACTAAACTAAACGGCACTAAACGAAATTCAACCTAAAACTCAAGTGATATTAGTGTTTAACCAAAGATCGAACCAAATAAAACAATAACGAGCTGTGGGAAGTTGCTGGAGTGGTCCATGTCTTGAAAAATGCAGAGGCAGCTCAGCAATGTCAGTTTCCACTCCTACCAGGACTACCAGCCAACGAGACGATTCGGTAACCCTTGTTTCTAAGCTTGTTTTTTCTTCTTAATTAATTATCTGTAGCAGTCTGACGTCATGCATCGGAAAACACGTGAAGCTGTTGTCCTGCGCCTGATCTCACTTCGATGGTGTCGGATCGTCGTCCCATCGGACTATGTGAGTGAGGGCATAGAGAGTGCACCTACGCCTGCGAACACACTCTTGCACTATTGACCATTGACACTTGACCGAAGATAGCCCTTTTGATGGATGTCTGTTTGAGGACCGCGTAGAGGCGATGTAAGAATATCTACTACTCCATTTCGTCCCATGGATTTCGTAGGTAACAAAAGGAAATCAAAAAACGGATGGTTGTGTAGCGAAATGTTAAAGTTTTTTTTTATTAAGTAAGAACCTGTAATTGGCAGTAGAAAATGTAAATATTAACTAAATTTATAATGTTATATATTGCCAAACCGCCTGCCAAGCGTGGCAACTATGCAAATGTTCAGTAGAGTGGTCTTTGATAGACAGTAAGGGTAACGTTGTTGGGTCACTTTGTGGGCTACGGCCCGACTGGTCGTTTAAATCTAGTAACTATATCTTTTTTTTTGCTACTGTAATCTCACCCGTCATTTTAAAAGTAACAAACGAGCACACAGTCCACCTGATGGTAAACGGATACTGTCTCCCATATTTTATGAGAGCGTGGTCCTACCCCAGTCGAGCCAACCCAGCCTGGCTCTACCACATTGAAAATCTATCTAGTATTATCCATAGTTACCTCCTACGGCACCCACGAGACTAAATGTGGTGATGGGTTCTCGCACGCCGCCACCCATGAGACTCCTATCTATCTACTAGGTGGGCTCTGCGGGCTTAATACATTGCGCACTAAGTTACGGTCAATTCTCCGTAACTACTTTAGTCGATAGCGAGCGGGCGAGGAGACTAATTCTTTGTTTTGTAAATCGCGTACGTTGTTTTCGACAATCTAACACTGATTTCTTTTAATGTGACCAAGAAAACGCTGCCGTGCCTTCACCAGCTTGAACTAAGCCGGGTGTGTTTCACAGGGCCGCAGTATGAGCCGGGCGGATACGCGGCGGCAGTGCAGCAACGTTCCAACATGACTCAGCGCGATGACACGCTCAAGTTCGAGCAGGGCCGCATCAAGGCGCTGCAGGAGGAGAGACTACACATACAGAAGAAGACCTTCACGAAATGGGTCAACTCGTTCCTGCAGAAGGTGAGTCGGTGGTCTCTTATTTCGAATGCTTGTAACCTAGTGACGAGATATGGAGTATGGAGAGTGGAAAGATAGATAAAAAAAACTCTTTGTTCTAGTCTTTATTATTATAGAAGTCTGTCAACAGGATAGTCCAAACCATTACATCAGATTTGATAGACGACAAATTCTCGCAAAACAATACCAAATTCTGCCAAAGATGATTCGCACGGCTATTGAAATCAGAAAAAAATCATTTCAATACAGGAAATGGCGGGGTGCTACCATCTGCTTGTGATCCTATAATTAATAAAATTTTACTATTTTTTTTTTTAATTTCCATATTTCGTTTTGAAGTGAAATCTTCTATAGAATCGTTATGATTTGAAACTCGATTAAAGGAAAAAGCGAAGCTAAAAAGATACAAACATATACATCTATAGATTTAAGACTGTGAGCGAATGAGATAGAATACAGTGTGAACTGAAAACTCAAAATATTAATTGCGCAATGTCCATATAAATATTAACTATACAAATTATTCTCCGTGCGCGTAATACGCTTAAAAAGAGGTGCAAAGTTTTCCCTTTACGTATCAATTTAAAGGTGACACAGCACTAAACCGTCGAGTACTTTCACGGCTTTGTTGACAATCTGACTTCAGTGAATTCCATTTGTACCACTAGCGTTATTATTTACACTAGCTGATAGGTACCCGCCCGCTTTGCTGGGCGCACGATAATATTTTATTGCGGAACCTAGATGTAAAATATAAATTTTTGTTTGATGGGTCTATCGTAAAATCCGTTCTTAGTGAGCGTCTACATTGCGAAGTGAGTAACCAATCAGGTGTATCATTTTGGAGATATCGTGATGAGTCAGTCAGTCAGTGGTATTTCGCTTATATATATATCTTTATATATAAAAATTACGTGTCACATTGTTTGTCCGCGATGAACTCCTAAACTGCCGATGATATAGTCCTTATGGCAGAATCGCTGAAGGACCTAAGCACTATGCTCAATGACCTCAATAGTGTCTCCCAACGAATAGGTCTTAAGATGAACATGGACAAAACAAAAATCATGTTTAACGTCCATGTCACACCTATGCCGGTAGTTGTTGGGAGCACTAAGCTCGAAGTTGTTGACGAGTATGTTTACCTGGGACAAATAGTCTGACTAGGTAAGTCCAACTTCGAACGAAAGGTCAATCGACGGATTCAACTCGGCTGGGCAACGTTCGGGAAACTACGACACATCTTCTCGTTAGACATATCTCAAAACCTTAAAACGAATTACGGATCTGAGACGTGGTCGTTCACTGCTGGCCGGATGAGGAAACTCAAGGTCGCTCAGCGAGCTATAGAGCTATAGAGAGGGCTATGCTGGGGGTTTCTCCGCGTGATAAACTTAGAAAAGAGGATATTCGCAGTAGAACCAGAGTAACCGACATAGCCCAACGGATTAGTAAGCTGAAGTGGCAGTGGGCCGGCCATATAGCTCGAAGAACCGACAACCGATGGGGAAGAAAGGTTCTCGAGTGGCAGTCTCGTACTGGTAGGCGAAGTGTAGGGTGACCCCCCACGAGATGGTGTGACGACCTGGTGAGACATGCAGGAAGTCGATGGATGCAGGTGGCTCAGGACCGTGCTTTGTGACATTCCTTGGGAGAGGCCTATGTTCAGCAGTGGACTTGTGAAAGGCTGTAAAGATGATGAACTCCTAAACTACTAAACTGATTACAATGAAATTTTGCACACTATGTGCAGATTGGTCCAACTTGAGAGATGGGATAGTTTTTATCCCTATAAGTGACCCTGAATATTTTTTATTACGAATTTAAGAATTTCTATGTTTCACACCTGCCTTGGAAAACACGTGAATTTATTGGTCCTGCGCGTAGTCTCTACGCTCGTGTCGGATTTCTGTCACATCGGACTATCACAGTGAGGTAATAGAGAACAGACTTGTGCTTGGGGCTACACTTGTCCACTATAATCCTGTTCAGCGCAGATGGCTAGCATTTGTCGAGACTAGCAGCCGCCGTGATCGAAAATCCGTCTGAAGGACTTATTATGGCTGCTGTTTTTGCTACATAATGATAAATAATGAATTAAAAATATGAACATAATTGACTAAAATACAAAAATAGTTGTAATAAAGGTATTAAATTTGTGTTGAAACGTAGGATTATAACTCACATAATTAGCATATCAAATTGATTTGTATTTGAAAGTGAGACAAATAAAGATACCCCAATTAGTTGTTACGGTTAACGATTATCGTTAAATCAATCGAAATCAAAATGATACTTTATTATTAAAGTAATGCCGTGCAGTGGCGACGTGGGAGAATCCACTATCCCCTGTCATCCCGTGAATGTCGTAAGAGACGATAGAGGGAAACTAAAACAAGAGATGAGTAGCAGCATCTTGCTGATAACAACATAAAATAATTAAAAAAAACATGCGTGAGTGTCGTGGAACACTCGATTGGAACGGAGTTACTTTCGTAGTATAAGGTACGTGAGGGTAATATGGTCTTACCTTAAGATTTGTCGCCTTATAAAACCAAAACTAGTAGGAGAACAGAGACAAATACACAATGTCGTATACTATAACTAATATAGAAAAAAATAACAAACAAGCCTTGGCAATAATTAGCAACACTTCGAAAAATCAACTTAAAAAAACTAACTATAGTACGTAAGGGTAATATGGTCATCCGGTTAATATGGTTACTTTCTTATAACTCAAAAACTACAGCGTCGTTTGCATAGAACGCTCAGTGATACGATAGTTCTTGATCAGTCTTCTATCTAATAATAAAGGATCAAAAAGGCACTCCTTTATCGACGCCATTTTGACAGGTGATATTATTGTAAATAATTTAGTCGATTTTTGTATTGTGTAGTGTAGTTAGTTTTTTTAAGTAGATTTTTCGAAGTGTTCCTAATTATTTCCAAAGCTTGTTAGCTATTTTTTTCTTAATATATTACGAGTGGTTATAGTAATAGACTATATGTTTTTGTTTCTGTTCTTCTCCAAATTTTGGTTTTATAGGGCGATAAAGCTTAAGGTAAACATATTACCCTCACGTACTTACTATAATATCAACTGTCAAAATGGCGTCGATAAAGTGGCGGCCTTTGACCCTTTATTATTTGAATGACTGATGAAAAGCTATCGTATCACAAAGCCGCCTATGCAAATTAGGCTGTAGTTTTTGAGTTATAAGAAAGAAACCATATTAACCAGATGACCATATTACCCTCACGTACTCTATTATTGATAAACGTATTATATTATTGATTAACAAATACAAATAAATGAATTACTAGCGTCTATTAAAATGAAGCGTCATTTAAAATAATATTTCTTTCATGGCAAGATAAGAAAAAGTGCGAGGGAGATGAAGATTATTCCATGTTGCTCGCACTGTAGAAAGAGGGTCGTGACTCCGTGACGGAAAAATCTAACACTTTTCTCGCCTAGCCTAGAAATCCGTCAAATTCGTACCGTGCTTTAAGGAACTTCGTTCCAATACTTCTATTAAAAAAATCGGAATGTAAAGTTTCATTCATATACATATTTCAAAGTAAGCAATGGACGAGAAAACATCGGTCCAATGTGACCCACTTTCGCGTTCTTCGCGTCTATTAATTACGTCTGTCACTAGTGCGTAAAATACGTGTACCTAATGTATTAAGTTTTTGTTTTTATAGGATAGGGTGACAAACGAGCTTACAGTCCACCTGATGGTAAGTGGTTGCTGTGACCCATACACATCTACATCTATCCTCAATAAAGAATCAAAATGCAAATGCGTTGTCACCCGTGATCACTAAGATGGAATGCCCCTTTTCCAGTAAAAATGGTCGTATTTAGTACCATAAAGTAGTTCATTAGAGGGCCCTACCACACGTTTCTTGCTGTAACATGATTTTAAAGTCGACTGCTGGAGATGGGCTTCGTCGTTGTATAAAGGATTTCACTTAATTTTTGACGAGTTAGAGCCACAGATGAGGTGAGATACAGGTTTATCCTAGTTCAGGTAACTAATACTACAGACTATTTGTAGATTAAGCTCTTGTTTAAATTAATAGCACAGTTTATTAAAATAAAAGTTAAATAAATTATAAAATTAAAATAAAACTGTGTAAGTAGCAGAGCCATGCTGCAGCTATATTATAGTTCTAGCACGAAAGAGTCGGCTTGACTGAACTGACTGACAGCGCTCATTGAATCTCACATAGTATCTTGATGCTGTTGTGTTTCGTATGGTGAATGTAGAGAACCGGAGACCCTTTTTACTAGACACGAGGCATTCCATCTTAGTCCTCAAAGATGACAACGCATCAGCATTTTGATTCATAATCTAGCATAAATGTAGATGTCTATGGGCCACGGCATCTACTTACCATCAGGTGGACTGTGTGCTTGTTTGTCACCCAAATTCTATAAAAAGGAAGTAAGCACCTTTGTCACCGCTGCTCCACGCTGGTATTTTTAAGAGCCAGCCACACCTGCACGCTTTACATCTGTTTACTGACGAACGATGCGTTTGCGATCGTTTGATGATCTTTTTTTATAAAACTAAAGTAACTAACAAACAGACAATCCGCCTCGTTGTAAGTGGCTACTTTATTCCATGGGACATCTGCAGCCTGCAGTTATGTCCATGGGACATAAACAAGGCAGGCTATAGATGCATACGCCCTTGAAGACTAAAATGAAAATCCACACAGCGTTGTATAAATTATTTTTACGGACTTTATCGCGTTTAATTATACTTATTTTTAATTACCCACATTTCGGGTGCAACATTCATGGGCATGGGGGGACCGATGTGATTGACGTCCCGATGTCAAAGTCAACCGCGGCTACCAAAATGAAAAAATTGGAAATATAAAGAAAAACACTAACTGAACTTTATATACAAAAAGAAAAAATAAGTTTCGTTTAAATAATACGGAAATTATTCAGGATAATTTTCGCAATGTCGTTTGCGATCCGATGCTGGCGGTGTATAAGGTGCGGATAGGGTTGGCAATCCTGCTATCTATTATATTATGCTATTCTAATATTAAAATATTTTTTTTAATATAAACTGTGTAATTAGGGTAATAAAGAATACATGAATGACAACTACTCCTGCGAAAAAGGCAACTTTACCATGCTGTTTCCTATGTAACACTACATTGTAAATAGTTATAAATTATTATTTCGTAGCCTCGTACCGGTAAGCGAAGTGTGAGGCGACCCCCACTAGATGGCGTGTCAACCTGGTAAGACCTCCAGGAAGTCGATGGATGCAGGTGGCTCAGGACCGTGCTTCGTGACATACCTTGGGGGAGGCCTATGTTGAGCAGTGGACTTGTGAAGGGATATAATGATGATGACGATTGTTTGATAAAAGAACCACGCTGGTTCTTCTGGTTAAAATGACTTTAATTGTGTTAGATACTTGTAATCTATGTTAGATACAAATTATTATATTACACAATACAAAACTTATTTAAGAAAAAGCTTGGAAGCGACCACCTTATTCTCTTTATTATTTATCAACCATGTATTCATTTATATTATTATTGCGATTAAATTATGTATATTAAAATACATAGTAGATATAAAACAAAGTTGCCTCCCGCCGTCTGTACGCTTAAATCTTTTAAACTACGTAACGGATTTTGATGCAGTTTTCATCAATAGACAACAAGATTGATTCAAGTGGAAGGTATAATAAGAGGAATATACATATAATGTATAAATGTATAAATGCATATTATACATTATATAATTCTTCTGTCCCTGTGTATATGACTGAACTCTTCCTAAACTGCTGCACTGATTTTGATAAAATTTTGTGTGTGATTAAGTTGCTTAGAGAATATTTTAAATTCACAATTGGACCCGGTAGGTAGCGTTGTTGTTGAGATCCAAAAATCAACCGTGCGAAGCCGGGGCGGATTGCTAGTATTCAAATTTAAAAGCTGGTAACCCTGGCGGGTGACGTGATTTCATATTGTGTGGTCCGTAGTAAAGAGACGTCGATTGATCTAATAATTGATAAGATCGAGTAAAAGGTCGATTCGCATTTTAATTCAATTGAGATAATGTGATTCAATTGAATTGGGATAATATTATACAATTGATTTTCAATCCAGGTTTCAATCAAATTCACAGTTGAATTGTTTCACCACATCTGTAAATAACCCAATAACCTAAGAGAGTTATTATTATTATTATTCGTTATTAGTTATTATTTATTGGTTATTATTATTATTCGTTACTCGACGAAAACTTTTCTCTCCGTTTCCGTCGAGGGTTAAAAAAGGTTTCTTGGACACCTTCATACCAACACTCACCATACGAAACACAGTAGCATTAAGCTGCTATTTTACACTGGTATTCTGTGAGAGCGTAATTTTTCCCTTGTTGATTCAATTTGACCAAAATATATCGCCAATTTGGTAGATGTACTCGCGTCTAGGAAGTCTTTTACTGATAATAATACAGATGTATAATATATATTTATTTCCTCTACTGTTCCGCGCACCGGCACACGCGTGTTTTTGGCATCGATGCGCTAAATGCCATTGTGAACCAACTCACACAAAGCTAATTGAATTTGTCCGTCTGCAACAATGGCGTGGAGTTTTTATGTAGAGATCGTATTGAACGTCACACCAAGTTCGCTGGTGTTTACAAGTTTTGATCCTAGACAATATAAACATAAACATAGGTACATATATTATGGTTAACATACTAATGGAGAAGCACCACGGTCTCAAAGAATACCAGTGTTAAATAGCAGCTTAATGGTGCTGTGTTTCGTATGGTGATTATAGAGAACCAGAAACCCTTTTTGCGGGAAACGAGGTATTCCATCTTAGTCCTCAGGGTGACATCGTATCTGCATTTTGATTTAAAATTGAGGATAGATTTAGATGTCTATAGGCCACAACATTTATTTACCATCTGGTAGACTATGTGCTCGTTTGTCAACCTTATTTTATAATTATTTTTATTAAAGATAGGCCAAGTTAAAGTGTACCTTTCGGTGCGAAAGTTTAAGTACTTAAAATATCTGCAACCAATTTCAAACAAATAATACCATGAATGCGTTGACGCCCTTGAAGACTAAGATTACTTACCTCAGCTTGCGTATGCTATGAGAACATAGAAAAAGGTCGTAAGTTTTTTTTTTTAACTTAACTCCACTTGGATTTCAATTGTATCATGGAGGCAAACTGTCTACATACATAAATTTAACTAGGACAAACATCCAGAACCGGAACAATTATTTGTATGCCATACAAATACTTGTTTCGTGCGGTATTCGAAGCGGCGGCCCTTAGCGCTGCAACTAATTGCTAAGCCACGGAGCCGTCTATTTGTTATAAAGGTGAGGTTGTAAAATCGAAGTGTCATTTAAGATAAAATAATACTTCTTTGATTGCAAGATAAGAAAAGTGCGAGGGAGATGGATATTATTCCATCTCGCTTCCTTATAGCCGCCAAGGCCATCTATACTACGTAAGAAGGAGTCGTGACGTAAAAATCTTACACTTTTTGTCGCCTAGTCCCCATCCGCCAAATCCTTACCGTCCAATTAAGAACTACCTACGTTCCAATAAAATACACTCAAACACAATTGAAGCAACAAACACAAATGAAGGCGCGCAGTTTTAGATTTGATGATACCTAATACGGTAAACTTTGTAGTGGCGGTGTAAGAATGTGATAAAACTAAAACAGGAGGTGGGCAGCGGCTTCTTCCTGATAACAACTCAAAATTATAACAAACAAGTGGTAAAATAAAAAAAACATGCGTGTGTGTCGTGGAACACCCGGTTGGAACGAAGTTCCTTATTATTGATAAACGTATTATATTATTAATTAACAAATACAAATAAATGTATTACTAGCGTCTATTAAAATGAAGCGTCATTTAAAATAAAATACACTATGACACAAGGGTAGTGACGAAAAAAATCTTACACTTACAATCCGATAAGAAACTTCGTTCCTATAAAAAGCTACTTGACCTACTCCTCAAAATAGTTCGCTATAACTACTATAGTTTGTACACGGACAAGAAATAAGTCATTATGCCGTCACGCATGCCAGCTCTACGCCGCGCCCCACTTTCCCCCACACTCTTGCAGTTTCTCTGCATCGCTTTTGGCAATTTGCATACTGCAAACACGATGCCCGCCAAGGTACGTGTGTTAGGTTTACTAATGTTAAGAATGTACACGCCTTTGTCTATTTGTAATATTGGGAAAACAAATAATGACTTCTCGAGTCAAACATGGCCTCGTTATCCATATGTAGTTTTTTTTTTATAGGATATGGGTGACAAACGAGCGCACAGTCCACCTGATGGTAAGTGGTTGCTGTGGCCCATAGATACCTACATCTATCTTCGTTTGCGAATTAAAATGCAGATACATTGTCAGCCGTGAAGACTAAAATAGAATGCCTCCTTTCCAGTAAAAAGGGTCGCCGGTTCTCTATAGTCCCGTAAACACAGCAGTGTTAAGCTAATATTTACGCTGGTATTTTATAAGAGCATGGTCTTTCCCCGGTCGAGCCGACCCATTCGTGCTACAACTATACTATTAATATAGCTGCAGCATGGCTCTACCACGTAAAAAGAGTATGTGTAAAGTCTCCATAGGTCGTTTGTCAGGTTTATTCTAGTTCAGGTACCTATTATTATAGAATATTTTTAATTAATTGCACAGTAACAGCAGCTATATTATGGTTGTAAGACGAATAGGTCGGCTGTACCGGGGATCGACCACACTCTCACAGATTACTAACGTAAATCGAAAAATACGAACGTTTAATTTAACTTATTAGACGTTTTGGGTTCTTTACAGCAATCTAAGTCACGGGATACCATCAGCTTTCGAATATTCATTCGGTTCATAGGTTCAATCTACGTAAAAACGACCTTGCAGTATCTTGAAGTCTTGAATAATATAAAATAAAATTTAATTTTATTAGTTATATTCAATATTTCTATTCAAATTTGGATTTTTTGGAGCGAAGTTCTTTATCGGACGGTACGGATTTGGCGGATGGGGCCTAGGCGACAAAAAGTGTAAGATTTTTCCGTCACGATCCCTTTTGAGTGTATTCATCCATCCATCTCGCATTCCATCTCCCTCGTACTTTTTCTTATCTTACCATGAAAGAAAGATTATTTTTTATTTTAAGGGACGCTTCATTTTAATAGACGCTAGTAATTCATTTATTTGTATTTGTTGATCCATAATATAATACGTTTATAAATAATAATTTACCTTTTAAAAAACATGCGTGAGCGTCGTGGAACACCCGGTTGGAACGAAGTCCCTTCCGAGTGTTCCTGTCGTGGAACGCATGTTTTTTTTTATTTATAGCCTCGCGAATATTCCTTGGTAAGAATCGGTGTCCTGTTGCGAGGATTTGTGGTCTATCAAATCTTATGTAAGGGCGGGGACGATCTAGAACATGTTCACATACGGCAGACTTCTCGGGGCGTCGATGCTTCACGTCAGCTATATGTTCTTTTACGCGGGTTTTTAAAGATCTTTTTGTTCATCCTATGTAAAAGAGAGCACATTCACAATCAAGCTTGTACTTGCATAATCTTTTTCGAATTACAGTGAACCACCAAGCAATATTTGAAACTAATTGAAACTAACTGGAATCAATGTTACCAGGCCCGAATGGAAGTGGAGGACCTGTTTGTGGACCTGGCTGACGGGCGGCGGCTGCTGAAGCTGCTGGAGATCATCAGTGGCGAGCGTCTGCCGCGCCCCAACTCTGGTCGCATGAGGGTCCACAAGATCGAGAACGTCAACAAGAGTCTCGGGTTCCTGCACACGAAGGTAGGTTGCGCGATTGTGTAATAGACCGAGCAAACAATTAAATTCTAAATCACGCTATAGAAGTTTCCGAAAGACTATGCATATATATCGTTCTAATGTAGGAAAGGCAGAGTCGCCATGTAATATAAGAGAGTGGTGTTATTGTTGTAATAAGAGATTTTTTGAGTGTACAATGGCTATAATTAGAATATTCCCTTATTCACACACAACAACTAAAAATAATTAACTACCGCTGCCAACTCGCTTGCCAAACATGACGATTATGGCAAATATCCCCGCTATAAGGCAATCTATGGGGGAGGCCTGTGTGCCAGTGTACATTTGATAGACTGTAATTGACTATAATGCACGAATGCATGTACATATATTATAGATAATAAGTAGTCACCCTTGGGAATGAGGTGAGCGCAACCAACCGGTTAGTAGATAATTCCATTATATCAAGTTAAAATCTTATTATACGAAAACTGTATAATAAAGGTTATTAAAATATGTGGATATAAATATATAAGCTTAAGGCTATCGTGTTTCATATGGTGAGTGTAGAGAACCGGAGACCCTTTTTACTAGAAAAGAGGCATTCCATCTTAGCCCTCAGGTTTGACAATGCATCTGCATTTTGATTCGTAGTTGAGGAACAATGTAGATGTCATGGGCCATAACATCCACTTACCATCAGTCGGACTGTGTGCTCGTTTGTCACCCTTATCTATTAAAAAAATACATGAATGTAAATTACCCTTGGCAATGACGTGTTCGCTATCATGTTGGTTCTATATTATATACTATAATCCATATAAATAATTATCTATACATATAATAAAAATGTAAATAGCAGATGTCTGTACATTTTATATTTTTGTAATAGAAGTGATTGATAGGTACTAAAAATAAGTAAATAAATACATTTCTACCATTTTTAGATTTTTCTGTCTGTCTGTCTGTCTGTCTGTTTGTTTGTTAACGTATCACGTATAAAGTACTAATTTATATCATAAGAATAGTTAAGGAAATTATTAAGTGTATATTCAGGTTACATTTAGTCTTTATTTCATTAAAATTGGTTAATTCCATCAAAAGTTATGACAAATATTCTGAAGTATGGGTACTAAGTATAGGTACGAATTTGTTCAATAGTGGCGTTGGATGAGTCATCAAGTACATTTTAAAATTAATATCATATTATAATTCATAATTAAATGATATAAAATAATGTTCTATAATGATATAATTATATCTAAAACGCAGTAAACAAAAGTATTACATAAAGAACGTAATAAATATATACAAAATATATTTAACCTTATTATCTAAACTAAATTAAAGTACAATAGTTAACCAATTTCATCGATAGATGGTGGTGTGGCAAAAATGTGATACAAAAGGCAGGTTAAAATTTTTGAAATCAAGTTCATTTAATCTTTGTTTTATTGAAATTGGTTAATTCTATCGAAAGTTATGATTATTATTTTGAAATGTAGGTTCGAATTTGTTTAATGGCGCCACAAAATCTCAGACATTGTAATAAAAAGATTCGTGTGTAAAAAAACGTTCTATTATAATATATTTCGTATCGTTCTATTAGTACTTAAACACAGTAAAAAATATGTATTCCTTAAAAATGAAAAAAAAATGTTTTCTCACAAAGAACGTAATAGATGGCGTTGTACAAATTACAACCTTTTCTGAATTGCGGTGTTAAGATTTTTCACAGGTGAATCGTATTGAGACTCACTGAAAGTCTGACGAAGGGTGTAGGTTAGACAACACATCACAAAAATCTTCAGAAACAAAAGCCAGAAAAAAGAGATATTGAAATATTCAACTCGACTAAAAGTAGCTAAATTACAATAAATGTCGTGAATCGTGATAGTGATATTGTTTTATACCCAGAATCCCTCTAATACCAAATAACTTTCCTTTCAGTTTTAAGTTGCAGCCTATTTACGTCCCACAGCTAGGCACAGGCCTCCTCTCATTTCTGAGAGGGTTTTAGGGCAAGGAAATGTCCACCGCGCTGCCCCAATACGTGTTGCCGAACTTCACATGTCATCGAAATATTTTTTTTATTTCTCAGACATGCAGGTTTCCTTACGATGTTTTCCTTCACCGCCGAGCGCGTGGTAAATGAGTACTTAAAATTGCAATTAACAATTTAATTGGTGCCGGCGGGGATCGAACCCGAGTTGCTCGAGTACTGTAAAGCTTACAGCGAGCGCTAACCATCTGAGCTACCACGGCTCAGGCTTCAGTTTCAAGATAGGGATAATAACATCGATGATGACATCGATGTTCGATGTTTAGGCTACTCAAAACATCGATGTTGACCATTATCGATGGTTTTTGTATATGTGTAGATACTTACACATTGTTTCAAAATTATGTGGGTATACACAGCAAGGGAAAAGTAACAATTAACTTGAATATCAATTTACCTAGAATAGTTATTATGCGACAACCGACAACGACACTACAAAATAAAGCGAAAGCAGTGACCATTGTGACATTACAGGAGACACTTGACAATTAAGTTTGACTCACCATACTGACATTTTTTTAGGTTAACGATGCGTTCAGAAATTCTTAATTATACAAAATTTTTAATCTTCAGAGCAGATGCAATATTTAGGTATATTGATTTCGCGAGTTCTCATTGTTTGCAAGTTCCCAATTATCGATTATGGGTTCATTAACGTCGATGTTTCGATGTTTGACATATGTCAACATCGATGTTAAAACATCGAAGTTTTAATTTTTAACATCAATGATCATCTAACATCCATATTTTAAGTGTGTTTCCCACTCAGCGTGTGTTATACGACGATCGTAAATAAAGCGCAAGGTCAAACTTTACGCGTTGCAGGAGTGGACCTCAGTACTGATTGTTTTGCACATGGCCAACTCTATGTTTGTTTTTCCCGCGTTAATAGTCCCCGTAATCTTTTTCTGTACGCCCCGGCTAAGTCTACTTCTATCGTCGTTTACACAGAAGCTCTATCATAAACGACTTAGAACTATGAGCATATCGATTTATTTTGTTACCACTTATTCATACAGTAATGATATAAATCGTTTAATATGCTCTTACCCTAAACATCAAATTCTTTAAGTAAAACCTATATTCGCGAGCTACGCCGCGGGCACAGCTAGTTCGGAATAATCCTAAAATGTCATGTATAAACCTGATCCCACTGGTTTCGTTGCTTGTTATCCCAGGTCAGAGTTGTTTTCTGAATCCAGAGGTAAATAATGAATAAAAAAAATATTGCATTATATACTATTTATGCTGTTTTGTCGTTTTTACCATAAATTAACACGATAGTCTACTGCTGCCTACACCTGTAACCAGATAACGCGTGATAATGAGGCGATTAGTTGATACCGACTCGATACGGCGACCTTGTTACCGCTCCTATCTGTTCAGATAACTTTAATCCTCGTGACGTCATCGTTTTGCTTAACAGAAGATATTTTTAGATTCACACACTTCATAATTGTTTCAGCTAAAGTTTTATAAATTACTACATCATTTTTTTTTCACTTGGTAGAGCCACGCTCCAGCTATATTATTGTAGTAACACGAAAGGTCTGCTCGAACGTGGAAGGACCACGCTCACAGAATAGTATTCTGTGAGCGTGAAATATAAGATGAATATATCAGAAATAATGTAGAGAACCGGAGACCCTTTTTACTGCTAACGAGGCATTCCATCTTAGTCCTCACGGGTGACAACGCATCTGCATTTGATTCTTAATCGAGGTTAGATGTAGGTGTGAGGTATTTCATCTTAGTTCTTAGGGGGTTAGTTAGGGGTGACAACGCATATGCATTTTGATTCTTAATCGAGTATCGATGTAGATGTGTCTATGAGCCACAGCATCTAATTACTATCGTGTGTATTGAGTGCTCGTTTGTTACCCTCTTTTATAAACTAAAATCAGTTCACAGCTATATTTAGACGAACAGTTTTAAAGAGACTCTTAAATTAAAACTACATCGAAAAAGCCCAGTCGACTGCTGAACATAGGCCCTCTCCAAAAAACATCACAAAACAATATCCTGAGCCACCTGCATCCATGGATTTTTTAAACTTTGTAATAAAGAGACCTTGTATATTTTCTGGGTCTATGTTGTAATATCGTATACATTGCCCCATGAATGGATTACTGACTCTGCAGAGTTGAGAGGCTAATATCACTAGCTTGTGTTTGTTCGTGGTACTTACAGAGTGAACATCACTTTTTTCTAATGAAACTACTTTTGTTTTTGTGAACTTACATTAGGGTTTTGGTTTTGGGTCATTTGGGTCTTCATTTTACTGATTCTTTGGGCTATACCGCTTACTATGGTTCTGCTGCTTTCTACTTCTTATTATTTACACAATAATTATTTTCTGTGATAGGTGCGCCTAGAGTCTATCGGTGCTGAGGACATCGTGGACGGCAACCCGCGCCTAATACTCGGTCTCATCTGGACCATTATCCTGCGATTCCAGATTCAGGAGATCGAGATCGATGTGGTGAGTAAATGTTAATTTTTGTCCGAAATGGATGCTTAATATGCCTAGGGAAACCTGCTACCACATTCCTGCAGAATAAAAATAACAGTACCTGTTTAGGCCCTTTTTCTCGAAGCGAGGCATTCCCTCTCGGTCCTCAGGGATGGCAACTCATCTCCATTTTCTTCCAAAACACTCAGGTAGAGTGCGAGGTCGTTTGTCATCCTTATTTTATAAAAATAAAATCTCTAAAAACAGATATATTGATCTGTACTGGTGGTAATCACACCCTTTAGTCATGGTGTGGGGGCATCAGAGAATCTTCTATCATCGCTCTTCGTCCGGAGCATCGGATTATAATTAGCACTTAAATCACAATTGGGTGGAATTGAACATGGCTACGAAAAGTCCCACGAGTGTTTCCTGACTGAACAAAAGATTTATAGAAAAGGGATAGAATATAAATTACATAAACATTAATCTTGAACTTCGCAACATCTCAAACCTACTCTTATCTCATATCTAACTTCACCTTTCAAATAGCATCAAGTGCTATTAACATTATTTACTTTTAGCCATAGTTTGCTACAGCTAGATACTGAGATGGGACAAATTCACCGGTTTTCTACCCACACAATTAATACAATTCTAATCTTATGTTCTCTCCACCAGGACGAAGAAAACGAATCATCAGAGAAGAAGTCCGCCAAGGACGCTTTGCTGCTGTGGTGCCAGAGGAAAACGAGTGGATACCACGGTGTGCACATCCACAATTTCACCGACTCCTGGCGATCGGGGCTCGGATTCAATGCTCTTATACACGCGCATAGGTGAGTCTTGAATCAATTAAGAGGACTTTAGAGACAAATGGGCCGTTTGAATCATTTTAAATAAGGTGCAAGAACCTAAATTGAGAAGAGTCAATCAGAAAAATTGCATCTGGCTCGAAGGACCACAAATAATTTTGTATTGTTTGGGAATTGCGGCTAGACAGGACGGTTATTCTGGATTATTTGTTGGTTACCGTTACAGCCTATTTAAGTCCACTGCTGAACATCGGCCTCCTCATAGATTGCCTCATAGGGAAGATATTTGCCATGGTTTCCACGCTTGTCAAGCGGGTTGGCAGCCACAGTTTTGTATTTTTAGTCGTTATTAGGAAGACGTTGCTGCCTCTCTTCTGATTTTTTTTCATCTGTCGCCTCTTAGGACATCCACGGGATGATATTATACACACACACTACACGGTATTTCGTTTTTTACTGTGTTGGTTATTCCTCATTTATTTTTCGAATCGGTTGTACTAACGAATAAAATAGCGTAAAATATTCTCGGTAATGATTTATTTATTTACATCCACCTTATATCTAACATTACAGGTTTCTACCCATTGCAATAGATAAAGCATTATTTACAATCCTATATTACCTATATTACTATACTACCTTATAACTAATTATCCATAAAGCAAGTTTTGTGAATTCGTTCAGAGTACAAATGAATAAATCTGTTTCTCTGTCGATCAGGTTTAATGTTCGAAAAGCTCGCGTCATGGGTGCCTCTCGCAGTAAGTTAGTGCGACATCTAGGGACGGCTAGTAGGTCCGGCTGACGCCATATATATTTATCCGGAATATAAATATTAATCTTCTTCAACATATTCTCATTAATAATCTTACTCCTAAGGACCATAAAAATATATGAAACTAGTCTAAGTTCTCTCCTTACCCTGAGCTGATTGTATCCCACCATACCCAGAACAAATAATGTGGGGTATTGCAGTGGGTAAAAAGGGTACACCCCTTATAACTTGAGATACAAATACCTTACAAATTTCTTATGTAACTTCTTCAGCATTAGATCGTACTTCTTCTCATGTGGAGCCCATATTATTGAATTACACTCCTGATTTTTAAAACATTCATGAAACACAGTAAGCTGTTAGATATAATGTTACACGGGACAATCTCCGCAGCATATCCTTCTTTACAAGCACTAAAAAAATACCACAACAAAAGACTCGTATAATGATGACTGATTTAAGCTATCTGTTGTTGTATACGCCATACTTTATACTGCTCGAATGAGTATTGTTTTAGAGTTTTACTCTCACTTTTATGTATTTTCTTTTATTTTCTACCCTCAATCACAATATTACTTTATTTTGCCCTGTTACAGACCAGACTTGTTCCGATGGGCAGACGTCCCCCAAGCGGACCACGTTGAGACCCTCAACCATGCCTTCGACGTCGCCCACAATCACCTTGGCATCCCACGGCTGCTGGACGCTGAGGGTAAGTTACAATTAATTGGACGGTGTCAATATTTTTTCCGTATACTTGATTGGGAAACACTGTTGAGATCATTGAACTATTTCTTATAGAATTCGGGTGACTAACGAGCGCACAGTCTACTCGATGCTAAGTGGGTGCTGTGTCAAATACTGTACACTCACTCTTATCTTGCAAACCTCGCAAAATAATGGCAAAAAGCACGTGTAGTGTTTGCGAAATATAGGAAGTAATATTTTTTTTAACTTAATAATTGTTTTATGGATGACTGGACTTGCTCTGTTCGCAGATGTTGACACAACCCGCCCGGACGAGAAGTCGGTGATGACGTACGTCGCCAGCTACTACCACACTTTCGCCCGCATGAAGAACGAGCAGAAGAGCGGCAGACGGATCGCCAATGTGAGTAGAAGATTCTAATATATGTGGGATAAAGTATTCGAAATTGGCAGAAACGGATTCCTCGTCAAAACAATTACTTTATTTTGCCTCTTTGAGGTAAACAAGAGGTAAAATTAAAATTTTTGTACAACCGACTTCAATATAAATTATTAAGAATAACTATTGGCCAGATCTTGATCAAATTTATATGGGACCACATGAGAAACACCAACTTTGAAGTAAAAAAAAAAAAGAATTATCAAAATTGGTTCACCTAGAAAAAATTCTGAGGTAACACACACAAAAAATAGAGTCGAATTGAGGACCTCTTGTCTGTCTTCCTCTTATTTGTTTTACGTCATCATTGAAATCGCCATTCGTCTCCTCTCTTCCTCTCTTACAACCATCTCGATCTTTCATTTCTACGTTGTTTTTTATGCGTTCAAAACTATTATTTCCACTTATAAAACGGCGTGTATAGGCGGACTAAGAGAATTCATTACGCCATATTATCTCGTGGGTGCCGTAAGAGGCTGACAAAAGAATAAATCATATACCTTTATTAAATAGTTTGCTTTTCAGGGGTGGTCCTATTAAAATATGCAGAAAAAACCACCCCTAAGGGTGACAAAATAGGGGATTCAGTTTTTAATGTAACTAGACTACATTCTAGCTGTTACGAGCCTGTCCTAAGTGCACGCAAATGGGTCAAAACATTAAGAGCGTAGTCGGTAGTGAGAAATAGGTATTTGAAGAAACCTTTGCCGTCGCTTTATATATGGTCTCCCCACGTAGACTGCGATAGGGACAACTGCAGCTTAGAACGATTTTACCTACCAAAACGATGACCGATCAACGTTTCGTATTCCCCTGTTTTCTCCTCGAAAACTAAGCCGATTAAATTATTTTTGGAATCAAAATTTAAAGGAAGAATAGATCTCTGCTCCTATCACTTTTTTATCTTAAAAACTTTTCGAATTTCTTTGGTAGTCGTCCGATTACGGATTTAAAAACGGGGCATTTTTTATAGGTATTTTGAAATACATATTTATTTTTGTAATAATTTTTTGGAAAAAAGTAAATCACAGGGACATACCTTCAATAGACCTAGAATTTTATAAACAGAAACCATTACTCTAGTGGCATTATCCAGGAAGACAATAGGGGAATACATTTGTATGGAAAAATACTAGCCGTCTACGCTCTTAAAGTTGAAATGTCTTCAAAGGATAAAATAATTGTGCATTCTGAAGTTGGTTCTAAGATATAGCGTATAAAAGAATCAAACAAATGTTTAATTCTTTAAATTCGGCTTTTACTTTTACTAGCGATTCGCACCAGCATGGCCTGGGTAGGATGTATTATAGTAGCGGTATTTAGATTAAAGGATTATCTTAAATCTTTTAAAAAAATTCCAATATTCAGGTTTTTCAGATAAAATATGGACCTTAAATCACTCCTGGTATTGCTTTCTATCTGTTTGTGAAGTTTTATTACAATCGGCTTAGCCATTCCGAAGATTAGCCCGGACAGACAGATAGAAAGACCAAAATTTTAAAAATGGTTACCTCATGTCTTAATAGTATACAAATAACTCAATAAAAGGCAGTTACTTCGATATAACAGACAGAGATTTCAATTTTAATTATATGTGTAATGTATATATATTATATTAAAAGTAAAATTTTTCTAAATTTAATTATTTTGAATTTTTTCAATTAATCTTAATTCGATACTTCAATAGCTTTGGTTACACTACACGTTCATTCTTCTCCATCAGATCATCGGTCAGCTGATGGACTGCGACGGTCGCAAAGCGGAATACGGTCGGCTGATGAGCGCCTTGCTGGAGTGGATCCGGCTGAAAATTGTAGAGCTGAACGGTCGCGACCTGCCCAACTCGCTGGACGGCATCCAGCGGTTACTGCTTGCTTTCAAGCAGTACAGGACTGTTGAGAAGCCGCCCAAGTAAGTCTATCACTCGGTAATTTATTATGTTTATTTGATTCTGACTACCTCGTTAGTCTAGTGATCATAAACGCAACTGTTGATCATGAGGTCTCGGGTTCGAATCCCGAGTCAGTCCAAAAATAGTTATTAAGTTTTTCTGCCAGAATATCACGAAGTCGGGAAGTTGGCGGTGTTTACCCCCTTGCGTCTTAAAGCAGGTAAAGCCGTTGTTCCTGCGCCTGATCTCTCTCCGGTCGTGTCGGTTTACCGTCGGACTATAAAGAGTGAGGCAATAGAGTGTGCACCTGGGTATGCGCACACACTCGTGCACTATAATTCTGTCCTTAGCAGATGATAGTATCCATCGAGACAGGTCGCCGTGACCAAAATTTGGTCTGGAGGACATGATGTTTATAAAAAAATTGATTATGCAGTTTTTGTTCCTACATTAAGGTTCATTATTATATTTCTGATAGAGTAGGCCAGGCCTTGTCCAGTTACTTTGCATTACCCCACTTTCGCTCCGATGCGATGTATGCAATATTTTATTAAATCATGAATCATTTTTTTTTCAAGTTGTATTAACTAAGTGGTCATCCTATCAGATAATAGCGTAAAAAATATATTTCATTTTATTTTAAACTAAATTAAGGATATTTTATGCAAAATAACAATCGATGCAAAATAAATATCAATTGCAATCGATTTTAAACTAACTTCCCGATGAACTAATTGGCGATGTATTGAAGATGGGCTAAATTAAGAGTTCCCTTAACCGACGAGCGTGTATGCTTAGATGTATGGATGTAAAAGAAGCGACAGAGATGGGCCTTAGTCTTAAAACATAGCTCAGAACTGAAAACATGGTAAAAATTTGATCGTCATTTTGAATTATGATTTTGTTTTTAGATATATAGAGCGTTCGGAAGTGGAGGCGCTGTACTTTGACATCAATACCATGCAAAAGAGCCTCGTGGGCGAGGCCTGGGCTCCGCTGGAGGGACACTTGCCTCAAGACCTGGAGCGTGCCTGGCAGAAGTTGGAGCAGGTATGTAAATGCGTTGTTTTACTATAAAGCGGATATTTTATCTCATATGTCGCGTTAGCTCAAACTCTAAGCACTCGGTAAATTTAGCAGCACGTGAACAATCCAGGTTCGATCTCCGCAGACACCGATGATATATTGAATTGTAACTTTCGTGAGGAAACCTAGATATCTGATTAATAAAAATATTTTAAAGATATTAAATAGTTTGTTTTATATATTGTAGAGCTATGCTGCAGCTGTATTAATAGTATAATTGTAGCACGAATGGGTCGGCTCGACCGGGGAGGGACCACGCTCTCACAGAATACCAGCGTAAATTAGCAGATTAATGCTGCTGTGTTTCGTATGGTGTGTGTAGAGAACGGGAGACCCTTTTTACAGGAAAAGAAGCATTCTATCTTAGTCCTCACGGCTGACAACGCTTCTGCATTTTAATTCGCAAACGAAGATAGATGTAGATGTCTATGGACTACAGCATTCACTTACCATCAGGTGGACTGTGTGCTCATTTGTCACCCTTATCCTATAAAAAAGTGAAGTCTACTAACACGCACTGGAGTAGCACTGCTTACGAATTGCTTCAAACCCTTTTAGAAATGAGAGTAGGCATGTGCACAGTAATAGGACGTAATAGTCTTTAACTTTACTATAACTTGTTTTAATTCAAGTTTGAATGATAATGGAGAATGTAGTAGTACACCTGATGGTAAGTAGATGGTGAATGCTATGGCCCATAGACACCTATCCTCTTACAGATAATTAGTAAAAAAGAACTGTCAGTCGTAGGATTGCATCTCAGGTGTGAAAACTTCTTAGCTTCACAAACTTGTATTTTTGGATTGTTAAGAAATGTTTTTAGGAAGTATTTTTTATTAGAAATTATTTATATTAACATATTAATATAGTAATTTTCATTTATTGCCCTGTTTTACATGAAAAAGAATGCTTATTAGATAATAAGCATTCTTTTTCATGTTTCATGTTTTTCATGTATTATATAGATATATAATACAATTATCTTATAATTACATATCAATTTTATAAAATTTAATCAATAGGATTTTCAACATTACTTTCATCAATTATATATATCTGAGCGTGACGGTCATGTGAGTTCATTGCTTTTTGCCCATCCGAAATGTGCAAAACGTGTCTCCAGAAGTTTTCATTTCAAAAAGTCTTTGGTTCCCTTCACTCAGCATTCTTAAGGCAGCAACATTTATAGCTTATAATATAGCTGAAGTGTGACTCCGCCACGTAAACGCTTAATCCACCTGTATGTTAATATTATTTTGTAATATAGGAGTGACAACTGAGCCAAGCGGCCACCTGATGGTAAGTGGCTACTGCAGTCCATGGACACCTGCAGCCATCTTCAAACAAGGAAGGCTACAGTTGCGTTGTCATCTCTGAGGACTAAGACGGAATGTCTCACAACGTGCAACTATACTGACTCTCTATAATACCCTTCAGAGCGGAACACAACAGTGCAAGCACAGCTGCTTGGTGGTAGTAGTAGATAAGAGCAAGGAGTCCTCCAGTTATGTTTCATCGCACTCCTGAATACAAAGGGTGCAGTAGTAGAGACAACGGAGATATTTAAGTGTTCTTTTGTAATATCCAGGCGGAGCACGCTAGGGAGCTGGCCTTGAGAACCGAACTGCTGCGTCAGCAACGATTAGAGCAGCTCAACTACAAATTCAATACTAAGGTGAGATCATCATTATCATTCTTCAATACATCCCGTCACAAATCCTGACTCGACTGAACTTCTGCAGCAACTCATCCGTGAATAATGGATATGGTTATGCCATAAGTAATTTAATTGTTTAATTTATAAAATAAGCTGTTAGTATAGTTGTTTGTTGTTCTAAATAAAGATAAAAAAACATAGGTCTACCTCAAATAATGCTGCAAAACATGGTACCTGCCTCCTGCGTTCATTGCCTTCTTGTATGGATTATATTATTTATATAAATAAAGATTTAAAAAAAATATAGGCCTACCCAGGGAGCAACTTTGTATTTGCTCCGTAGGCCTACCCCAAAAAAATTCCACTAAACACGGTCATGATTCATGTGCATGCATTAATTTCTTCTTACCACGCCGACATTCCATTTAGTCTGGGAATTTCGAAAGACCAATATGCCGTAGTAGTTCTTTAATTTTAGTTTTTAAAAATATAAGTAAGTTTGTCTTTAATAAAATTAAAAATTTCGTACAACCGACGTCATTATAGATTATTAAGAATAACTAAAAAACTATTGCTCAGACCTTGATCAAATTTATATGGGACCACATGAGAAGCACCAGACCTTTCAAGTAAAAAAAAGAATCATCGAAATCGGTTCACCTAGTAAGAAGTTATCAAATAAAAAAAACGTACAGTAGAATTGAGTATCTCCTCCTTTTTGAAGTCAATTAAAAACTTTATGAAGCTAGATGAGCACTAGTATGGTGTAATTATACAAAAATGTATTAAGGTTTCAATTTTGATTGTTTTGACAGTCTGTGCTGAGGAAGGGGTATCTGAAGGAGATGATCCAGGTGCTGTCGGACCCGCGCTACGGCTCTAACCTGACGCAGGTGGACGCCACGGTCAAGAAGCACGAGGCCATCTCCGCTGACATACTCGCCAGGTTCATGCCTGTTTTGTTATATTCCAGATGACTGCGTCTTGGGGGCCTGCTAATTCGAAAAGTGAGATCTCTACAGAGAAAATCTATGTGCTAATTTCTATAATCGTAACCGATAATAGAAAACGTAAAAGATGAAAAAAGTCACTTAATTTAACGTTAAGATATATTATTCCTACAAGTTTCTTATTCAAAAAAGCTTCCAACAAGTATATTTTTAAAAACAAAGGCGTGAACACATTATAAATTCATTGCAAGTGTGAATTAACGCTTTTTCTTTTTCGTAAAAAAATATTCTATCGTCACATATTTTCCATATTTATCATGACATAGATAATATATAATACTTACACTTTAAGTAGATATATGTATTTGTGTACTTTTGTATTCATATATTTATATTATATGTACATTTGTATATATGTATAGAATATCATTTATTCTTACTTCATTAACTTTTTTTCATTTTTATAGTTAATTTTTGCTGCAATACCACATGTTTACCTCTGCTTAGCCTAATGGTTGACTGGGGAGAAAATGTCTTAAGGAATTAAGTCCGTCATATGTACAATTTTTTGTGCATAAAAGTTTAAGTAATTAAATAAATATCTGTGGTCATAGATCAGACAATGATAAGTACATTTTTGCTCAGTATGACTTATTAATATAGATATAATCGCCAAAAAATGCTCTTTCATTTGGTCATATCAGGATAACTACATGCAAAATATTACTGTGGTATTGAATACTAATCAGATTATGATAACTTTTATATTTCAACTTTTGTTTTGGTCATATTGCATTAAGTGATTTTATTTTATTTTGATCTGACCGATTTTATTGATCAGAACATGACAAAAGTACACATATCAACTTATGATCAAAAATTACTCGGTTAGCGGGAACCATGTCGTGTCGTGTCATTATTGTTTCGCGTACCGCACATTTCATTGTTTATTGTTAGTTTTCGTTATTTCGCCGGTAAAGGAACATTAATATAGATTATAATTACTGTTTAAATGATGAGTGCTCGCTGTAAGAAGTTGTTGGAGTATCATTATTAATTTTTATTGTTATTTTATTCAAAGCGCGTCATAGTGTTCATTGCGAGAGTACGAGTAAGTATGTGTTTTAGTGAGCAATATTGTAATAATTGATATGACTGCTTGTGCCTAGTATATTTTATATTAAACGAACTCTGAACAAAACATAATGACCGTTAACTTACGTAGGTAATCGTTCAAGAGATAAAATACTGACACCTAGGTCTAACATTGTTTTTTTTTTAATTTTATTTTAGGATTTAGCTGTGAAGCAATGTATGAGAGAACGTACTCCATTAGCTCAGATGCAATCTCTGCCCAGCCCGTCAGGTACTCTAGTAGCTCAGCAGGATATTTTATCATCTCTGCCCGGTCCGTCAGGTACTGCCGTAGCTCAGCAAAATATTTTGCAATCTCTGCCTGACCCGTCAGGTAATCGAGCTTATAGTTTTGATGACGATGTGCAGGATTGTAATTGGTTCCCTGCTGGTACACACGATGAACACGTGTCATCATCGTCATCTAGCAGGACATCTACCCCTAGAAGTATCGGAAGTATTGCTGTGCCAGCATTAGTTTCTCAAACACAGAATGACGTTAGAAGAAAAAGGAAGCATGGTGTCGGTATCATGCAAAGAAAACTCCGTAAAGAAAGAACAGAAAAAATTAAAAAGGGGGAAGAGTACATAAATCAAGCTGGGAAGAAAATATTGGGTAAATCTGTAGGTGTACTAAAAGAATGCAGATTATAATTTTACGAATGCACAAATACAAAGAATTTTCGTGGATTATCGCGCTATGGAAACTAGGGATATGCAACGTTTACATTTGAGTAACCATATACTATTAACACCGCCAATTAGAGTTAAACAGGTTGAATACAAAAAGAAAAGAGAAGTATCTGTAGAGTACTTTATCGAAAATGAAGATAATTTAGTAAAAGTCTGTCAAAACTGTTTTCTTAACTTGTATGGTGAGAATCGTGGTTTTGTGAATGGCATAATTGACAAGAAGAAAAAATCAGCTACAGGTATCATTGGACGGGATGAAAGAGGCAGACATGAAGCAAAAATTAAACATTCAAATGAAGCAATTGATTATGTGCGTAATCATATTTCTAATTTTCCTGCATACAAAAGCCACTATTCAAGACACACTACGAAAAAATACCTACAGACTGGGTTGAATTTACAAAAAATGTACAACTTATACCTAGACCAACATACCATGGACAACATAACTACAAAAATTGTCAGGCTTTCTACATATAGTAATATTTTTAAGACATTCAATTTAAAATTTAATAAGCCACACAACGATATTTGCCATACTTGTGATACATTGGTAGCAAAAATAAAAATTACAATAAATGACACTGAGAAAACGAGACTACATGACGAACATGTCTCTCATCAGGATAAAGCAAATTTTCATTACGAATGTAAATCTTTCGATAAACAACGTTCCAATTCATCGGGGAATACTATCGTTGTCGCTGTGTGTGATTTACAGCAGTGTCTCGCTACACCATACTTAAATAATAGTGTAACATTTTACAAAAGGAAGCTATGGACTTTTAATTTCACAGTCAGAAATCGTAACACTGGGAAAACTACTTGTTTCTTGTGGCATGAAGCTATCGCGCAACGTGGTGCTGACGAAATAGCATCTTGCCTAAAAATGTTCATTATGAGTTTGCCTCTATAAGAATGTAATAAAGTCTGACAACGACGTAGTAGACACATCACATATTAGTGATTATAATTCCGATTCTGAATAGAAATTATTCTATTATTAAGTCTATTATCTTATTTTTAATGCTGCTTCGAGCTCAATGTTATATGCCAAATATTCTGCATTGTCATTTTAAATTTAAATAAAGTATTTTTCTCATATTTGTCTTTCATTTAAGATCATAACACGATAACTACCTACTTCTTTTGATCACAGTGTGACAAGTGCAACCATTCTTTAAAAAATAAAAGAATACGTGAATACTACGCATTCTACAATGAACTTTAAGTATTTTTACAAATTAGTAACACATTTCCTTAATTTTAAAAATATTTTTTTTCATATATCGACTGTTTCATATTTTAATAGTGCCTTCAAGATTTCTTAATAATTTAATTGCTTGTCCTGTAAAGTAATGAAATTGCATTTCTCTCATTTTTATAATTTTCTAATAGTGTTAACCTTTATATTGTAGCTACTCAATTTGGCTAACCTCGTTAGAAAGAAACCCTGGGATCATTATTTTCTCTTGATATAAAAAATGAAAATTCAAATATAAATAATAATAATAATTATTATTAAAGGATATTAATACTAATTATGAAAAAAGAATAGATAAATATGTAGTGGCGGTGGAGAATATCCACTAACCCATATCTTCCCGTGGGTGTCGTAAAAGGCGACAAAGGGAAACAGGCCGGAGATGGGCAGCAGCATCTTCCTGATAATAGCCAAATAACAATAAAAAAAAAAACTGCGGTTGCCAACCCGCTCGCCAAGCGTGGCAACTATGGCAATATACCCCCCATGAGCAATGACAATAATAAACGGCCCCTAGTCCCCGGCGGCCCCGCTATTCCTGGCTACGGTGGCGACCATGGTAACGGCGGGGCAGGGGGTGCTAAGAATCTCCGGTGGAGGTTCGGTTGCCACCTACAACGACTCGACCTGGCAACATACAACGCACGCACCCTGAGGACTGACGAGAAGATTGTGGAGCTGGAAGAAGAGATAGACAAGTTACGCTGGCATATTATAGGATTATCCGAAGTCCGAAGAGAGGGGGAGGACACGGTAATCCTCGAATCCGGCAACTTGCCCTATTACCGGGAGGGCGACCATCTGTCCCAAGGAGGTGTCGGATTTATCGTCCACAAGTCTCTCGTTAACAACGTTGTAAAGATTGAGAGTGTGTCGACGAGGGTTGCGTACCTTATACTCAGAATCACCAAACGGTATTCGCTGAAGGTCATACAGGTTTACGCACCAACCTCGGCACACCCCGATCAGGAGGTGGAGGAAATGTATGAGGATATATCTAGAGCCATGCATTCCTCCAAAACCCAATATACGGTGTTAATGGGAGACTTCAATGCAAAACTAGGCACAAGAGAGAACGGTGAGCTGAAAGTAGGGAAATTTGGAATAGGGCAACGGAACCCAAGGGGCCAGCAGTTGGCTGACTTCATGGAGAAAGAGGGACTCTTTATGATGAACTCTTTCTTCCAGAAGCGGCCCCACAGGAAGTTGACCTGGTCGAGCCCCGACGGTTCGACTAAAAATGAGATTGACTTCATTATGACGACCAGACGACAACTGTTCAGTGATGTCTCAGTGATCGCGAGGGTGAAAACCGGCAGCGATCACCGAATGGTTAGAGGCACACTGAACCTAAACGTTAAGTTGGAGAGGTCTCGTCTAATGAAGTCAACGCTCCGTCCCCCTCGTGCTCTAATCCAAAGTCCCGAAACCTTTCAGCTCGAGTTACAAAACCGTTTTCAGTGCCTAGAAGACTGCAATGAAGTGGACGATTTGAATGACAAGCTCGTGGAAACTGTCCATGCGGTCGGAGCTAAGTTCTGCAAGACCCGCCGCAGAAGAACACAAAAACTCTCCGATCACACTCTTAATCTCATGGCTGTTAGACGGGAGATGAAGCTACATTCTTCAACAGATTTAGCAGCATACAGGCAACTGAACAGACAGATCTCCAAATGCATGCGGCGGGACTTACGCAACTTCAATACAGCTCGTATTGAAGAAGCGATCGAGCGGCACCAAGGCTCCAAAGTCTTTGCCAGAGATCTGTCTGCCAGAAAGCGCCAACTGTCAAAGCTGAAGACAGAGTGTGGCAGCATCGTTTCCGGGGCACCTGAGATTTTGAGTGAGATTGAGAGGTTCTATGGACAGCTGTACACGTCATCGTTGGAGCCGCACGCAAGTGTGAGTAACGATCCAAGAGCGAGTCTTATCCGACATTATTCCGATAATATCCCGGACGTCAGTCTGAGCGAGATTAGAGTGGCTCTCCAGCACCTTAAAAACGGCAAGGCCCCAGGCGAGGATGGAATTACAGCGGAGCTTCTGAAAGCGGGTGGAAAACCGGTACTTGAAGTCCTTCAGAAGCTCTTTAATTCCGTCCTCCATGGTGGCATTACACCGGAGGCGTGGAGCAGAAGTGCGGTGGTCTTGTTCTTCAAGAAAGGCGACAACGCTCTCTTGAAGAACTACAGACCGATTTCCCTTCTGAGCCGCGTCTACGTGCTGTTTTCGAGAGTCATTACGAATCGTCTCGCGCGCAGACTTGACGACTTTCAGCCTCCCGAACAAGCCCGTTTCCGAAAAGGCTTTAGCACCATAGACCACATACATACCCTTCGGCAAATTGTACAGAAGTCCGAGGAGTACAATTTGCCACTATGTCTGGCGTATGTGGACTATGAGAAAGCCTTTGATTCCGTCGAAATTTGGGCGGTGCTGCAGTCCCTTCAGCGATGCCAAGTTGACTGTCGGTATATCGAAGTGTTGAAGTGCTTGTACAGTAGGGCTACGATGGCTATCCGAGTACAGAACCAGAGTACGAAACCTATCCAATTGCAGAGAGGTGTAAGACAGGGTGACGTCATATCCCCGAAACTCTTTACCGCTGCATTGGAAGATGTTTTCAAGCTTCTGGACTGGAAAGGATACGGTATCAACATCAATGGCGAGTACATCACTCACCTTCGATTTGCCGACGATATAGTCCTTATGGCAGAATCGCTGGAGGACCTAAGCACTATGCTCAATGACCTCAATAGTGTTTCCCAACGGATAGGTCTTAATATGAACATGGACAAAACAAAGATCATGTTTAATGTCCATGTCACACCTATGCCGGTAGTTGTTGGGAACACTAAGCTCGAAGTTGTTGACGAGTATGTTTACCTGGGACAAATAGTCCGACTAGGTAAGTCCAACTTCGACCGAGAGGTCAATCGACGGATTCAACTCGGTTGGGCAGCGTTCGGGAAATTACGGCACATCTTCTCGTCAGGTATACCTCAAAACTTGAAAACGAGACTGTACACCCAGTGCGTGTTGCCAGTGATGACATACGGAACTGAGACGTGGTCCTTCACTGCTGGCCGGATGAGGAAGCTCAAGGTCGCTCAGCGAGCTATGGAGAGGGCTATGCTCGGAGTTTCTCTGCGTGATAAACTCAGAAATGAGGATATCCGCAGCAGAACTAGAGTGACCGACATAGCCCAACGGATTAGTAAGCTGAAGTGGCAATGGGCCGGCCATATAGCTCGAAGAACCGACAACCGATGGGGAAGAAAGGTTCTCGAGTGGCAGCCTCGTACCGGCAGGCGAAGTGTAGGGCGTCCCCCCACTAGATGGAGTGACGACCTGGTAAGATATGCAGGAAGTCGATGGATGCAGGTGGCTCAGGACCGTGCTTTGTGGCATTCTTTGGGGGAGGCCTATGTTCAGCAGTGGACTTGTGAAGGGCTGTAATGATGATGATGATGATGAAAAAAGAAAATAAATTAATACAACTTTTGTGCTATCCTATATAAACGTATTTTTTCAAATTTGTTATTAACGTATGTTATTCTACAGGTTTTTTTCTTTATTGATCACTGAACCAATAGCACGTTAATATATATATATATATATATATACCTAGTCAGATCATAAATTATGTCACATGTTTAATATAAAATAATTGAAACAAGTTTATTCATTATGTAACCATTTATATACCAAAATTAACTTAACAAAACATAGATTCTTATGACACTAAAGTTTATTCAAAATGACCTCCGTGATTTTGAATACAGGCCTTCAATCTGCGCGGCCAGTCGTCTATCGCAGCACGAACGAGGTCCATGTCAATATCGGCGGCTGCCTTAATCAAGGATGTCTTGAGTGACTCCAAATTGGGATGAGGCTTTGAGCACGCCGTTTCCTCCAAGTGTTGCCATATCTTGTAATCTAACGGATTCAAATCTGGACTGGAAGAGGGCCAGTCTTCGTGCCGGATGAAGTCGATTTCACGCGCCGCCAGCCAGTCTTGTGTGCTCTTCGCTCTATGAGCTGGCGCCGAATCTTGTTAGAATACCCAGTGCCTGTTATTGAACATGGTATGAGATACAGGTTCCACAAGGTTCGTCAGGACTGTATTTTGATACACAACTGCATTCGTTTTTACACCTTTCTCACAAAAATGTACCTCTGTTAAGCCCTAATAAGAAACTCCCAACCATACCATGAGCGAGGATGGAAAATGACCTCGTTGGACACGCGGGATACGGTTGCTCGCTTCTTCACTACTGTGTGCGTACACTTTATCATTTTGTTTGTTGTAGCTCTCTTCTACGGTAAAAATTTTTTCATCCGAAAAAAGAATTTCCCGATATTTTTTTCCCGCGTACCGCTTCAACAAAGCGCGGCATCTTTTCAGTCTCAGGTCCATTAGACGAGCATTCAAACGATGTCCTGTTTTTCTTCGATATGCCCGAAGCCCTAAGTCTTCATTTAACACCCTTTTCACCGTGGTTCTGCTTAACCCCATCTGAAGGGCCAACAGTTTCTGCTTACGTTTGGGATTTCTTTGAATTCGCGCATTCACAGCTTTTATCACTGCTGGAGTCCTAACAGACCGAGGGCGACCACTTCTTGACCTGTCATCTATACTAGAGTCCTCATTGTATCGTTTGATGGTACGATAAACGAATCTTTTGGTTACATTCAAATTTTTCAGTATGTCAAAAATTTGAATTGGCGCGTAACCGCAACGATGCAACGCAATAACCGCAACACGGTCTTCTTTAAGCGTCCACTCCATATTTAATAATGAGTAAAATTCTAAAAAGTATACAGTTTTATTTTCATGAACAATTCGAAATTCGAATTGAATAAACGTTTTTGTGGCCAGCATTCTAAAAGAAAAGTTTTTACTGTGTGACAATACTTATGACCTGACTAGGTATATATAGATTCTAAATAATGTTTAATTCCAATAACAGGTTCATACTGTATATACATACATACATATATACATAATAGTGTTTGGTGTAGTTAACAAATTAACAATATAGTGGTTAGTTATTTACAGGTTGTCTCACTAACTAACAAAAGAGGCAATAATTTGTGAAGGATAAATAAACAAAGTATAAAGTATACCGAAAATTCCTACTAACCCTTCTTATTTTTTTACGTGGTAGAGTCATGCTGCAGCTATATTATGGTTGTAGCACAAATGGCTCGGCTCGACAGGCGAAGGACCATGCTCTCACAGAATAGCAGCGAAAAATAGTAGCTTTATGCTGCTGTGTTTCTTTTGGCGCGTGTAGAGAACTGGAGACCCTTTTTACTGGATGCGAGGCATTCGATCTTAGTCCGCAGGAGTGACGATTTCACCTTGGATTTTAATCGGGGATAAATGCAGATGTGTATGGGCCACAGCAACCACTTAGTATTAGATGGACTGTGTACTCATTTGTCACATTTATTCTATAAAAATACCTCAGGACCGAGCGCTTCGAAGACCTGTCAGCGATGGCAGCGGAGTTGGTCCGCGAGAACTACCACGGCGCTGAAGCGGTTTCCCGAACGGAACAGGCCGTGCTGCAGCGCTGGCGCGAGCTGCTGGAACTGCTGGAGAGACATCGCGAGTCGCTTGCCCGACTCGCGCATCTGATGGCGCTGCTGAGGGAAGCTGATGCTGTCGCTCATACGCTGATGGAGATGAAGGTACGTGCTGCAGGAGATTAAATTATTTATTGGGATAAACAAACGTATGGCTCACTCGACCATCATATGACTTTAACTTACCAGTTCGTCACTTCATATAGTGGGAGGCCGCCCTACATTTCGTCTACCGCTATGAGGTTGCCATTATACCTTTCTTCATCATCGGTTGGCGGTTATTCGAGTCATATGGCCGGCTTATTACCATTAGGGATTACTAATCCGTTCGGCTATGTCGGTTACTCGGGCTCTACCAGTAGAGCTATCCCCAGGGATATCCTCATTTCTAACTGTATCACACGGAGAAGCTCTGAGCATAGCTTTTTTTCATAGCTCGTTGAGTGACCTTGAGCTTCATCATACGGTCAGCATTGAAGTAGCAGAATTTAATAACGTATTCATGTCAAAATAATTTTTAATGGGGAAGTGGAGCAGTCTACCAGTAGTTCTCTAGCACATTCCTTTTATAGTATGAAGGTGGCAAATGTGTATACAGTCCACCTGATGGTAACTAAATGTTGTGGCCCATAGACATCTACATCTATCCCCGATTAAAAATCAAAATGCAGATTCGTTGTCATCCCTGACGACTAATATGGGATCCTCATTTCCAGTAAAAAGGGTCTCCGGTTCTGTATACTCACCATACGAAACACAATAGCATTAAGTTGCTATTTTACTGTGGCATTGTGTGTATAACGCAAGTGGTATACGTTTTGCAGGCACAGTTCTCGTCGGAGGAGGTGGGGCGGCACCTGGTGGACGTGGAGCGGCTGCTGCAGGCGCACGCGCTGCAGGAGCTGCAGCTGGGCGCGCTGCGCGACACCATCGCGCGCCTGCTGCGCCAGGGCGCCGCCGCCGACGGCCCGCCGCAGCCGCGCCAACAGCTCGCCGCGCAGCTGCAGCGCCTGCAAGACGCCTGCGACGCGTGAGTCACCTCCCGCTCACCTGCACACCTGCACACACGCACTCTCGTGACACACTTGCACACTGCGTACTTGCAAACTATACAGGATTATTTTGCAATAACCGGCCATATTTGCCGAGAAGGTTTAGAATAAATAATGTAAGCAAATGGTGCAGAAAAATTAATTAAAAAATCTCTCTCTCTTTTATCTTTTAAATTCAAAACGCGTGGTAATGCATTATTTTAACTGATTGTTATTCATGAACATCATGGCAAATTTAATAAGAGTAGAAAGCTTATTTACTCGTATTTTCAAAAACTACATTAACGATATATCATTATTTATATATTTGAAGTCTAAAATTTGGCTACTCTTTGAAAAATAACCTTTTATACTATGCATTCCACTGTTGAACACATGTCATCTCCATATATTGCCTCATAAAGGGAGAGTGGAAGGGGGGGGGGGGGGGGCAGAAGTCTGCCATAATTGGTACACACGTCGAGCGGGTTACCAACCGCAGTTATTTTATAATTTGAGCTGTCATCAGGAAAATGCTGCTGTCCCTTTCCCCCCTCCTTAATGCCCCTCGGTCACCTTTATAACACTGGATATGTGGATTAGTAGATTTTCTTACGCATGTGAAGTTTATATTCATGAGAATTTTGTTCTTTTAGCTTAACGGCCGCAGCGAAGGACCGAAAGGCAAGACTGGAGGACGCGAGAAACCTATATCAATTTTTGGAAGATCATGATGAGGAAGAAGGTATTTCCATTTTATTTAAAATTCATGAACTTGCAATCTCTTCTAATTCTAATATTTTCTTTTTATGGGCAATACTTATGAATCAGTGTATTAAAGGCAGTCATATCAAGCAGTAATTTTCTTTATCATTCTAATATCATATCCTAACAAATTTATATTAATAGATATAATACCGGACTTAGAACTCTACCTGTTGGTACACCTTCACTGATTTGCCTACGTTTACAATAAATTGCTTTTGGCTTTCTCCTAAATAATGCATTTATACTAGCGACAATCTAAAAAGCCCGATTTGACGTTTCTAATTACACATGCTGCGATAACGTTGTATGAACGTCTACATAAGAAATCGAAAAATCAAATTCATAATCCTAAATAATTACTATGTTATCCATAAGGTATAATAATGAGTATCATTCGTAAGCACAAAGTTTCACTTTATATTGGAAAAATGCACTCAAAAACACGAATTAATCGTTGATTAATATTACGACAGGACATTATTACAATGACATGTGTGTTATATCTTTGGGTTCGTTGCCGTAGTGTTGTGACCGTTATAAACCGTTTTTTGACCAAATCAAATCAATGTTCTGAAAAATCGATACTTATACATTTAGAAAAGAGAGAAACGTATTATTTAATGTTTAAACAAATAAAAACAAAATTTGACCCCATATATTTCTAGCTTTATTTTGATATTTAATATGTTAATATTGGAAATAGTTTGGCTAAAATGGCAGGAGTTCATAATTTTATTTTGAAAAAATAAATTTTAACCGCCATTTTTTCTCTCTACGTAATTTATTCGTCAATGCTTCGCGTGGTCTCATGCCATCTTAGAAGTTTTTGTATTATTGATTATTATTATATTTTCTGACTCGGCTATCACTCTTGAACTGTTTCTGCTATATTCATTAACCTTGGCTTGCTAATTCCGGACTTTGATTGCGCATTACGTGATTTTGGTGTTATCGTGTGAACTAGACAACATATATAAAAGAGGAGGTAATCTTAACAGCTAGTCTCGTGACTTGGTTTTGAAGTTGCACGAGTACTTTGAACGAGAGTCAGCAAATAGAAGATCTCTTTCAGAAGTTACCCAAGTACAAGAACGAGTGGCACAAGTGCTTGGAATTGGCATAAAAACTGTCCGAAGTATAATAAAGGAAAATACGGTCCTTCTGGCTTTGAAGATAATGTACTGCACATAGAAAAAAAGCGATAAACAAAACAAAAACCTATGACAGGTATCGCTAATTTTGATGCTGATGCTATTAGATTCCATATTTATGGCTACTACACCAGACAAGAATACCCCACCGTAAGTAAATTACTTGTGCCCCTTAAATCTGCAAACTTATATAATGGCAGTGCTACATCTATTAAAACGATTCTAAAAATTATTGGGTTTTCGTACGAAAAAACCGACAAACGGAAAATATTGATGGAAAGGTATGACATAATACTACAAAGAGTATCCTTCTTAAGAGAAGTTAATAAAATAACCAACTGAGACAAGGTAATATTTATTGATGAGACATAGTTAAATGCTAATCATACTGTGTCACAGTCACATTGAACTTTACGTCTTTTATAGGCTATTCTGCACGTCAAAATACAAGACCTCCATTCACCACAAAAAAATGCTTGGTCTTCTGAAAGAAGCATGTACCTACACACGCCACAAAAGATGATTGGATAAATGTAGGAGAATGGACTAAGATAATTAGAACGGAAGACTTTTTTTTATAGGATAGGGTGACAAACGAGCACACAGTCCACCTGATGGTAAGTGGTTGCTGTGGCCCATACACATCTACATCTATCCTCGTTTGCGAATCAAAACGCAAATGCGTTGTCACCGGTGAGGACTAAGATGGAATGCCTCTTTTCCAGTAAAAAGGGTCTCCGGTTCTCTACACTCACCATAAGAAACACAGCAGTTTTAAACTGCTATTTTACGCTGGTATTCTGTGAAAGCGTGGTCCTTACCCGGTCGAGCCGACCCATTCGTGCTACAACTATACTAATAATATAGCTGCAGCATGGCTCTACCACATACAAAACTTTAGCAAAGACGTGTACATTTTGACAATTTCATTGAATATGAATTTATTATAAAGTTAACCGATGAAGACAGTTCAACTGATGATAATTTTTCTGGATCATCCAGTGACGAAAGTGAATAAAATTCACTGAATTTATTTATTTACCTGACGCAACCACACTTATTTATTGTTAATTTTATTCTTGAATAGCGACTCGCTTCGGCGTTGTACGGGTGCATATCAGTGGCGTGCCTACATAATATACAATGTATTATTATACGTAAGCCTTCCGGAATAAATCAGTGTCAGGTTTTAGTTTATGACATGGCTTTGGAACTGGCCCAAATTTAAACTTAGTTTGGATTTATGTAATAACCGTTAAATATTACAAACTCGTACATGTATTAAAACGATATGCCTTGAGAATCAATTTTAAACGATGTAGATACATTGTCCATTACATACTTTAAATAATCGATATGTTTCGAGAATCGGTTTTTAAAGCAACCAATTTTTTCTCCCATCATTACTATTAGGGACTGTATGAATTTAATGTATAAAACTGATTGACTGACTAATTACTACGCTAGGGACTGCTTAAAGGAAAGATAGTACTGTAGACTATACTGTATTCAAATATTTACAAATGGGGCACTAATAAACTATATACAGAGAGGGGAGTCTTCACTCTTCAATCTTCAATGAAGTATCTCTTGATTTCTCTTGATGCTTCTTTTCTTGCTGTTGTCTTCGAGTGCCGCTTCCGAAATGAACAGCTCGCAGACCAAAACGCCCTTCTTATATCACGCAAGAGGGCGTCTAAGTATGTGAGTAACGTTGTGAGGCGATGCTGCGCGCTGATTGGTCGGCGACATCTCGTGATGATGGCGATGTGCGGGGTGCGGGGTGCGCGAGGCGCAACGGGGTATGAAGGGGCGACGGGGCGGCGGATCCCTTCGCCGTCCGTAACAATTACACAAAATATTTTTATAGCTGTCAAATCTGGCTTCTTAGATTGTCACGAGTATAGTACTAAAAATTGCAGAATTTATGAACCTTAAACAGGAAAAATGAAATAGTAATATTGTATAATACACAATTTGTAGAACTGACTGAACTCAGACATGCTACAGTTCATCAAATGCAGGTTATTAAATTTAACAGTGAAATAGAACAACAATGCTGATTATTATATTTTGATTTTATAAAATTTATCTATTATCTGAAATGTTGGTGTTAAAGTCAGACTGGTATTTTTATTTACCAATTTGACTTTAACGTTATTTTAAATGCTTAAATTTAGTTTTGTATTTGAATTGATTTTCTTATTTAAAATGCTAAGAGCTTATTGTGATAAACGTTCAATATTTATAATTCTATATTTTTCATTTCACAAATACCATAGTAATAAGGTGATAGGTTTTTATGCATTTCCAGACCCTTTTCAATTGTATATTATCTTTGTTACAGGCTGGGTGACAGAGAAACAGCGCATTTGTCGCGCCGACGTGGCTGCCAAGGATCTCCGTGGTGTGTTGGCTCTGCGTCAGAAGCACACGGCGTTGCTCCATGAACTGCGCGCCAGGGACCTGGTGGCGCAGAGGCACCGCGAAAGAGGACAGAGGTGAGGATTTCCTTTTAACTTTTAATTAGTACTTTTTGATTGAAATTTAATTTAATTTTTAACCAGGTATAGGGCTCGCTTGTGTAAGTTTCAGTCGATTATTATCATAATCGGGTTTTATAAATAATTCTAAGACTATATTCAAGGTTGGGCCAAGGCTGTAATATTGTTCATATAAAGGAATGTGTTTTTATTTTTCAGTTATTTAGTCTAACCTTCGATATAGGTTGCATTAAAAGACTCTAAATAAGTCTTCGGATAAATGATTTATAGTCAATAGTGAAAATAATCGATTATCAAATTTATTTTTGGTGCGATCTAAAGCGAACCATCTTACTGTGTCTTGAAACCTATTAGTTAATTTAAATAATTGTAGTATTCAAAGCAGATGGTTAATACGAAGCTATCTTATCTGTTAAAATAAAAAATATTTTTAAATTTAATAGTCCCTCGAATCATCAGTGGATAGCAGTAGTAAGAATTAGTGTTCTTACACTTTTATTTATCAAAGTATCAAAATAAAACTCTACTCTTCATTATCTTTTACATTCATTTGTAGTAAAGTAAAGTTGTACTAAAGTCGATTGATTTTCTTACAGCCTCATCGATGCTAAGCACCCTAAGAGTGCAGAGATAGAGCGGAGGCTGGCGACGCTTAGCAAGCAGTGGGAGATCCTTCGGGAGCTGGCCGAGGCTCGGGAAAAGCAGCTGGCTGACGCCGCGGAAGCCCATCAGGTTACCTAGGAATTTTAGATTCATACCTAATATTTATTCAATTAAGGATGGAATCGATTTTATCAAAATCTCTTAGCAACTGAGAAAATATATGTATCCTAACTGCCAAAATGACGAGTCTGATTTTTTTTTATAGGAGAGGGGGCAAACGAGCATGCGGCTCACCTGATGGTAAGTGACTACCGCCGCCCATGAACAACCGCAACACCAGGGGAATTGCAGATGCGTTGCCGGCCTTTTGAAAAGGAGTAGGCTCTTTTCTTGAAGGTCCCTAAGTCGTATCGGTCCGGAAAAATCGCTGATGGTAATCGATTCCACAAGGAAGTCGTGCGAGGAAGAAAACATCTTCTAAATCGCACAGTGGTGGACCGCCAATCATCCAGATGGTGTGGATGGTATCGGGAGTTCTGCCGCGATGTGCGTTCGTGAAATTTGGCGGCTGGGATTAATCCGAACAATTCCTCAGAGCACTCCCCGTGGTAGATGCGAAAGAAAATGCAAAGGGATGCAACATCTCTACGCAGTGCCAATGAATCGAGCCGATCGGAAAGGACTCGGTCAAGTGGAAGGAGCTGGCACTGGGGAGCCCCTGCCCAGAGATGGGAACAGTATTCCATGTGAGACCGAACCTGCGCCTTGTAAAATTGCAGGCGGTATGCCGGCATGAAATACTGTCCCGCTCTGCTGAGCACGCCAAGGTTTTTAGAGGCCAATTTGGCCTTGTCTTCCAAGTGACCACGAACCTGCACGTCATTCGATATGTCGACTCTGAGGATTCCGATACTGGCTGAGGCAACAAGAGGAGTGCCTTGAAACTGAGAAAATACGACAAAGGGATTCTTTATAGCGGTAAACGCGCAAACTTGTGCCTTCTGAGGATTAAACTGGACTAAATTTAGTCGCCCCAAATCGAAGACTTTGTTCAGCAAAGACTCGACACGACACAAGTTTGTTCCGGTACTCAACGACGTTTTATCGAGAAATATTGGCACGGCCGGTGTATAAAGCATCACCAGTGCTGTCATCCGCAAAGCAATGAATGTTACCAGTTAGCAACATATCATTGATATGCAGAAGAAACAGCGTTGGTGATAGCACACAGCCTTGTGGAACACCAGCGTTAATAGGCTTCGGAGCATGCACCATCTACAACGACCTTGATGCTCCGATCTGCAAGGAAACTGGTGATCCAATTGCACAATTTCTCGGGAAGCCAATAGGAAGGGAGCTTCGAAAGAAGTGGTTTGTGGCAAACCCGATCGAAGGCCTTCGCAATGCCCAAACTAACAGCCAACGCCTCCCCCTTGGACTCTACTGCCTCTGCCCATCTATGGGTCAGGTAGACCAGAAGATCACCAGCTGATCGACCCCGACAAAAACCGTATTGGCGGTCACTAATCAGCTGGTGATCCTCAAGGTACCGCATAAAGGACCGCAAGGACGCAAAAAGGGAGCCTAAAAGGTCGGCTTTGTCTTTTGCGGCTTGGGCCAGTGAGTCGTCCTCCCTGTGCAGAGATGGCAGAGATGGCTGACAGAAATTCCCTTGGACAGCTTTGGCGAGAGACCAGAATGCACGGGTTCCCGAAGAAAGGCGAACTAGTTTCTCGCCAATTCTACCTATGTGCTCTGACTTTGCCTTGGCAATAACTCTTTTGAACGACCTGGAGGCGAAGTTATACTTCTTTTTAAGTGATACCAACTTCTTACAGTATTGATGATTTATAATCGCAAAGTCAAAGGCAAATTTGTAAGCAAATGCAGGCCCGCTGAATGCTTCCTTACAATATTGTTATTGTTTCAACGAGTTATAAGCATTATATGAAATATGTTAATTTTACTACTTGTTAATATAGACGTACTTATACTTCCTTTTCGAATGTATTAATAACATTAAAAAAACTTATTTATGATACCTGATGACAATTTTAACCTTAAAAGCAAAGAAGGCAACCCGCTTGCCAAGCGTGGCAACTATGGCTAATAGGCCCCTTATGTGGCAATTTATGGAAGAGTCCTATATTCAGCAGTGGACTTAAATAGGCTGTAAAGGTAATTTTTAACATGTTTAACCAATTTTTTGTGGTGCACAGTTCTACGGCGACGCAAATGAGGCGGAGTCGTGGATCAAGGAGAAGCGGGCGCTGGTGGCTACCGAGGACTGCGGGCGCGACGCTGCCGGCGCCGGGGCGCTGCTGGCGCGCCAGCGCTTGCTGCACGGCGAGCTGCAGGCTTACGCTTCCGAGCTGCACGCGCTGCGCAGCGTCGCGCAGCGCCTGCAGCAGGCCGGCATCCGCGAGCTGCAGGTATACGCACGCACACGCATACACCTACGCACACACTACATACGTGTGTTCTTTAAAAAAAACATCTGCCCCCAACGAGCAATTTAGTTATATAATAATTATAGTTCACGTTTCTAGTTCCTGAGATGTATTTAAAGTTTCAAATAACGTCAAGAAGTATGTTTAAAATCTATTGCTAAATATATACCGATCAGACGAACAAGAAAGTGAGAACATATTGAATTTTTATCCAACTCTGACATTACAAACAGACACTTCTATTTTATTTATTTGTATAGATGTATAGATTTACCACTGCCTTAGAAAATATCTATGTCTTGGAAAGAACTAGGAAGAAACCCAGTGGGACATTTTATTTTGAAGAAAGAACAGTTTACTATCGTTTAATGTGTAACACAATAATTAATACACGAAACAAATTAGAAATAGCTAGGTAGCTATCACCTCATTCCTATGGGTTATTATTATCATGCATAAATTCCTTAATATTATAATAATTCTATAATCCCAAGTTTTTAAACAAATCCAAGTAATCTATATTATTTTTTAACAGTTGCCAACAGAAGTGGAAGCAGGACCAGCGCTGGAAGAGGAGGAATGGGTGAACGAGTCCAGGCTGGTGCCCACTGAAGTGTGGGAGGAGGAACCGGTGGAGAGGTTGGAGCACCGAACCGTCACCGAAGAGAGAAGTGTGCCACAGGTCTGTGAAAATAATATTCATGTGTTATTCACTATCACCTGCTTTTTTTCTACCGACTTCAAAAAGCAGACGGTACTCAATTCGACTCTTTCTGGGTGAAACGATTCCGATTAACTTTTTTTTATTTGAAAGCTGGTGCTGCTTCACATGTGGTCCCATATAAATTTGATCAAGGTTTAACTAATAGTTTTTGAGTTATTCTTAATAATCTATATTGAAGTCGGTTGTAGAAAATTTTTAATTTTAAATTATATTGAACCTTGCTTCTTCATTAGGCACCGAGAATATCGCCTACACGACAGACCCTGATTAGTTATTGATAACATGGGCCATTGTTCTAATTGTAATGTACTTATAGTCGGTATGCGAAATTATAAATGTAATTGTATATTTAAGTTACTATAGTGATAAATCGACTGTTGCAGTGATACCTACACACATAACCTCACTTTTACTTATTTTACGACAACTCAGCTCCTGACAAATCTTATCTTTTAAGCTTTCGAATGTTCCTAATTTCATCTTATTAACACCTGGGGCCCAAGTATAGAAACGTCCCCTTCTCTTTTTGTATTCAAATATTTTAATACTAGATGGTGGGACTTCTTTTCTATTTACGAGTTCCTATGGGTAAGAACCACTCTGCACTACTATTTCTGCCGTCATAATATCATTGCATGCTTTGCTGTGGTTCCGGTGTGAAGGGTTTAGAGAGTCAATATAATCACAGGCTGTGAGGCATTCCGTCTTAGTCCTCAGAGATGACAACGCAACGCGAGCAACCCGGGTACGATCCCCGCTGACACCAATGAAATTGTTAAATGCAAAACTTAAGTGCTGATTTATCACCTGCAAGTCTAAAATTTTTTTCGAAGACGTGAAGTTCGGCGACACGTATTGGGGCAGCGCGGCGGCCACTTCCTTGCCCTAAAACCCTCTCAGATATAAGAGGATGCCCGTGCCTAGCAGTGCAACGTATTTAGGCTATAACAGCCTATATATCTACGTCCCACTGCTGGAAGCATACCTTCCGTACTTTCTAAGATGGTGCTGCTCCAGAGTCGTGTTGGCGGATTTCATACTTTAAAATATGTCAAAGAAATACATTAGTATGAAAGTAGTTTTTATGGATACTATCGCGTTTACTAATTTATTTTATATTTCCGACGTTTCGAGTACTATATACAGTACCTATGGTCACCTGTGACCACTTAATAACAAACAAAAGAACTGCAGGTGGCAACTATAACAAATATTCCACCCTCCATCCCTATGAGGCAATCTATGTGAATGCCTATGCTCAGCAGTGGACTTTTGATAGGCTGTAATCATCGATCACTAATAAAAACTAGATACACAATCCCATGCAAAAATTCTTTAAAAAGTGTCGCCAATTGTTTTAACTTAATTCTTGTTGAAATAAATATACATTAACAACCTTAAATGCATTGCGTAAAGTTTAAAGTATTGATAAAGCTACGTACAAATTAAAAGCGCACCCAAATGTTCGAGTGGGCGCTCATTCGGTAAGGACATTTTTTTCACTGATTATGTATCTAGTTTTTTAATAGTGATTGATGACTGTAACACAAATAATATTATAATCTGACAGTAGCCATAAGACTGACTGCTTGAACGGGCGTGTGTTAATTCGGTTGAATTGATTCCGCAGGTGAAGGCGCTGTACGCATTCAGCGGGCAGGGCATCTCGATGGCGAAGGGCGAGGTGATGTTCCTTATCAACAAGACCAACCCTGACTGGTGGTCAGTGCGCAAGGCGGACCGCACCGACGGCTTCGTGCCCGCCAACTACGTGCGCGAGATCGAGCCCCGGGTCGTGCCAGTCAGTATCAATACAAACAAGTTGTTACATGCCTAGGGGCCTACCTAGCCATTCCCCCTACAATCAATTTATACGTAGTAGAGCCATGCTGCAGCTATAGTGGTGGTATAGTTGTAGCATGCATGGGTCGGCTCGACCGGGGAAGGACCACGCTCTCACAGAATACCAGCGTAAAATAGTAGCTTTACAATGCTGTGTTTCGCATGGTGAGTGTAGAGAACCGGAGACCCTTTGTACTGGAAAACAGGCATTCCATCTTAGTCCTCATGGATGACAACGCATCTGCATTTTGAACATTCCAATTATATATATATATTGGAGAGTCATTACGAATCGTCTCGAGCGTAGACTTGACGACTTCCAGCCTCCCGAACAAGCCGGTTTCCGAAAGGGCTTTAGCACCATAGACCACATACATACCCTTCGGCAAGTTGTACAGAAGTCCGAAGAGTACAATTTGCCACTATGTCTGGCGTATGTGGACTATGAGAAAGCCTTTGATTCCGTCGAAATTTGGGCGGTGCTGCAGTCCCTTCAGCGGTGCCAAGTTGACTGTCGGTATATCGAAGTGTTGAAGTGCTTGTACAGTAGGGCTACGATGGCTATCCGAGTACAGAACCAGAATACGAAACCTATCCAATTGCAGAGAGGTGTAAGACAGGGTGACATCATATCCCCGAAACTCTTCACCGCTGCATTGGAAGACGTTTTCAAGCTTCTGGACTGGAAAGGATACGGTATCAACATCAATGGCGAGTACATCACTCACCTTCGATTTGCCGACGATATAGTCCTTATGGCAGAATCGCTGGAGGACCTAAGCACTATGCTCAATGACCTCAATAGTGTTTCCCAACGGATAGGTCTTAAGATGAACATGGACAAAACAAAGATCATGTTTAATGTCCATGTCACACCTATGCCGGTAGTTGTTGGGAGCACTAAGCTCGAAGTTGTTGACGAGTATGTTTACCTGGGACAAATAGTCCGACTAGGTAAGTCCAACTTCGACCGAGAGGTCAATCGACGGATTCAACTCGGCTGGGCAGCGTTCGGGAAGCTACGACACATCTTCTCGTCAGACATACCTCAAAACCTGAAAACGAAATTGTACAACCAGTGCGTGTTGCCAGTGATGACTTACGGAACTGAGACGTGGTCCTTCACTGCTGGCCGTATGAGGAAGCTCAAGGTCGCTCAGCGAGCTATGGAGAGGGCTATGCTCGGAGTTTCTCTGCGTGATAAACTTAGGAATGAGGATATCCGCAGTAGAACCAGAGTGACCGACATAGCCCAACGGATTAGTAAGCTGAAGTGGCAGTGGGCCGGCCATATAGCTCGAAGAACCGACAACCGATGGGGAAGAAAGGTTCTCGAGTGGCAGCCTCGTACCGGTAGGCGAAGTGTAGGGCGTCCCCCCACGAGATGGAGTGACGACCTGGTAAGACATGCAGGAAGTCGATGGATGCAGGTGGCTCAGGACCGTGCTTTGTGGCATTCTTTGGGGGAGGCCTATGTTCAGCAGTGGACTTGTGAAGGGCTGTAATGATGATGATGATGATGATATATATATGAATATGTAAGAAAAATTTGTACTCCTTTTTAAGCATATGCACATTAAAATGTGTTATAAATGGTTTAAATTAAATGTATTTGTAACACATATAATTTTTTAAGTTTTAATTACCGTGTAGTGGCGGTGTAAGAATATCCACCACCCCATATTATTCCCTGGTAGTCGTAAGAGACGATAAAAGGAAATAAACCGGGAGATCGTAGCAGCGTCTTTATAATAACGATTAAAATTAAAATAAACTGCGGTTGCCAACCTGCATGTTTGCTCTATGGAGCAATCTATGGCGGCGGTTATGTTTAGCAGTGGACTTTATTAAGGCTTTATTAAGGCTAAGTAAGACTAAAATAAAAAAAATTAAAGTTATGTCCGTCTGTCTGTCCGTCCGGGCTTACCTTCGGTACCTATGGTTGAACCAATTATAAAACGAAACGGATAGGGAGCAATGCCAGGAGGGTTCTAGGTTATATTTTATCTAGACAACTTTATTTTAACCAGAATATTTTATTAAATTTTTATATTAGATTATTTTGTAAAAAAACCGTGCAATTGATAAGAATAAATGATCTTTGATTATCTTAAATCTAAATAACGTTACATGAGTAGATTCTATCAAGGCTAAGTCGGGGCAGGTAGCATGTAAAATTTCTTATTGAAAGTCATCCTTATGTTCAATTTAACACTCGTTTGGAAAATATCTCTTACCTGGGAAGAACCAGCAAGAAAAACAGCAGCATATTAAAAAAAGAACAACTTACAATCATGTACATTACAAGTCACCCAATGTCATGTTAACTCCCTCTGTGCTGCAAAGCACCCGAAACGTTGGGAATTAAAAATAATTAAAATGCAACGTTACACACAGGTGCAAGTACGGCGTCCGGAGAAAGTGAAGACCGTGCAGCGGGTGAAGAAAACCGTGCTGGTGAAGCAAGTGGTGCCGGTGCGCCGGGCGGCCGCGCGGCCCGCCCGCAGGGCCTCCAGGGCTCAGCCCGTGGCCCTGGCCAAGGCGCCCGCTGTTGGTGACAGAATGGACCACATCGATCAGCAATATGGTTGGTTTCTCTTCACATTTATTTTTATTCAAGTGAAAACTGCTGCGGCGCGACGACAGCGCCGCTACTTCTAAAATCGTTGTGATTTGAACTCGATGAAACGTAAAAGCTACACTAAAAAGAGACAAACATATTTAGCCTGAGAATATACAGTGTTTCCTATTATCGCGATCTTCTCTATATGTTTTAAATTCTATGTGTGTACTTTAAAGATGGTTAATATAACTTTTTCAAATAAATAAAATTATCATATTCAATCGGTTCATACCAATCCATGCTTTCATATCTTATTCATAATAAATTAGTCGTGTTTGGGCTATTTAGCGTTTATTTTACGTACCACCTTGAGAGTCAATCAATTTATGTTCGATAAAATAACTTTACCTATAAAATGAAGTAAATTTCGCTATCACAAATAAATGAAGCTACAAAACTGTCAAGAAGGCCTCATATATAACAATCGAAAATTTATAAAAAATCTATTATTATAAAAATATTAAAATGTTTTTTCAAATAAAAATTTCTTTATGGTTAATAATAACATTGATTTTGTAAAATAGTACTTTGATACATATTTTGAAAGTTAATTATGAATTTAAATATATAAATTATTTCTTTTGTATACATAATCTAAATTTCCCATGTAATGTATATTGTATAAGAAATAGACAAATATGACTAATTCAAAAACACGTCCACAGATGAACTCCTAAAGTTGTCCGAGGCTCGCCGCGCCCAGCTCGAGGACGCGATCAAACTCTACAGCTTCTTCGCCGAGTGCGATGACTTCGACAAGTGGATCAAGGACAAGGAAAAGATGCTGCGCTCTGACGACCCTGAGGATAGCGTGGACAAGGCCAAGAGGAAGTATGAGGTAAGGAAAATTCAAAACCGTTTGAATTAATTTTTTTTAATAGAATAAGTTCATAATTAACGTGATGGAAAGTGTATGCTGTGGTCCATAGACGCCTCCATCAAAATACAAATGCGTTGTCAACTCTGATGACTCTTTACCAGTAAAATGGGTATGTAGTTCTACTCGCTTAATTTAAAATGTTGTTTACCATGTGTTGTAATATGGAACGTTAAATTGGTGTTTCGATAGTAAAAAAAAAACTGAGTTCTGTTATATTTGTATTTTTTTGCCAATTTGACCTTCCTTTCTAAGTGCCGGCGGAATAGAACGTATTTTGATATGACTATGCCGAGGGTTCCGATGCTAGCCAAGGCAACGAGGGAGTGCCTTGAAATTGAAGAGATACTACGAATGGGTTCTTTTTAGCGGTAAACTCATAAGTTTGTGTCTTCTGGGGATTGAACTGGACTAGATTTAGCCGCCCCCAATACGAGCCTTTGTTCAACAAAGATTCGAATTCAGACACAAGTTTATTCCGGCATTTTTACAATAATTTGCCAAGCAATATTATTATGAAAAGTATGACAATGACATTTATTGTGTTCATTTAAAAGCCAATCCAGACGGACTGTAAGCAGAAAAATATTCTTACATTTTTGTTAAAACGCCACACGTTTTTAAGTGTCTCTGCTTTGAAAGTTTTGAAGTGTTTTATCCGTATGTGTATTTACGCGCGTGCAGAAACTGGTGACGGACCTGTCGGCCGCATCGAAGCGCCTGGAGCGCATCGACGCTGCTGCTGAAGAGTTGGCAGCCGCGAAGCATGGACAAGCAGCGCGAGCTGCTGCGCGTCGCCAGCAGCTGCGCCAGCAGTGGGAGCGCCTGCTGCGACTCAAGCACCAGACTGAGACACACCTGGAGGGCGCCTCCAGGTCATTATCACCACCATACTCACATAACCACAACACTATCCTTATCTTTTTAATTGCCTCGTTTACTACGTTTGGACTAGACCAGTATCGGTAGAGCAAAACGAGCACACAGTCCACATGTTGGTAAGTGGATGTTTCGGCTCGTAGACTTTTATGTACATATGTCTTACATTAAGAATCAAAATGCAGATGCGGTGTCACCCCTGAAGACTAAGATGAAATACTTCGTTACCTGTAAAAAGGGTCTCCGGTTCTCTACACACAGCATACGGAAGACGGCAGCAGGAAACTACTACTTGAGACCGGTATTCAGTGAGAGCATTGTTGAACAAACCCATTCGTGACTGGGTTATCCTGTTAAGTAATTCTCACAAGGTAGCAGCTCAAATTTTATATAAAATAAATATGGAATATTATCTTTTCTTTTTATATAGAATAAGGGTGACATACGAGCACACAGTTCACCTGATATTTACAATATCTGAAAATAATGTACAAAAACGTCTGAAAACACAGACAATTTTTCACAAATATTAATTCCTCATTTCTGCAAACTCTTTTCTTTTGTATAACTTGAATATAATATTAGCCTACTCATCTGATCCTAGAGTAAACAACGTGGGATATTGACATTTTTTTTATAGAACGGTGTGACAAACCAGTACACAGTTTACCTGATGGTAAGTGGATCTCGTGGCCCATAAATATCTACATTTATCCTCAATTAAAAATTTAAATGCAGTTTTATCACCTCTGAGAACTAAGATTGAATGTTTCTTTTGGAGTAAAAATGGTCTCCCGGTTTTCTACATGCACTATTCGAAACCCAACAGCATTTAGCTTATATTTTGCGTTGGTATTCTGTGAGAGCGTTGTCCTTCTCCGACCTATTTATACTACAACCGTAATATAACTGCAACGTTGCTCTATCACGCATAAAACATGTGGAGAGAAAGCAAATATCGGAGTTCCTAACCTGTTATGTAACTTTCGAAGATATGTAATTACGACTTTTATCATATCTACAAAAATACAGCTGTCTACATCATCTTTATGTTAATCTAACTTCAATTATAAACACGAGACCACAATAGAAACAGAAAACCACTATATTTCACTTTATTAATTTGCAGCTATATTACTGGTATAGTTGTGTCACGAATGGGTCGGCTCGACCGGGGAAGCATCACGCTCTCACAGCGTAAAATAGCAGCTTAACACTACTGTGTTTTGTATGGTGAGTGACCTTTTTTATTGGAAACGAGGCATTCCATCTTAGTCTTCACGGGTGACAACGCATCTGCATTTTGATTAGTATTCGAGGATAGATGTAGATGTATAGACAGGGGCTACAGCAATAACTTACCATCAGGTGGACTGCGTGCTCGTTTGTTACCCTTATCCTATAAAAAAGGCCTCGTTTACGACTTAAAATGAGGTGGTAAAATCTTTTACGCCACCACACAACAATCGTTGAACCTAGTTGAAAGTGACGTAACGCTTGCAGCGTGGAGCTGTTCCAACGCACTTGCGACGAGGCGCTGGACTGGATGGCAGAGAAGGAGCAGCAGCTGGCAGGCGTGGCCGCGCCCGCCACGGACCTGCGCACGGTGCGCGCGCTGCAGCGCCGCCACGCGCAGCTGGAGCGCGAGCTGGAGCCGCTGCGCGACAAGGTCAACACCGTCGCGTTGCTCGCCGACTCGTGAGTGCAGTTCTCTCTCTCTCCCCCTCCCTCTCTCTCTCTCTCTCTATCTATCTATCTATCCTTCTTTCTTACTCTTTCCGTCGCTCCATATTTTACATCTCTCCACAACATGTCTGCTCTTTTTACTTCCTCGTTTTCCCTTTCCTCTGCCCTCTCCCTTCCCTTCTCTCTTCCCTTTCACTCTTCATCTTTCTTTCCCGTCTTCCTTCCCATTTCTCCGCTATGCTTCGCAGAGCTATGACATTCTGCTTTTGTCTCTTTTGACAAACTTTTTATTAGATCTCGTAAAATTTTATGTTACCTTAACATGTATTATTAAAGCAGATCTATATCGTCAGGTAATAGAAGTTTTTTCGACAAAACATTGTTAATGATTTCATATTATCGAAGGAAATGCTGTTGCGTGAGTAACATGCCCAATTTTAATCCGGTCATGCAAAACTTTTCATCAAAATCAAGACTTAACTTCGTCAAAATGACGACGGTCATCCAAAACATAATGAGGCTTTTTAACAGTCCATTACTGGAAATTTACACTTTGAAAATAGACGCCTTATAAATCTATAAGAATTTAGTATACCTTATTGTCACCCTCCACTTTCAGACAGCCTCTTACAGTACAGAAACTTAAGTTAAGTGCAAATGAAAAAGACGTTTATAACTTAACACAAAAACGAATTTTTATTTACATAATTGACTACTACTTCAGGCAAATAAACAATCATTCTCTATACTTTTCACGCAGCCTCATTGAGTGGTACAGAACTAATGGGTATGTTTCAACAAATTAAAACTCATGTCAACTATAACAGTGCATTTATCTAAAATATTTCACATAAACCTCCCTGCTCACTCCCATATTGCTATATATTCGGTACCTTTGGTTTAATCTACATTATTATACTAATGTTGCACCGTGTACTTAATACATTAGAAAACCCATTACACCTTCTTCTATCATGATCGTCATTACAGCCCCTCACAAGACCATAGCTGAACATGGATCTTACCTAAGGAATACCAAAAAACTCAGTCTTTAGCTACCTACATTCATCAACGTCCTGCATGCCTTACCAAGTCGACACTCCAACTTGTCAACAAAAAATCTTACGCCATAAACACTTATTCCATTTTCTTCTGTTAAGTGTCAAGTCCTGCTTGGGAATATTTTCATATTGCCATAGGTATGCTTGTGATCTACTAAAGGAATTGGTTTGTACGATTAATAATTTTAAATTTAAACTAAAGTGTACCTGATATCTTATTAGAATTTATGTTTTTATATTCTCAAATCAAAAACAAAGAGTTGAAAAAAGTCATAGCAAAAAATAGTGTTCCCCAAGTATCTATTTTTGGTCCACTTAAGTTCCTAATTTATATGAGGGAATAGAGAGTGCACCTGTGCTTGCACACACGTACACTATTATCCTGTCCTGCGCTAGTGGCTATTCACCGGTACCAAAATTCGTTCTGAAGGATATTGTCATGTCATTGAATATACCATCAATATTGCATTTCGGTGTGTTAATCTTCAAGGCTCATAATGCACCTGAAGGCTTCTTTTGAAGCCTCGTTTCTTATATGTTGTAGTAAACGCTTTATTATTTATAGGATTTAATGTAAAATTGTGCGTGAATCTGGCTCGAGGGATCTAGTTTAAAGAACTTATATATTATCTTATAATGACGTGACAAACATTAAGATTTAGATCTTAGTGTAACGGCAACGGCCGTCGCACCCACTCACGCAGTATAATCCCGTCTTGTACTAATGACTAGTCTCCGTTGAGACTAGCCATTAATGGATTCGGTCTGGAGGACGTTAACTAATTAATCAAATGTTTGGCCGTAGCGTGAAGTCCCAGTATCCGAGCGAGCGTGGCAACGTGGAGTCCAGGCAGCAGCAGATAGAGAAGGCGTGGCAGCGCTGCCAGGCGCAAGCAGCTGAACGTCGCAGTCGCCTGGAGAGCGCCGTCGGGCACCAGGTGTTCGGCAGCAGCAGCGCTCAGCTGCAGGACTGGCTGCAGGTCAGATATTGCTATGCTTTTTAAAGTAATATTATGAAAAACGAACACAGTTCACATGATGTTAAGTGGATGCTGTGGCCCATACACATCTGTATCGATCCTCCTTTCGGAATTAAAATACTTTGTTTACTAAAATATCTTCCAGTAGACCCTAAAAGGTAAATATATGAAATAAGACAAACTTAGTGCATATATTTCTAATGACTGAAAAATATACATATTATTATATAAATTATAATAATTATACAATTATTACATTTGTGTTCAAGTATGTAAGGAGCAAGTGGAAAGAAGTGGTCTCTGCCTACCCCTACGGGAAAGAGGCGTGATTATATGTATGTATGTATTAATGTTATTAAGGAGACGCTTTTTATAGAATAGGCGTGACAAATGAGCACACAGTCCACCCGATCACCCCTGAAGACTAAGATGGAATGCCTCGTTTCCAGTAAAAAGGATCTCTGGTTCTCTACACTCACCATACGGAATACCGTTGCATTTAGCCTCTTTTTCTAGCTGTTATTCTGTGAGAATGTAGTGCTAACCCGGTTGACCCGACCCATTGGTGCTGCACCCATAATATAACTGCAGCTTAGCTCTACCACATATAAAACGAAAATATTAACGCTGCTGCCCATCTTCTGTTTTTTCCCCCCTTTGACGCCTCTTCCGCCAAACTTCGTAGTGTACACTCTTACGGAACGTCGTACTGCAGTCAAAATACAGCTGCAGCCTGACTTCAATCATTTAAAATTTTATTCATTTAATTGATCGCTTTACAGAAAGTACGTGAGCAGCTCTCCCAGGAGGTGAGCGCGAAGGACGTGGCCACCGCCGAGGCACTCCACAAGCAGCACCAAGAACTGCGAGATGACATCAAGGCCCATGACGACGAGTGAGTACTTACTAAGGATCTTTCTATTAAAAACTTTTAAATTTTTATAAAGAAAAATTATTTTATAAGGGTTACTATACTAGTAAAGAGTACATGATAGATAATAACCCATGGGAATTACTTAATTATATAAAATATTATATTGTAAACTAATGTTTAAAAAAGTCCTGCTCTGTTTCTTACGGATTCTTCCTAGGACAGGGTTTTTTTCCGAACCAATGGTAAAACTTAAATGACTTTTGATAAGAATTACACGTAATCTAATTGAGTCCTCGCTTAGGGACAAAATACAGATGCGTTGTTACCCCTCATGGTATAAGATAGAATTCGTCATTTTCAGTAATAAAGTTCCCCAGTTCTCTAAACTCACCATGTGATACACAGCAGTATTAAGCTGCTATTTTACGCTGGTATTCTATGAGAGCGTGGTCCTTCCCCGGTCGAGCCGACCCATTCTTGCTACAACTATACAAGTCATATAGCTGCAGCATGGCTCTACCACGTACAAAATCTGAGTAGATACCATCCTCCTTAGTATTTCAACTAGCAGTACACTATACTGCTTTGTTCCGAAAGGTGTACAGAGCAGTATAACTTTCTCTGTTCAAAGTTGGTTGCAGGTGGGTATGAACTGCTGTAGCCACTTACCATCAGGTAATTTTAATTTCGTTTGTCACTAATTTTTTCTTAAAATGCTAACTATTGTTTTTTATAATTCCCTCAGGTTCAAAGAGGTGATAGGTCTGGGCAAGCAGCTGCTGGCCACCAACCCCTCGCTAACGGACGTAGCTGAGAAGATCAAAAGCCTGGAGGCAGAGCAAAAGGCCGTCGACAAAGGTTTACATTTTTTTAATGGTACCATTCTCTAGAATTTTGTCTCGTATGGCAGTGGAGGATCGTGGAGACGTGTCACATAAATTGCACACAGACAAAATCACAACCTGGATAATATGTAGGCCATACAAACGCTTATATTTGTAAAGAAAGTGATATACAATGTGTAACTAACCACCAAGAACAAACATAAGCTAGTGATATCAGTTACTTCACTCAACAGAATTAATAATTCATTTATGGGACAATGTAATACAACAAAAAGTTTAAATGTTTTACTAAACAAAGATTTTAAAAAGGGTTATTATAATATAAATGCATACATGGTTGATAATAACACCTGGGAATGAGGTGGTCGCTTCTAAGTTGGAAATAGTTATACAACGTAATTTATATCGTTACTGTGGATTAAGGAAGTCCTGCTGGATTTCTTGCTGATTCTTCCCAGGACAGAGGCTTTTTTTGCAAAGTAAAAAAATGACAATAAGAATTATTTATAATCTATATTGAATAAAAATATTCTACTCTATTCCACTGTTTGAAATTGTTACTCACCTACTGTCGCGTGGCTCTACCACATACACAATTCTAATGCAAAGAGAAAAGTCCATAGACAAGATGATATCATGATTAGCTCGAGATTAGTTTTCATTTAAACGTATGTGTTTTGAATCTGAAGTTATATTATTGATGCTCCTTCTAGAATGGAAGGAGAAGGACGCGTTCCTGAAGCAGTGCGTCCAGCTGCAGAGCTTCAACCGCGAGGCGGACCAGATCGACGCCTCCAGCGGGGCGCATGAGGCGTTCCTCGAGTACAATCAGTGTGGCGTGAGCATCTTTTGCATACATTTATGGATTCCTTCAGAAATCCCATCCATAACAGCCTATAAAAGTCCACTGCTGAACATAGGCCTCAATCTTAGACTACCTAATGGGTGATTTTGCCATAGATGCCACGCTTGGCGAGCAGGGTAGCAACAGCAGTTTTTTATAATTTTGAATTGCTATCAGGAAGATGCTGCTACTCATCTTCTGTTTCATTTTCTATCTGTCGCCTATTACGATACCCTCGAGGACGATATGGGGCTGTGGATTTTCTGACACCATCGCTACACGGTTAAAATTCAGAATTTTAACCGTTGTTCATTCATTATTACCTATCAAAAATCTACTGCTGAATCAAAGCCTGAATTTTGGGGGGAATTTGTACGGTACAGGTTGCTGCTCTTGTATTATTGTTTAAATATTGTTTTGAAGTGACATACACGATGTGTAAAAGTGGTGCGATTTTACTTAATAAATGCGAGCTAAATATGTGAGCTATCAATAGAAAAGATGAAACGAGTGCTCCGATGGTGATGTTAACCTCAAGATAATGTATCTGATTAGGCGCTTTGAGATAATATCATCATCGACTTTCTGCAGGCTCAAGCTGCCGTCAAAAACTTTGTAATGTGACGCATCAATATATTATGAAGAAGTGTACCATAAAAAATACTTACGTATTACTTGGTACTGGCAAAAGTATAATTGTACGAGTCCATTACCAAAGAAAGAAAGAATCTAAGTCTCCCTATAAATAGCATTTTTTATCTATTAGTTACATCGATCACTAGTTAAAAACTAGATACACAATCCCATGCAAAAGTTCTCTAAAACTGTCGTCAATTATTTTGACGTAATTCTAGTTGAAATAAAGATAAATTAATGCCTAAAGTTGTATTCACAAATCTATTCCCATCTTCTTTGGCTAAATGTGGTCCAAGTTGCATGCAGCAGATTCTGTCTACCCCTTAGACGCTTTATATATGTATGCGCATGTTTTTGTTTGGCAGTCGTCAGTGGACGAAGTGGAGGCGCTGCTGAAGAGGCACGAAGAGTTGGAGGCGCGCCTGAGCGCCCAGGACGAGCGGCTAACGGTTTTCGTGCAACGAGCCACCGCCCTGGAGCATCAGCAGCCGCCACACTACGCCGCACAGCAGTAAGTCACGTTCGGAAGTTGGAGCTGGTAGTCTTTTGGTTGAGAACACTTGCGCGCTGTAATCCTGTCCTGCGTAGATGACTATTCTCCGTCGAGACTGTTTCTCGTGCTCGATATTTGGTTTGGAGGACATTATATTTTTGTTAATTTTTTAAATAAATAACTGCTACGAAATGTTGGACTCTTTTCTCCATCTTCATCAAAAGTCAACTATAGAATACCTCTTTTGTTTGGAGGCAGATCGGAACACTATGAAGGCGGATTGGTCACAAGTCCACTGCTGAACATATGCCTCCCCTAAACAATGCCACAAAACACGGTCCCGAGCCACCTGCATTCATTGATTTCCGACGTCTTACCAGGTCGTCACTCCATCTATTGGGCTGCCAACTCAACCTTTCTTCATACTCCACAGTATCCACTTTCCATCAGGTGGACTGTGTGTCCGTTTGTCATCCTTATTCTATAAAAGACAACCACTTTAACATTGAGAAGGAAACTGTACTGTTGGACAGTGGGAGGTGGTGTATATTATAATAAATTTACATATTATACCTAAATAAATTAAAGCAATGATTTAGTGCGTGCATACAAAGTTCAATATAAGCATATATACTGAAGGAGTACACAAAAGTGAAGGGTGCTAAAGGCAGTGTCGTTGTGCAGCATATCGAGTCGGCGTGCTGCAGTGGTGCAGCGGCGCGAGCAGGTGCGGCGCGCTGCTGCGGAGCGGCGCCGCGCGCTGCTCGCCAGCCTCGCGCACCACCAGGTCGGCACACGCACACACGCTGTACTCATATATACATACAAACATATAGCATTTATAAACTAACAAATACATATAGTCCGAAACGTGATACAGCCACGCTGCAGCTATATTATGCTTGTAGCACAAATGGCTCGGCTCGATAGAGGAAGGACCACACTCTCACAGAATACCAACGTAAAATAGCAGCTTAATACTGCTGTGTTTCGTATGGTGAGTGTAGAAAACCTCCGATCTTTTACTCTTAGTCCTCAGGAGTGACAATGCATTTGCGTTTTGGTTCCTTATCGAGAATAAATGTAGGTGTACATTAACTTTTGAACACTTAGAATCAGCAGAACTGTTTGCTCACTTATTCCTTTTAATAAAAAAGAAATATAGATTATAATAATATTCACGGAATGTATCGAATCTGATTGTTCAGATATTCATTCACATATTTATATTAGCATATTAAAAGTCCACTACAAAACAACACAGGCCTCCCCGATAAATGATCTCATAGAGGCTATATTTGCCAAAGTAGCCACGCTTGGCAAGTGGCTTGGCAATTATTAGTATTTCTTATTTTTTTTTAGCTGTTGTTAGGAAGACGCTACTGCTTATCTTCTATTTTATTTCCCTTCATCAACTTTTACCACACTCACGAGATTTTATGTGATAAAGGATTATGACGAAAAAGTTCACTTACTCTCGTACAAACAGTAGGAACAGTAAATCCGGCTCAAGGGATCTAAATACGTAAGAGATATTATTATGTTGAAATTTTGACTTTCGAAAATAAAACGCACTACAGCAATTTTCGAATGGAAAGTTATATATAAGATATTTACGGCTCCGTAGCGCAGTGGCTTAGCAATGAGTTCCAGCGCTAGGGTCTGCGGGTTCGAATCCTGCACGGAACAAGTATTTGTATGGCCTACGAATAATTGTTACGGGTTAGATGTTTGTCCTTGTGCAATTTATGTTTGTAAACTGCCTCCAGGATTCAGGAGAAAATCTTAGTGTACCCCCACACTAGGATTTTCTCCTAGTTCTCCTCACGTTTAAAACAGAAGATATAACTCTATTACGCTTTTAGTTTTATAAATAATAATCATCTCTCAACATAAAGTTTAATTACTGCATACTACTGTGCTTTCTCACAAAGTCCACTTTAGTTATAAAAGGGCTGAGAGATTTCTTAACGTTTCTTTAAATTTGAGAACGACTTACCGATTCTCCTGTAAATTTTCCAGTTTTTAGCAGCCTCAGAAGAACTACAAACATGGATACAAGACAAAACGAAAACGGCAAAAGATCAAAGCTACAGGTAACGTAAATTCAAACACGAACTTACTTGGATAAGAATTAAGAACTTTATGAATAAAACAATCTTGTATATTTCAATTATATTAAAGTAAAATAAACTCACAGCGTGTATATACGCCTTACTGCTGGGCAAAGGCTTCGCAGGCCATCTCCATTTATGAAAGGAAATGTCCGCTGCTCCATCCCCAACTCGTTTTAGCGGACTTCATGTATTTTCGATTTTTTTTAAATTTCTTAGACATGAAGGTTCCCTCACGATGTTTTCTTTCATCGCCGAGCCCCATTTCATTGGTGATGAAAAAAATTGCTCGTGTATTGTGAAATTACAGCGAGCCCTTGATAATAAATTAATTACGTGGTAAAGTCATGCTGCAGCTATTTTAGTATATAGCTCTATCACTAATGGGTCGGCTCGACCGGGGACAGTCCACGCTTTCACAGAATACCAGCGTAAAATAGCAACTTAACGCTACTGTCTTTCGTATGGTGAATGTAGAGAACAGGAAACCTTTTTTACTGAAAAAGAGGCATTAAATCTTAATCCTCATGGGTGACAACGCATCTGAATCTTGATTCGTAATCGAGGATAGATGTAGATGTGCCAGATGCTATGGGCCACAGCAGCCACTTACCATCAGGTGGACTATGTGCTCGTTTGTCACTTGTTTCTTATAAAAAATTAATAAAATAAGATCAACGCTAAAAATAAACTATTGTACGCATTACCTAGTTTGAAGAACACTCCAAAGCTAATGCGTCATTATATAAAATCCTATTAAACTTCTTAAAGCCAATATTAACAATATTTCAACAGGGATCTAGCAAATTTGGAGAGGAAGTTGCAAAAGCACGAGGCTTTTGAAAGAGAGCTGCAGGCCAATGAAAAGCAACTGAGGAATGTTGAAAGCGTATGTATTTAAATTAGTTATGTGAAAAGTTTTCTCTTTTGAAAACTTAGAGCTAACATTACATAGTATATAATAAATAAATAACAACTAGAAAGCCATTTAAAAGTTTTCATCTATAGACGATTTGAGCTAAGAAACAATAATTTAAGTCTGTAAAAGATAAACATTGGTAAAAAAAAATACAGTGATTAACAAAATTTAAGAGAAGAGCACTTAAAAGAATTGTTTCGTTATAATATTTTTGATCAAGTCCAAGTCAACGTTATTAGAAATTGCAGAAAAGTTCTTCACGCACGTTCATCATTTAAAACGATTTAAAATCTTAAATATTAGTTAATAGTTTGTAAAAATTCTTCTGCCTATAATATTTTTATTGCATTATATCCGGCTCAAAGGACCAAACATTTTTTTTTTCAGATTGGACAATCGCTGCAAAAATCAGACCCAGCTCGCGCTAAAGAAGTCTCAGAGAACCTGAAACAGTTACAAACTGCGTGGGAGGAGCTCGTGGCCGCATCCAGAGATAAGGGCAGCAAGTTGAGGCAGGCTGCTCAGCAGAGACAACATAGAAGGTAAGCAGTACCTTTCGGAACTTAAGACCCATTTGTAGACGTCTTAACCATGACATCTTGCCACTGTAGTTATGCAGGTAGCAAAGCAGTAAATATTTGGCAGTAAACTGTAATGAGTGGATTCACAGAGTCACACGTCAGTATTCTATAAATTATTATCCGTTTTATTGCTACTGGATTATCTTTTTTTCTTATAAAATGACAAATTTTAAGCCCATGTAAGATACTGGTTAGAGCAGCACTGATAGTTGCAAAAGCAGGAAAACTACCTCAGCCGGTAATTATACTGGCTTTACTGACTGCCTCGTTGGTCTAATGGTCCAAAACGAGCCTGCTGATTATCAGGCTCCGGGTTCGAACCCCCAGGTTGTAACCAAAATATCATTTATTGAGTTTTACGGTCAGGCAATTATCACTAGCCGCCCTGAGTCAGGAAGTTGGCGGTGTATCATCCCCGCGCCTCGAAAATTACGTATAACCGTTGGTCCTGCGTCTGATGTCTCTCTGGTCGTGCCGGGTTGCCGTCCCATCGAAATATAAGAGTTAGACTGTAGAGAGTGCACTTGCCCTCGCGCACACACTCGTGCACTATAATCCTGACTGAGACTGGCAGCCGTGACCGAAATTCGATCTTGAAGACATTAAACTGGTTTTGTCAAACCTTTCGTTCTTTAATTCTTCTTTTTGCAATATAAAGTTTAATGCACGAACTCTAACCCCTTCTATATTAATATTGCTGCCGTAATAATGATCATTTATGTATGAGAAGGCCTTTTTTAAACTGTGTGCTTTTGGGTCGTAATGATGATGTTTGAATCTCAAAGTCGCTCAGCGAGTAGAAAGGGCTATGCTATGCTCGGGGTTTCTCTGCGTGATAAACTTAGAAATAAGGATATCCGCAGTAGAACGAGAGTGACCGACATAGCCTAACGGATTAGTGAGTAAAAGTGGCAATAGGACGGCCATATAGCTCGAAGAACCTACAACTGATGGGAAAGAGAGGTTTTCGAGTGGCAGCCTCGTATCGCAGGCGAATTGTAGGATGCCCCAATAGATGGAGTGATGATCTGGTGAGATATGCAGTAAAATAATAGATTTGGGTGGCTAGCTTTGTGGCATTCCTTGGGGGAGGCCTGTAGTCATTAATGGATATGTGAAGACTAGGAATGATTATGATGATGATGGACCGTGATTATGAGACTAAATTCAATGTTACAGAGCTGTGGAAGATGCCAAAGCCCGTCTGGTGGACCTTGAGCGAGCGCTGAAGAGCGAAGAGGTCGGCAACGACCTTAGGAGCTGCAAGAGACTTCTGAATCAACACCAAGTGAGTTTCAATTTTTTTTACCTTATTATAAGTTAGTGCTTGATCGCAATCCCACCTGGCGGTAAGTGGTGATGAAGCCCTAGATGGTAAATGATCGCGCTGTCTTAGTGTAACAAAAGCATATTCACTCTTGACGAAGTCGCCCAGATTGTATTTGGACAGAAAAAAGGACGCCGGCGAACTATTCCACTCCTTAGGTGTACGCATTTCAAAAGATGAAGCAAACCATTTGGTTTTAATTCGTAGAACATCGACAACAAAGGGGTGAAGACCCGCCGACCGCTGGCAGTCCGATGGTAGAAATTGCACGTTTATCTAAAATCTATCTCGTCCCGCGGCAGTCGTAAGAGGCGCTTATAGGAACTTCCAGAAAGATATTATTAACACATTCAGTACCACCGACTCGCCCGGAGAGTTCACGTAAATCTTATTCCAGTGCCGACGACTCGTCTGGCGAGTTCAGTGTTTTTCACTAATATTTCCAAAATGCATCCGTATTTTCTGCTTAAAATTATAGTTTAGACTAAATATATGCTAAACTAAAGATTTACATGGTGGGCCGGGTGTGGAGACTCCGTTTAAATTTGAAAGGAAACAAACTATTCTGCAATGCCTTGAACTCGCTAGGCGAGTTCCCTGACATAGATCCTCAACCATTTACATGTTAGATAACGACGTCAACATAGTAGCATGGACTACCTACATACTTGTGATATGGAACTAATATTCACAATAAAAATAATACATACCATATTCTTAAAACTGAAAGCCCGTATTATAATAATAATCGTTTATTTCCAATCAAAAGTAGATAAAGAATGTGTGTGGGCGTGCGTGCGTGTTGTTGTTGTTGTTGTTCTCGAATAAGTTCCTTAAACATTCTATTAACATCAATTTTAAATGTATCGAATTCATCCTCACGCTTCCTTTTGGTACGGTAAGCTGTTCGGCTGGCCATCGGAATCGGAATAAATATTTGGGTCTGAATGGCAGTGTTTGCGATGTAAAGTTGATGGCCGCCGTCGAGACGTAGGTGTCGGTCGCGCTAGTAGCAACAATGTTCTGCGGCTGCGAAGTAGACTGCGGTGGCGAGCGAGAAATCATAAAGCGACGTTAAAACAATGTACCAGAGCAATATAAACAATCAGGTATTACGTATTTATTGCAAGCTCCAATGTTTCGTTACTATTTGCTTAGAGGTCAAGCAACTGGTCGTTGATTGACGCTTCTTATACAAAAGGTCTTTTCGTCTTATATCACTTGATCTCTCGTCCTGTGCATACAACATTCATTTATGTTATCCCTGTTTTATTCAATGACGCAATGATTAAGCGTTTTTTTCTCGTTTGAACTATTTATTAATATGCAAAAAAAATTATAACACTTCAATAATAAGGCTTTTACTCACACAGCTGCATGGGAATTTAGTAGGACTAGTGTTGAGAGTTAGTGAACACTTCTTCACTTTTATGCACTCCTAATTATTTATTTGATTTTGTCGGAATTTAACATAAGTTAACTGTATTTAACTAACTAAACCACACACGTCTGGTCTCTTCGAGAGTCCGAGGGGAAGGATATATATTAAATTATTTCATGGTAAAATTGTCTATTCACAAGTATTAGAAATTCAAAATATAACCTTAACAATAACCACAATTTAAAAGATTGACAACCACTGCTTAAATTACGAAACAAACTACCTTTTATTTTATCCAAAGAGTTTTTTGCCATTTTTACAAGCCGAATAGTCCTGAAACACTTTTTAATTGCGTTAAACACGTTAAGTACACTGTGACGGCCACAAAAATTACAAAACATAGAATTTACCCTTACTTAGTGCCAGTGAACTCGCGTGGCGAGTCGATTCAATTTATATTGCAGTGCCGGCGACTCGCCTGGCGAGTCAACCGTAAAATGTAGACGGCATCCGAGAAGACATCATGAAAATCGTAGTGGTGATGAATGTGTTAAAGCCGATATATGGTGATATCCTATTTCGCATGTAGCTTGGTGGTAGAGCGCAGCTGCTGCTATATTAGTAGTATAGTTGTAGCACGAATGGGTCCGCTCGACCGGGGTAACACCACGCTCCCACAGAATACCAGCGTCAAATAGCAGTTTAACATTGCTGTGTTTCGTATGGTGAGTGTCGAGAACCGGAGACCCTTTTTACTGGAAAAGAGGCGTTCCATATTAGTCCTCACGGGTGACAACGCTCTGCATTTTGATTCGCAAACGAGGATAAATGTAGATGCCTATGGGCCACAGCAACCACTTACCATCAGGTGTACTGTGTGCTCGTTTGTCACCCTATCCTATAAAAAAACGTGGTTATATACATTCCGTGTGGAGACGGTTTTGTATCACAATGAGGGCTAGTAATCTTCCGCTCGCTAGGTGTCGCTAGTTGGGACTGAGGTTAAGTTTTTTTGTTACACAATGCCATATAGTTGAGAAAATGCATTTTATATAAAAGTTTATAGTGTATTTTATAAATACACAAAACCATGCCTCAGTGGTTTGCTATTAATATTTTTCACATTTTTTATTTCTTTTTTATTTTTCCCTTTTGAAGAATATCCGTAGTTTGGTTTGTTCATTTCTAATCTATTTTAAAATAAAACAACTAATAATATAGAAAGAAATATTAACCTTTATATTTTCCGCAAAAATTAACTTCCCCGCCATATAATCTGTTAAAATCCTAAGTCGTGATAACTCAATGATGTAGATGTCTATGAGCTCACAGCAACCACTTACCGTACCGAGCAAGTAGCTATCCGCAAGGGAACCAGTACACTCTGTCTTAGCACTCCTGACTTATAAAGCTGTTATGTGGATTTTTCTATATATATATATAGCACAAGGTAACAAACGAGCACACGGTCCACCTGATGGCAAGTGGTTGCTGTGGCCCATAGACATCTAAGTCTATCCTCGAGACCAGTACACTAATATAGCTGCAGCATGGCCCTACCACGTACAAGTATGGATGTTTTTCTTTTAAGTTCTTTGTAGTCGACTTTTAACTATTATTAAAAGTTTATTTTCTCTGTGTTTGCTGAACTAAACATGACCTGACCAAAACGTCGCAATTGCAGGCAGTTGAGCAAGAGTTGTCCGCATGGGAGCAGCGCGCGTCGGCCTTGGCAGCGCAGGGTGCGGACCTGGTGTCGGGTGGGCACTTCGATGCTGCTGCCATCGAGAGGGACAGCGCTGCTCTGCTGGATGCTCTCGCCGCCTTGAAACCACGCGCGGCTGAACGACGTGCCAAGTTGGACACCAGCATGCGGTGAGTGTTACTCCTATCTCATTCTTGTAGGTTGACTGCCTTGTTAGTTTAGTCTAGTCTGGTCTGGTCGTAAGCAGGTCGAGCCAAAAAAAGCGTCATTGAAACATGGAGTCAGGAAGTTGGCGGTGTTTCACCCTCGAGCCTCGGGATGCTGGTAAAGCCGTTGGTCCTACGCATTTATCTCTCTGGTCTTTTCGAATTACCGTCCTATCAGACTATGAGACTGAGGAGATAGAGAATGCACCTGTGCTTGTGCACACACTTGGGCACTATAATCCTGTTCTGCACAGATGGCTAGTCTCCGTGAACGGAATTCGGCCAGGAGACGTTATTAATTATTATTACGTGGTATTACCATGCTGCAGCACAAATGGGTCGTCTCGGCCGGGAAAGGACTACATTTGTATGGAATACCAGCGTAAGGCTGCCTGTCCCCTGACGCGGAGCGAGGCAGCGGAGCGGAGTGAGCGAGTATTGTGGAGCGGAGTTACGGACTGTGTTTGTCCTATTATGCGGAGCGAGGTAGCGGGACGGAGCGGATTCATACATTTTCGGAAGTGGAGCCGACTCGCTCCGCTTCCGAAAATGTATGAATTTTTAAACTGGCTCGCAAATCCCTGTCCACTATAGCGGAGCGGAGTTTTTATGCAATCCTATCGGTTAATAGTTCTCCATTTCTCCGCTCCGTTCCCTCGCTCCGCGTTAGTGGACAGCCAGCCTAATGCAGTATAAAACTTTGCTGTGTTTCGTATGCTGATTAAGAAAAGCGGACACACCCTTTTTCTAGTAACAAGGCATTCCTTTTGAGTCCTCAGTATGATAACGCCTTAATTTAAATGGGAAAGGATCACAGAATGTCAGCGTAAAATAGCAGCTTAATTCTGCTGTGTTTCGTATGGTGAGTGAAGAGAACCGGAAAGCCTTTTTAATGGAAACGAGGTATTACATTCCTAATTGAGGATAGATTGTGTATGGGCCACATTTACTTACTATTAGGCGGACTGTGTGCTCGTTCGTAATTTCTATTCTATAGAAATAAAGAAACATGTGTGCAATTCACATGCGATAGAAATGAAACCTTCAGAGAAGGAGACCGAGATAATAGGAAACATGGTATATCACATAATATACTGTATACTATATCATTTTCTCGCAGGCTAAATCCTATAGATGTATATGTTTGTTTTAGTGTCGTTCTTTCGATTCATCGAGTTTCAAAACACAACGATTTTGAAAAAGTTTTCACATCAAGATGTAATTTAATGTAATGGTTATCATTCAGAAGCGAATATGATGCAGTTTCTAAAATTATTTTCCTTGGCCTGTACTTAAAAAACACAGCAACTAAATTCTCAAGCTACTATACGCTTACATTTCACCACAAATAATACTTGACGGCTCCGTGACGCAGTGGCTCAATGAGTTGCAGCGCTGAGGGCCACGGGTTTGCATATTGTAGGGAACAAATATTTGTATTGTTCTGGATCTGGATGTTCTTCCTTGTGTAATATATGTACGTAAACTGCCTCCACGATTCAAGAGATATTCTAATTCCATATTTGCTTTCTTTTCGCGCAGATTGCACAAGTTCGCCGCGGAAGTGTCCGGCGAGCTGGACTGGCTGCAGGAGCGCCAGGCGGCTGCCAGCTCGGGCAGCTTGCCGGGAGACCTGCACGCGGCACAGTCTGCACAGAAGAAGCACGCCAAGCTGAGGGCAGAGCTGCTGGGCAGGAGGCCACTGATCGAACGCGTGCTGGCGCAGGGACGGACCCTCATTGACGAGGACCATCCCCAGAAGAAGAAGGTGGGTTTTTTACATTATGAGTAAGTAAATAAGTGAGACTGATAGATAGATTTGGACGTGGTAGAGTCATGCTGGAGCTATATTAGTAGTATAGTTGTAGTAGGATAGGATAGTTGTTGTAGTTCTAAAAAGCTTGGCGTGCTCAGCAGAGCAATAGTGTCCCACTATTTCATACAGCACACTGCCTGCAACTTTACAAGACGCAGGTTCGACCTCACATGGAATACTGTTCCCATCTCTGGACAGGGGCTCCCCAGTGCCAGCTCCTTCCACTTGACCGCATCCAGCGCAGTGCGGCTCGAATCATCGAAGACTGAGTCCTTTCCGATCGGCTCGATTCGTTGGCACTGCGTAGAGATGTTGCATCCCTTTGCATTTTCTTTCGCATTTACCACGGGGAGTGCTCTGAGGAATTGTTCGGATTAATCCCAGCCGCCAAATTTCACGAACGCACATCGCGGCAGAACTCCCGATACCATCCACACCATCTGGATGATTGGCGGTCCACCACTGTGCGATTTAGAAGATGTTTTCTTCCTCGCATGACTTCCTTGTGGAATCGATTACCATCAGCGATTTTTCCGGACCGATACGACTTAGGGACCTTCAAGAAAAGAGCCTACTCGTTTTTAAAAGGCCGGCAACGCATCTGCGTTTCCCTCCCTGGTGTTGCAGTTGTTCATGGGCGGCGGTAGTCACTTACCATCAGATGAATGCAGCTCACCTGATAGTAAGTGACTACCTTGCTCGTTTGCTCCCACTCCTATAAAAAAAGTACGAATGGGTTGGTTCGACCAGGGAGGAACCGCGCTCTCACAGAATAACAGCTCAATGCTGCTGTGTTTCGTATGGTGAGTGTCGAGAACCGGAGATCCTTTTTACTATATACGAGGTATTCTATCTTAACCCTCAGGGGTGACAACGCATCTGCATTTTGATTCTTATTCGAGGATAGATGTAGATGTCTATGGGCCACAACATCCACTTGCCATCAGGTAGACTATGGTTAAAAAAAACTTTTACATTGCAATTCGGCTGAAACAACGCGCCTTTCAACTTTCACAGATCAAACAACTCTGCAGCGAGTTGGAAGAAGCATACGAGAAAGTGTCGCGCGCAGCAGAAGAGCGCGCTTCTCGTCTGGAAGCAGCGCTCAAGGCGCAGCAGTTCATGCACGAAGCTCTGGAAGTGGACTCCTGGCTCGCTGATAAAGCAGCTGCCTTGGCCTCGGCCGACGTCGGCAACGACCGTCACCGAGCTACGCAGCTGCTCACTAGGCACAAGGTATGACTTGGTGTTCGTTCTCTTATGTTTTGCTTTCGATTTTTGTTATATGGTTAAACTTGTAATATTTGTAATGTTTTTGTTTATATTACTATCTATTATTTGACTAATAAACTTTACATAGACAGGACTGTATTATAAACTGCCTAATTATTAAGAAAGATTGTCAGAAAAATGTTTTTTTTTTCATTATTAAACAAGCGTTTGAGAAATATTTTAAATTAAAAATACAACTTAACCACGCTTTTCGAGTAGTAGATCGAAGTTGAACGAGGCGAATAGTGTAGAGAGGTACTTCGATTCGCTTCGTGCAACCTCGCTTCGCCTCGGGCGACTTCCGATCGCTGTCGGTTTTTTGCACCAGAGTCAAAGGACTTCGCGAAGTACCCCGAAGTTACACGAAGCGTCTCACTTGGGAGCAAAAATATCAGTTATATCTATATATTTTAGGAAATTTGGATAGTGTTGAAAATGAATGATAAAGGAGAATGACCAAAAGTGGTACCAAAAAGTCTCGCGCCTCAAGACCAACATTTTATAATAATTATTTCCATATTATTTTACGACATTACTCGTCCGGGGATTTGATTTTTGAATAGGGAATTTACTTTTAAGTTTAAAAGTATTGATTTAGGGTATAGTCAATTTTATTGGATGTCTCAGTCCATGCTGTATGTCTATGGTTTTACTCCCTATAAATAACGTTTATAGCAGGCATATCGATTCAGTTAAAAAATAATCGATCGCCAATTCGATTCAAACATACCAGAATCGATTTTAGATTAAATGGAGTGTTAAATGATTGATTTTCGATTAATCACGACATTTTCAAACTTGCCTAATATAGACACAGAACATTATTAATGATAATTTACTAAATACTACTAATTGGATAGAAATAATATTAAATTAATAAACATAACATCACGCCTGTATTTCCCCGAAATAGTAAGCAGAGGTGTGTAGTACTTCTGCTAGTCATTATTATTCAATTAATAAACATAACATCACGCTCTTATTTCCCCGAAGGAGTAGGTATGTCGTATTCCCACTAGTCCATAGTTATTATACGTCCCATGTAATGGGGGTGTAGCCTTTTGCTATACACTGGGCACGAATCCAGACTCTGTGCTAAGACTGGGAATTTAAATAGTGCAAACTGCAACGTACACTTCTCCACACACTCAGACACTACTCTAGTACAAAACACTAGGGCACACCGCGTTCGCCGGCGAACGCGTGGTCACAGACCCACCCCGTACACGAGGTTCAACACCCGTGATACGGGGCATTTCTAATTTTTGCGACCCGTAAACAAAATTGTATAGGTAATGTTTATTTCGTTACTATAAACTTCAACATATAATATTTACTCACAATATATTTTTAATAAATATTATTTTTATTTTGATTTTTGGCTTGGATGCTTGTTGTCCTTTAAGCTATGTATTCATTTATTTTAGTATCAAGTGATCTTTTATAGTACACTGCTTCACAACATATTGATGCACCACATCGCGTAGTTTTTAGGAGATTTATTATTACACTTGAGCCGTAATACTCGTAGTATTCAAGGTGGCTAAGCAGACAGACGCATTATTTTGAGATTCACATCACTATCGAAGCACTTGTTGCACCGTTATCGTTAATAGTTCACATGCGCAGACATTTAATATGCAAATTCGAACCACTTTAACATAACAAAATCCACTTGAAACCTTTATTTAAATAATAATACAGGAACAGCAATCAGCCGGTCAAGTTCCCGCCAAAACTCCTTTAATAGATAAGTATATTAAAAGCACAGATAAGGTTAGAGGCTGGAATCCACGGGTTAGATTAGAAATAACAATGTTAATTTTTTTTATTATTAGTAAATAACGTAAGTAACAACATCTTTGGATGAGCTCATAAATATTTATTTTATATGTTCAAATTAACCACCAAGGACGACCGGTTGTTTTTGCATCCGACTACAGCAAAAGAATTAAAAAAGTAATAGATTGCAACCAGTTTAGTTACTTTATCGCTAGTTCTTGAATCAGAACGATTCGCGAGGTTTTTGGATCGATTCATCGAATCGATGTAGTGACCCACATCAATTTGAAATTTTTTTATTTTATTTTATTTAAAAACTTTATTACGTCCCTTTAGAAAAAAAAGGATACAAAGGGCGGACATAATGCCTAAAGGCATTCTCTACCAGTCAACCCATGGAGTGGTGAGAGTTTGTCGTAGGTGTAGCTATTAAAAGAAAAGAAAAAAAATTTAAACTAAAATTAATACACACTCTCTCTCAATAACTGGCTTTACGGCTCTGGGATCTAGCCCTTCTGAGCCTGAAGTTACAATATATTATAATAATTATCCTTCATAGTATATTGCTTCACAATATGTTGATGCGTCACATTGTGCAGCCCATGGGAGATTTTGACGGCAACTTGAGCCATGCATATACGTTTATCTTTTGTCAAATTAAGGTTCTTCATTGTTTGATATTTACAAATGTTATTATTAGGTGAAAATTTAATTTAATAAAAACCAAGGTTTCCAGGGTGATTTAGCTGTACCTACTTATATAAATTATTTTTTTATAACAACAAAAAACAGTACAAAAGGTTTGTAATCTCTTCATTAAAAAAAGTCACTTTCTCTCAATTTCAAAGAAAACGCGTAAAAAAAAACGTAGTTACGCACTAAAAACAAGTATCCTTCCATTTGTAACTTATGTTTGATGTCAAATAAACTTAATTAGGTCTAAACAAGTAAAAAAAGCATAAAAAAGAACATTACTTTTACACATGGCGGATGGCACAATAGGTGTGTCATTTTTGTTTGTAGCGCTTAACACGCCCGGCGTGTCATGAAATATTTGTTCGCCGCCACAGCTAAAAGTTGTCGAAAATTGGTGCCGCAACGAATCGGTTAAGACCTCAGAACCTATTCAATAGTATACATAAAAGCGTTTATCTGGGGTGTATGTAGTGTGACATGTTGGTTGTTGGTGGCAGGCGGTGGAACTGGAGCTGGACACATACGCGGCGATCGTGGCGGAGATGGGGCACGCGGCAGCCGGCATGGCCGCGGCCGGACACCCCGAAGGCGACGCGCTGTTGGCGCGCCATCAGCTGCTGGCTGACAGCCTGGCGCGGCTGCAGCGTCTGGCCCAGCAGCGCCAGAGCGCCCTCGTCGAGAGCGTTTGCAGGTCTGTCTTCTCCACTCTCCCTCACAGTTCTACTCAACACTTACTGCTAGTACTTAACATCTTACTGCCGGTTCTAGTACTATTTCTAACCTTTCTCTTGCAGATCCCTTTTTGTAATATCGTAGTGATTAACAAAATACTTGTTCTTTTTTTCTTTCTTCACAAACTGAAGTGACAAACGCACTTAGAACCGACTCCTAAGCAGAAAGGAAGTCCTGCCACTAGACGTTACATTCTTTTATACTATGATAATAATAAAGTTTTTACGTGTTAGAACCATGCTGCATATCTGGTAAAGTTGTAGTACGAATGGGTCGGCTCTACCGAGAAGCCATCACTTTCTCATAGAATACCACTGTAAAATAGCAGCTTAACACTGCTGTGTTTCGTATAGTGAGTGTAGAGTACCGAAGACCCTTTTTATTGGAAACGAGGCATTCCATCTTAGTTCTCATGGATGACAACGCATCTGCATTTTAATTCGTAGTGCAGGATAGATATAGATGTCTATGAGTTACAACAACCACTTACCGTCAAGTGGACTGTGTGCTCATTTGTAACACTTATCCTATAAAAAAGAAAAGTAACAATTATAGTACAATGGTTGCCACATGTGTCCCACTCGTGAACAAGTGTTGAGGGTTGTTCTGCTCAAATTTACTGCGTACTTCAGTAGTTTTTCAAAACTACAGTTTTTTTAATATTTTTTTAAGTAAATCTTAAAAAATTATTCATTTACATATGGATCTGTTATGGTTTTCGATTCTGTATATACGAGTATGCGTATATTTTACGTGGTAGAGCAACGCTGCAGGTGTATATGACTGCCGCCCGAACAGGTCGGCTCGAAGGACTACGCTCTCATAAAATATCAGTGTAAAATAGCAGCTTAATGCTGCTGTTTCGAATGGTAAGTGTAAAGAACTGGAAGCCCTTTTGATATGACAACGTAACTTCATACTGCCCTAAGGTTGGCTAGCAGAGAATGCTTTTAATATTAAATCCGCTCTTTGTTATATCCTACACATTGAGTACGTTTTCCTTTATAGAATAAGGGCATACGAGCACACAGTCCACTTGCTGGTAAGTAAACACTGTGGCCCATACACATCTACATCTATCCGTGATTAAAAATCAAGTTGCAGTATTCAATCAAAAATAAATAAATAAATATTAACAGACACGAGTACCTGGCCGAGAGTGCGGAGCTGGAGAGCTGGATCCAGGAGCAATACGCAGCCGCCTCCAGCGAGGACTACGGACAGGATTACGAGCACTTGCTGGTGAGCACCTGGAACATCCTTTTTTTATATAAAAAAAGAATATTAACTTCACACTAGGATTAACTCTTCCATCGTGGGGGCAGTTTACACACATACATTTCGTAAGGACAAACATCTAGCACTTAACAATTATTTGTAGGCCATAAAATACAAATAATTGTTACGTGTGCTAGATTTGAACCCGCGGACCTTAGCGCTGAAATGTATTGCTATACCGCTGCACCATGGAGCTGTCTTTACTTGTGTTGTGATTTCGTTCGGTATTTCACTGCAGGGTGCTGAAAAATTGCTTAATTTGTGTATTACGAGTATTAAGCAACCCCAATCACTAGGCGTCTGGTCATCCAGTCCCGTATTTTAGTTCGGTCTGGGACACCATACAGAAAAGACACATATTCACGAATTTTCCTCCATTATTTTTATTATAATTAATTTATTAATTGATTCATAAACGGCTAGTTTGTGAAGGTTTAAAAAATAATTAAAGGTATTAAAATTAATTTAGCTAAGATCCGCTCGATAAAATAAAATGATGTGTCTGACCTAGCTTGAAGAGAACCTCCCGCCATACCTCAATTGGGTGCACTATACTTGTCACCATTACCAACACCACTACACTAGGGAAGACACACCACTGTTGATAATACGATACGTGTTTCGCCTCTAAGCAAGGCATCCTCAGGTGAAATAGACTAGAAGACTTATAACGGATTTCCGCAAAGTAACGCCTGTTTCTATTAATTATGGTTGCTGTGAATCTTAAGATAGTATAAAGATTAAAGGTTTAATTTTTTAGAGACATGTTATTCTAAAACTATGTCCAATGGAGAATCTGTATGAATGAAAAATGTCTGAATACCGTACGCATAATGAATAAAAACTTCATAATAACCAATGTGCCTGAAAATTACAGCCAGCAGTGGGACGTATATATAGGCTAGAATTTTGTTTTTATTTAGTAGTATGAAACTAAAGGTGTTAAAACTAGTTTAATATGTAAATTAATTAAAAAACGGTTTAGAATAAAATATTTTTAAACTGTTTTTAAAAGACTCGTTTTTAACAGAGCACAATCTCTTTTCCAGATTCTGCGCTCCAAGTTCGACGAGCTCCGGCACCGCGTGGAGAGCGGCGCGGAAAGGTTCAACCAGTGCGAGGAGCTGGCGAAGAAGCTGCTGGCCTCCGACAGCCCCTACATCGCCGATATTGAGCGCCGCCAGGAGGCTTTAGGGTGAGTTTTTTGATTTCAATGAGGGCTAAGAATCTCACGATCACCAGATGTGGCTAGTTTGTACAGAGGTAAACTTATTTGTTATGCAGATAATCATAGAGTGTCATCAATCATCATCATTGAAATGTTGCGATTTCATTAGAAGTTTTTCGGTTTCTAATGTCTGTTTTATACTTAAAACAATGCCCCAGTACTGTAAACTTTAATTTCTGACACAATTATATATATTTTTAATTCTTCTACTTTAATTATTATTCTTAACATGTATCAGTGAGTTAAATTTCTTGCATTGCTTCCCACATCGCACAGTCAACCCTGACATAGATTACAATGTGGTTTCATCCCCACCAGGGATTCATGGCAGCGGCTGGTGGAGCAGATCGGATCCCGTGGGCAGCGGCTGCACGCGGCCGGTGAAATCCATCGCTTCCACCGTGATGCTGGAGAGCTGGTGGCTCGAGCTGCGGACAAAGCGGCCAAGCTGGCAACACCGCAACCTCCCAGAGACCTGAGAGCTGCTGAAGCGCTACTGCGGGACCACGAAACCGTCGAGAGCGATCTGCTCGCCATCGACGCACAGATGCAGGTCAGTGGGAGCTGCGGGCTACCCAAGCTTTCTACAGGTTTTCTGACGTGAATATGTCTTTAAAGAACAATGGCTATTTTGGACTAGGAAATAATATAAATTGTTACTGACAAGAGAATTTCACCATTATATTTAAATATTGTCTAATTAATTAATGGATATATTCAGTTTATTTATACAAAAGTGGGAAAATAAAAATCCTATTTTAAAAAAATATTACATTGAATATCAAAACGCATTATTAATTACTTGATAATAATTTCTGGCTCTCGAATTTTCGCACACTAAAACAATGAGCATGTGCACCACTACAAGAAAGACCAGTCCACTATTGTGAGATATAGGTAGGAGAGTAAATACTATACCTCACCTCACGTCATCATCTCGTGGGTGTCGTAAGAGTTGTCAGAGAGAAAATGAAACATGCGATAGGCAGCAGCGTCTTCCCGATAACAATTCAAATTAAAAAAAAAGCTACGGTTGTCAACCTGCTTGCTTAAGTATCATAATTAAGACAATAGAGAATTTGCATTTTTTTTTTGCCACAAATTTATATATAAATGAAAGAATAATTTATTTATAGTATATTTAAATATTTTTTATTAACAATTCGATTTTTTTAGTAATTATTAATAAATAATAGTAAAATTTATGAATGAAAAAAAAACGACTTGTGATTGGTTGTAACGTCATTATATCCATCATGGCTGTGAGCCAATCGCAATCATGCTATACTTTTGTATTTTCTATATTCGGATCACCGTGTGTCATAACAAAACATAATATATAACCTGTATTATACAACGAAAAATTTTTTTTTTTTAATTTTGACAACGTAAACATGGGTGTTCTATCATTTCACCATATGACGTCACTGGCGTTTGAATTTACAGTTTAGAAAAACCATTTTTAATTAAAAAGTTACATGAGAAATCTATAATAATAATATAATAAATTATAATTTTTGGTTAACTTTCAAAAAAAAATTAAAACTGCAACTTCTCTATTATCCTCCTACGAGGTAAACTAAAGGGGCGGCCTATTTTCAGTTGTGGCTCTAAAAACCGTATTTCGTAAAAATTCGACTATTCTTCTAATATATTTCTGCTACTCTGCTATAATAATAAATATTATACTATTCATTGTTAGAGAATAAATATTATACTATTCATTGTTAGAGAATAACTTTGATAGGAAATCTTTTGGTTTTGGTTCTTATTTATTTATTTAAACACCTTACAATTAAGGTAATAATAGACAGACTTAATGCTTGTCGGCATTTTCTTCGTTTGGTTTTAGATGTGCCATAATATGTCCCTTTTTTAACCGACTTCAAAAAGGCGGAGATGCTGAATTCGAGTGTATGTTTTTTTATGTGCGATATCTTTGCAGATTGTGAACCGATTTTAATGATTCTTTTTTTATTAAATAGCCTTTACCTCAAGGGTGGTACCAATGAATTTTCAAGAATAAATCCGCCCCCAAGAGTGGAAAATAGGGGGAAAAAGTTTCATATTGGACTATTGTTTGAAGAATTTCATAGGATATCTTAGCAGATTGAGAATCGATTATAATAATACTTTTTTTTTTATTAAATTGTTTATACTTCAAGGGCGGTCCTATTTTAATTTGGAGAAAATTTCTACCACAAAGGGTAGCAAATAAATAATATCTTTTTTAGCAATTTCAAGTCAGTTTTTACTTTTTGTTAAAAGTTAACAATAACTTTTAACAAAAAGTAAAAACTTTATTTTTTGTTAAAATTTATTGTTTTTTTTTCTATTATTACAAAATTATTCCACAAGTTTATTACTTCTTTGAGTTCCCTTTGACCCTTAATGATTAGCATATTAATAATCCTAACAGTAACATGTTTGTTATACAAAAACATTTCTTTGAATTTGGCTCGACATTGTTCTTCTGATTTTGGTATGTCAAATATTGGATTAGGGCTTTGATTTAACAGAATTGAGTAAGATTTCTAATGTTATGTAACGTTTATTTTTACTTAATTTTTACATGAGCTGACAGCATGAACCCATAAACTGACAACTGAACCTATATTTATAGGATATAGATAACAAATCATAAGAGAGCGCACTCGAGTATTATAAAAATGGAAACACAACCATAAACACACCGTATACAAGGAGCACCTTTAAATTTATTATTATTTAATATCAAAATGTTTCACTAAGTAAAGAATTTGATGGTAACATGCTTTATAAAGAATTAGTACTCGTGGTCTAGCTTCTCTAGCGTTAGAAGTTATAGTTGTTGTTGTTGTAGAGTGTATATGTGTGTTTGTGTGTGCGTGCATGCAGGTGCTGCAGGAGGAGGGCGCGCGGCTGCAGAAACTGTGCCCTGGCGGCAACGAACAGCAGATCGCGCTGCGCCAGCGTGCGCTGGCCGCCGCCTGGAGCCAGCTGCGCGCTGCTGCCGACCAGCGCCGCGCCGCGCTGCACCACCATCTGCACCTGCACCGTTTCCTCGCCGAGGTCAGCCACCTGCACTGCCACACGGTCTTTGCGTCTATTACGTCCAATACACACAGGATATAGTCATACTAATATTTAATAACCAAACACTTCATTAACGTAATATATACCACTACACGAGCTCTGCGGCCTTAATACATTGCGCACTTAAGTATTAAGCACCACCTGCACACGGACTACTTCTTAGCGGAGGTCAGCACAACCTTCGCTTTTACCTACAGCTTCTTTTTATAGAATAAAAGTAACAAACGAGATATTCAGGATGTGTTGTCATCCCTGAGGTTTATAACGACTTCGTGCTACAACTATAATATAGCTGCAACATGACTCTACCACATACAGTAAACACAGTAACAATAATAATGTCCTCCACACCGAATAGTTCAGTTACAGCGGCATATCTCAACAGAAACGGTGATCAACGCAGGAAAGGATATAGTGTAAATTATAGTGTCAGAGTATATGAGCAAGCACAGGAACACTATTGCCTCACTCTCATAGTCTGATGGACGATAATCGGACACGACCGGAGAGAGATCAGACGTAGGACCAACTTTACGGTTTTCCGAAGCACCAACATTATAAAACAGCTAACTTTCTGACTCCTAAAAGCTACTAAGTTTCTTGACAGAAAAATTATTAACTGATTTTGGGCCGACCTAGAATTGAATCCAGAACCACGAAATCAGCAATCGCGTTTACGACCAATAGATTAAAAAGGCAATTAGCCTACTTTACCCAAAGTACAGGCTCTCTCCAAAGATTACTATGCATTCTACTAGAAGGGCACTACAGTACTAATGACGTGATAGAGTCACGCTACATTTTATGGTTGTAGCACGAATTGGTCGGCTCGACCGGGAAAGGACCACGTTCGCACATAATACCAGATCCAACAGCAGCTTAATACTGCTGGGTTAAGTATGGTGAGTGTAGAGAATTGGAGATACTTTTTATTGGTAACGAATCACTCTATCTTAGTCTTCATGGGTGAAAACGCATCCACATTTTCATTTCTAGTAGAGGGTACATATAAATGTCTTTGTACTACAGCATCTTACAATTAAGTGGAGTGTGGTCGCTTGTCCTCATGTACAAACATAACATAACACCACCACCGTGTAGTCGCGGTGTAAGAATATCTACTACCTCATTTCATCCCGTGGTATCGTAAGAGGTGGCAGAGGAAAGCAAACAAGGACATCGGCAGCAGCATCTTCCTGATAGAGCAGCCGAATTAAAAAAAAATGCGGTTGCCAGTCTACTTGCCAAGCATGACAACTATGACAAATATCCCTTCTATGAGATAAGGTATGGCAAATATCCCTTCTATCCACTAATCTATGAAAGAGGCCTATGTTCAGCAGTGTAGTTTTGACAGACTATAGTGATATTGTTGAATGAAAATCAGGTGCGCGACATAATGAGCTGGTCTGCGGGTCTGCGGGGCGGCATGGCGAGTGCTGCGGTGGCTCGCACGGCGGCCGCGGCGCAGGCGCAGCGCGCGCACCACGACGCGCTGCGCGCCGAGATCGACGCGCGGGACGACGCCTTCCGCGCCGCCGTGCAGCGCGCGCAGCAGCTGCTCGACGACGGACACCCCGCCGCCCAGGTCAGTCATCTGGCAATGACAGGTTGCCGATCAAACGTACAGAATCTCGTCGCAAGTGTTAGTTTATGAGAACAGGTGAACTGTTTTAGATCGCTGTTTCAGATCCGTCTCGAAGGACCAATTGTTATACAAACAATTAATTGTTATTTGCGATTATATGTTTTTGGTTGGGAACCGAATAAGTAGGATTACTTCTAAAGTTTTATACACTTGTTAGAATTTGTATGTGTATACACGTGTGTGGTAACTATGGCAAAATTCCCCCTTAAGAGGCAATCTATGGGGGAGGCCTATGTTCAGCAGTGGACTTTATAAGCTGTAATCGATAGATGGACAAATGGTGTATACACTTGAATGTTCGAACGCGACCTCATTTGATAATAACAAAAGAGAAGACTTAAAAAATTGGAAATCAATGAACTACGCCAATTATCTTGACAAACATAACTTTAAAACCTGGGTCTATATGAATACTAATACTGATATAATAAAGCGGAAGATTTTTTTATTTTTTTTCAACAGGCCAATCTGAAAAAATTTTTTTATATATTATAGAGATATATATATATATTATAGCCAGATTCATGAAGAATATTATTAAGCTACTTGACAATAGGCTACACCTCTCAACTAGTCTTATGCATAGATGCATGATTTCAAATTGTCCCACCTCGTATATCACATGATATTCTGGCTGGACGACTGCATTGACATAGTGTAGGATAGCAGCCCTTATGCGCTAAGTAAATCACTAAGGATAGCACATGTAACCTGTGGAACGTTTACAGGAGATCTCGGAGAAGTGTGAAGCGCTGCTGGAGGAGCGCGCAGCGCTGCACGGAGCCTGGGCCGCACGCCAGGTGGCGCTGGACCAGCTGCACGATCTGCACTGCTTCCTGCGCGACAGCAAGCAGCTGCACGAGCTGTGCGCTGCACAGGAGGCCGCGCTCAGTGAGTCCACCCTTCGCTCCCTGCACCCTGCACCCTACCCCTACTGCACGACCTGTACTGCTTCCTGCGCGACAGCAAGCAGCTGCACTAGCTGTGCGCTGCACAGGAGTTTATCCTTCCTGGCCTCCGCCCCTCTCCATGACGCCTGCACGCATTTAAAGCGTGGTGGAGTCATACTGCAGCTATGTTATGGTTGTAGCACAAATGGTTCGGTTCGGAAAACCAAATTCTCACAAAATACTATCTTGAAATAGCAGTTAAATGCTATTCTACGGTGGTATTTGGTACAGAATGAGTAGGCTGGTAGGTATAGAGAACCGGAGACCCCTTTTTACTTAAAACGAGGCTTTCCATTTTAGTCCTCAGGGGTGACAACGCATCTGCATTTTGATTCTTAATCAGTTGGACTGTATGCTCGTTTGCCACCCTTATTCTTTAAAAAAAAAATACATGCTCAATCTTTAGATCATACGTCAGTGGCCTTAGGTGAAACTTTAATAAAAGGAAATTGTCATCTTGTACGACTATTACAGGCACGGAGATCTCACCCACGTGCAGTGTAGAGGAAGTGGACAACCAGTTGAAGAAGCACGAAGCCTTTGAAAAGTTGCTCGCAACACAGGTATGAAAATTTAAATACTTTCAATGAGCTTTCATGGCTTTGATAAAATAATAGCTTACAAGGAATTGTTTATCTGTATGATTTATATCCGGCTCGAAGGACCACTAAACAGCGTGTATAAATAAAATTTAAACTTAGTTATGTGATCTGATCTTCTTGCGTGAGGGCATGAGACCATAAATAACTGTTATCGTAAAGTTTTTCTTGAATAACATCGTAGCTTAATGTGGCAAATGATAGTCATGTTACACCTAGCACTTCGATTGAGAACTAGACTATACGTGTTGGCGTATAATTATGTAACGAGATATTCTATCTGAGATCGTCCTCCGACCCTCATAGGAGGGATTTTGCCTTAGTTGACTTTTTTTGTTTGGCGAGCGTGTTGTTTTTTTATTATTTGAAGTTGTTATCAGGAAGATGGTGCTGCCCATCACGTGTTTCAATTTCCTTCTGTCGCCTCTTACGACACCCACGGGACGTTATGGGGTAATGGATATTTTTACACCGGCACTACACGGTCAAGATGTAAAGTTCTCAAAAGTCAACGAATCGGTTTTGTTTATTATATACGATTATATATTTTTTTTATTTCTTGCTTAGCTCGATTTCTAATTCAATGGATTAATAATAACCCTTGTGTTGACTATTGCCATGCTGCGAAGGTCAGTATTCCTAAAGTTTAGATTTATTTTAATACTTTTACTCTCCGGTTTTCAGACACAATAGTAAGACAATAGCAATGACCTATATGTAGTGCATGGGACAGCGAAAGGGTTAATTATCTAACAGTTTATGCGAGGTTATTCCATCAATTCATACAAGGTTATTTACGCTACGGTACACAGATTTTTTACAATCATAAAAAACCTTTTCATTTTTCCGATCAAGTAGTTTATGTATTTGATGGAATTTATAATTAAATCATAACAAAATACCCTAAAATTAGTCCTTGCATTTGGATTAAACATGTCATCTATTTAAAATGTTAATTAATATGCATCTTAATACTTTTTATGCTTTACAAAGAGTAAATCCTTTAGCCCCTCTATGACGTTAATCATTAGTAAAAGTTTGAAAAGCTATCAAAAATTAACTACTGCTCAGAAAACAAAAAAAATAACCCGGTGTTTATTAAGGCCTATCTATGAAGCGTAACTATATCTTAAAAAAAATTACTTACCGAATTAATGAAGTCGATTGTTGTTTTATGAAAGGCATTCTATAGACGAATGAATTCCAGGAAGAAAAATTGACGACTTTGAACAACCACGGTGATAAGCTACTGCAACAGAACCATGTGGAGAGCCAGCGCATCGCTGATGAGCTGCAGGAGATCAATGCTAGGAGGAAGAAGGTGAGTGATAGGCACTAAGGATGAGTTTCATGTGTAATAAGAGTAGTATAAAGTTTTGTTTAATTTTGCAATATAGCAATATAGCAATATTATAGAGGTCAAATAGCTGTCTCAAGATGTTATACGAAGGTTCGTTTTTAAGTTCGCAGAATGGGCGGTAAGGAATGGAAATAAAAATCTAAATATATTTTTTCTTTTCAATATATTCACCTGCTACTAAAAAATACGCCGAAACTGCTTCCTTAACTTTTTCCCACGAAGTTCTTTTTTTTTAGTTTGGAAATAGATAATAATCATTGGGGGCCAGATCAGGACTATAGGGTGGGTGTGGCAAAATTTCGAAGCCTACCTTGTGCAGGGCAGCCATCGCAACATGGCACTTGTGAACAGGCGCGTTGTCGTGCAGAAGAAAGATTCCTTTGGTCAATTTTCCCCTTCCTTTCTTCTTTATGGCTACCTTCAATTATTCTAGGATTGAAGCGTAGTAATTTCATATTATGTAGACACCTTTATCTTTGTATTTTTTGTGCCACTGCATAGAGTTCTGTTTTACTCAGGTTCATAATGGTGAAATTCGAGCCAACACTCCATCTTTGTCTTCCATACAGAGGTCCAAAAATGCACGAGAACACTCCACGCGCTGTTGCTTTTGAGGTGGCGTGAGCATTCTAGGCACCCATCTTGCGCTGACTTTAGTCATGCCAAGATGGTCATGAAAAATTTTGAAAATGGTTGTATTTGATACTCCAACCAATTCTGCGAGCTGTTTTTTTTAGACGGGCATTCTAATATTAATTTTTCGACTTTTCGAATAATTTCCGAAGTGGTCACATCGATCGGCCTTCCTGGCCGTGGATCGTCTTCAATTGACTCTCTGCCTTGTTTAAAAAGGGTATGCCACTTGTAAACCATAGTTTTACTGGAACAAGAGTCGCCGTAAACGGTGACATCTCTTCCAGTATAGTCTGAACTGATTTTCCGCGCTTGGTAAGGAACTTTATAACGGCACGGAACTCGATTTTCTCCATATTTCACAATTTTTTCTGATTGACTTGTTTAGTTGACGATAATTCAAAGACTAATGATCTAATTACAATAAAACCTATAACTATAATATTTATACTAATAATGAGTTGCTCAATTAGTACGTAATTTAGCGACGTCCCCAATTATTACCTACCTACCCATTCCGCGAACTTAAAAGCGCCCCCTCGTAGTATGGTAAATGTGTTGGGCGTTATTCGGTATTTATTGTCATATTCTGTATTTAGCTAGCTGACTATGCAGAAATGGTAGCGTAACTTTCTTACTTCCTAGCATCACCCTAGTTTACTCTTTTACTCTTAACACCTCTAGAAGATGCGTGATGCCTTTACTATTTCGTAATGTAACAGAATGCCCATCTCACATACTCATGTAATTGTAGTTAGGCTAAAGGTGTCTTGGTCACAGTGAGAGGAATACTGGCAGATGAAACTGTGTCGATATCCCAATCTAAAGAGATTTTTTTTACCAGGATCAACATACAGTTTATTCTATATTTGAACTAAATTAACTATTGAAATCATTAACGTACAGGTTTGTTTACGATTTGTCACATAATATTTTAACCATTGTTCAAATTACCTTGGATACCGTTAAAAGCTAAGTTTTCAGCCTACATTACAGCCTATCGAAGCCTACTGCTGAACATTGGCGATCTACGCCTCATAGGGAGGATTTTGCTGTAGTTGCTACGCTTGGCAACTGCAGTTTTTATGGTTCCGTATTCAAATGGTAAACAAAAAACACAACAGAATCCTATTACAAAGCCTCCATAGGGTTGTTATATCATCATCCGTAATAAGTAGACACTTGTAATTTTCACAGAATGTGTATTTCTGTTGCCGCTAAAACAACAAATAATAAAAATTAAAAGGTGTTCCCCTACTAAAAACATGTATAACGATGGTACGGAACCCTTCATGCGCACGACTGACTCGCACTTGATCGGTTATTTATAATTCTGAGTTGCTATCAGGAAGACTGCTGTTTTATTTTTCTTTGTTTGTTTCACTTGGTTTGTTTTTCTCTGTTGCCTCTTAGAATACGATATTTTTCTATGAGATTATTATTCTAATCACGCCCACTTAGCAATGAGGTGAAATTTTTGACAGATTTTATGAAAGTTGTCAAATATTTCATATATAACAGTAGCGTGACTAGCACGCACTAAAATTATTGTTGTGTGAATGTTAACGCGTACTATGGTTGTACACAGCTGCACGCAGCGTGTGCAGAGCGGCGTGCGCGCTTGGAGCGAGCGCGTGCGCGTGCTCAGTGGGCGCGCCACGCGGCCGACGCGCGCGCCTGGGTGGCCGACAAACTGGCACAGCTGCCCACACAACAAGGTATGCACCTCCGCCCTCCGTATGTGTACCACCGATCTACTTGTACTTTCTGTCCAAAGTGCGGATTGCGCTCGGAGTGCTATAACGGTAGATATGTAAGACGTTCGAATTTTTATATTGCCGAATGTTTCCAGGCGAAGTCACAGACTTGGAGGACAAGATAAAGAAATTGAAGAAGCACCAAGCGTTCACTGCAGAATTAGCGGCCAATAAGGCTCGTCTGCAAGAGGTCCAGGAACTGGCTAAGCAGCTCAGCCCGGACGAGGATGTTAAAAAGCAGTTGCAGCAGCTGCAGAACGATTGGCAACTACTGGAGACTGCTACCGAACAGAGAGGTGAGTCCACAAGACCTCAGTATATATATACAACTAGCCCAATTATTAAAACTGATATATAGGACTGAAACTTTATCATATTCTTAATAATACCATATTAATAAGAATATGGTAAAGTTTCAGCCAATATACGTCCCACGCCACGTATTTCTACTTTATTCTCTGAAAAGGTTGTAGAACAATTAATCCGCTGCCTTTGCTCCAGTGTGTGTTGACGGTTAATTTTATTTGTGTTTCTTCATTATCATCATCACTTCCATGTCTAATACATATGCCTCTAGACATAGGCCTCTTCTAAAGCTCCATACTTAGCCCGATCTTCAGCTTCACGTATCCAATTATAAATAAATTACGTTTTTGTCTTAGACCTTGGGTTTCCTTACGCTGTTTTATTTCACCGCCGAGCACGTAGTAAAATAGCACTTAAAACTACATATACATAATTACATAAACACTCACGCCTGTCACCCAGAGGGGTAGGCAGAGACTACGGACTTCCATTTGGCGCGATCCTGACACACCTCTCTCGCCTCTTTTACATCCATATATCTACGCATACACGCTCGTCGGTTAAGGGTACTCCTAATCTGGCCCATTTTTAATGTATCGCAGATTTGGTCGATAAACCTTCGTCTAGGGCGTCCCTTCTCGACCCTGCCGTTCACTTCCGCAACATAAATTTGCTTTGTCACTCTTAAAACTACTTTTACCAAATTCATGATGCCACCGTGAATCAAACCCAACTGACTTTGCAAATTATGCGATGAGTGTAACCTACAACCCACTGATGTTAAGGTCCAATTAGTGAAATTATAAATAACATATTATTAAATTTTAAGACATGCATCTGTGAGAAGGCTTATATAATGTTGTAAATAATAAATATATTTGATATATAATAATGATTACAATAAATAATATACGTATAATATACGTAAATTTAATATATTTATTATTTATTCATTCAACAATTTTTATGTATCCTATGTTCCTATTTTTAGACTTGGTCCTTCGAGCAAGATATTTTAAGGGAGCTGAAAAACATATACATTGCTTTAATATCTTTCGCTACATAATCAACAAAAATGATTATTATTTTTGTACTAAAAGTTTTTTCATTATCTTGTGGCATATTTGTAAAACTACCTCTAAATTGTTTACCTTGCTTTCATTCTCTTATTATATTACGATTATTTTAATGATAAGAGCAATATCCATTGACAATCAGGAATGTAACAAAACATTAAAGTTGTTAAAAATTACCTTTCGTACATCAGCTCGATAAAATAAAATGATGTCTTACCTAGTTTGAAGAGCACCTCTCGCCCTTCCTCAATTGCGTGCACTATCCCCGCCACCACTAATCCCAGCACCACTACTCCCAACACCACTACACTAGGAAAGACACACCACTTACGACAATACTACACGTGTACGCAAGTTAATTTTTACCAACTTTAATATAATAGATTTCCGCAAAGTAACGCCTGATTTTATTATCTTGTAAAAAAATAAAAGGGTTAATCTAAGAACGATAAAAATGACATTAATTTTTTTTTGTCAACAGGTCGCGGACTAGAAGAGGCTCAGGATATCTTAGAGTTCAATCAACAGGTGGACGAGATCGAAGCCTGGATCAGGGACAAGGAAATGATGGTAATATTATCGACATTCTGATGGCACCGAACACACCAATTATACAATACTAATATTTTGTTTAAAAAAATGCCTATCGAGAATGGGCTGCTCTCTCAAATAGCCGCGTATACATTTTTTTTGGTAGAATAAAATTGCCAATCGACCGCACAGTCCACCAGATGGTAAGTGTATGCTGTGGCCAAAGACATTTACATTTAAGAATCAAAATGCAGATGCATTGTCACCCCTTTGGACGGAGTGGAATGACCTCGTTTCCAGTAAAAAAGGTCTCCGGTTCTTTACACGCACCATACGAAACACAGCAGCATTAAGCTACTATTTTGCGCTGGTATGCTGTGAGACGTGATACACACTGCAGCTTTATTGTGCTTGTAAGATGAATGGTTTAGGCATCAGCTTGACCGGGGAAGAACTGCGCTCGCACAAAATACCAGCATGAAATGGCAAGAAAATGTTGTTGTGCTGTGTTTGAAGAACCGGAATTATTTACTGGCACCTATAATAATTAGTCAAGATTTATTATTCCGGAGAGGTGTGCAGAAATAGCATGATTTTATTCCTGCCCCTTCTTTCAACGCATTCCAACTAAACGGTTTGCTTCATTTTTCGTACTGCGCTTAGCAAAGGAGTGAAATAATTTGCAAGTGTCTGTCTTTGAAGGCGAGAGTAAATAGCCTTTTTTTGCATAATAAATAAATGGTGTTGAAGTGTCCCACTCAAATACTGACACTGTCCGATGCTGCACTGAATTTACTATGAAACAAAATATTGTGCAATACAATTCAATTAACTGATATCGTAAATAAGAACGCGTTCCGGTCACGCTAACATATAAATATGTACGGGCTTACTCGTTAAAATTTAATAATTTATTTATTATTGCCCAAATACTTAAATACCGCTCAATTTTAAATTGTCGTCAAGTCTCGTGCTGTCTCTGTCATTTTAAGTCAAAGTGACTGTGACAGCACGAGGCTTAACGACATTTTAAAATTGAGTAGCGTTTGAGTATTTAGCTCTTAGAAAAGTATTACAAAGAGCTTATTGTAATTGTTAAAAAATAGAAGAGCAGAGATTTTTGACACAGTCGTATTTATATGCTTAAAAGGAGACCCCAGCAACCTTGTTGCTGAAAAGCTGTTATTTTTTTCTTTGTAACGCAAATATATAATTTTTATTTGTATTATATTATTTACTATTCCTATATTGAATAAAACACCTTTTTATCTTAGTCATATTATAGAAACAGGTGTGGCTCGGAACAGTAACACAGTATTCTAGTATATTTTTGCTTTCTCATAATGACCAATCATTAAGATAATAAAGTAAGTGCATTTTAATCGATATTCCGTATTTTTGTGTATTTATTATGCTTTTATTTAGTACCAGAACTGTTTTGTCACCATTGCATTTGTGATATATAATGAATGTGTGTGTGCGTGTACAGGTGCAAGCGCACGAGCTGGGGCGCGACTACGAGCACTGCAGTGCGCTGTTGCGCAAGCTGGATGACCTGGACAGCGACATGAAGGTGGACGACCGCCGCCTGCGCGCGCTCGACACGCTGGCCGAGCGCCTGCTGCGGCAGGGCCCCAAGGCGTCCGCGGGCGGCGGGGCGGGCGGTGGTGCGGGCGGCGTTGCGGCGCGGCGCGATGCTGTGGTGGCGCGCTGGCGGGCGCTCAGTGGAGCGCTGCACGCCTACCGCGAGCGCCTCGACGCCGCGCTCCTGCTGCACTGCTTCAACAGGTAGCCCCCACTTCCTACCCTCCTACACTACCTCTCCTGCGCCGGGCGGCCCAAAAATCAACAACATGGTATCAATCATATTGATTGTTACATCATATGAGCGATACCGCTATTTATCAACCATCTTGGTCGGCCGATGTTCTACAATACTGCTGACCCCTAAAGATAGGTACCACCCTCTTACCTATTTCTGTTTCTAACTAGTAGTGTGCCCACTTTGTTCTGCTCTGAACCCCATGTTTTGTATAATGTGTTAACTGTGTTACTTGACAAGCATGTCGTACAAGGCGGCTAATAGGATATTAGGTTTATGTTTGTGTAGGCGACGGGATAGCCACCTACCACTTCTTTCTCAATTTTCCATCTAAACCCATATTTTAAAACTAAATAAGGTCTAAGTAGCTCATTGTTCTTTGAAGTCTGTCCAACTCCTCGAGAATTACAGGCGTGATGAAGGCGTGGTGAAGCTTACTAGTTGACTGGATTATGTCAGTTACTCATTTTCTTCTGCGGATACACTGTTAGTTACTGATTTTAATCCTATCCCCTCTCCATATCTTGCATACATTAACTAACACAATTTTAATGATTTACAGGATTACACTATAATCTCTATTTGTGTTCACAAAGTCTGCAGTGTGTGAACACGTAGATGAAACCAAAAATGTATTTAAAGAAGTATTAATAATTTTTTAAACTGTGATTATGACATTCGGAGGTATGACATAAGGAACTTCGAACACCTCAGACCCCCCTGGCCATGGGTGCTGTAAAGTACTCAAAACGTCGGGAATACAGAATAAGTTAATAAGACGTGATGAAATCTTTAAAACTGGATTTATTTAATACCACCGCACTGTTCTAATGTAGAATTGTGATTGTACAGGGACGTGGAGGAGACGATGGAGCGCATCGCGAAGAAGGCGGCGCTGTTCAGCAGCTCTGAGCGCGGGAGAGAGCTCAGCGCGGCCGAGGAGTTGCGGCGGAAGCATCTCGCGCGCTGGGCGGAGGCTGGAGCCGTCGCGGACCGCCTGCGGGAACTGCGCCGCGCCGGAGACCAACTCGCCGCCAGCCACCCGGACAGCGCGAAGGAGATCGAAGCGAGCCTGAAGAAGCTGGACGAGGCGTGGGACAACTTACAGCAGCTCGCTGCCAAGCGGACCGCGATGCTAGATGAAGCCATCGCCGAACACAAATTCGAGGAGAGTCTCAAGGTCATTATCATAATACTATAATCCCTGGGAGTCAAGTGAACGCTAACCAAGTTATTTCTTAAATGATTTATATAATTATTGTACAACATAACACATAATTCATAATTGTTAACTGTTTTTTTTATTTAAAAAAAAGGGTTTCTTTTTGATTTTTCTGCACTGTGGTATTTTTAAAATCAGTGATAAATTGGACTAAAATATGATTGTCAGTTCATTATTTTCTATATTTTAAAATGAAAAATTTTAATTGTGTTTCTAACATGCGTTTGGGAGAATATCGGTAGTTACGTAACACACGGGAATAGGACAACGGGATCAGATCAAAGCACCTTCTACATCAACTCTTGAGCAGTCCACTGCTGGGTCTCTTGGGTCTTGTCTGGCAAACAGAACGTTGTCTTTCCTTTTTTATGTTTTTTTTTTTATATTTGTTATTTGGAATATGGAATAGTCAGCCTGTTACGTGCTTGAGGATGAGAAAGCATCGTGAGGAAACCTACGTGAAAAATAAAATTAAAAATATTTCGGGTACATATAAAAACCGTCAAGATGGCTTCGATCAGCGCAGTAAAGTAATGATTGTGAACCCTCTCAGAAGTAAGATGAGGTCTTCGTCCAACTGTAGGACCTATATTTATTGTTTAACGTAAAGTAACGTATGATGTCATTTCCAGGAGTTGGATCTTTGGGTGTCGGAAACAGTGAAGCGTTTGGATAGTACCGAAGCACCGGCAACTGTCTCTGACGCCGAGGCACTGTTGGAACTGCACAACGAGAAAAAGGTACGTTACATGCACTTTGAATCTTAATCGAGTGTGCTTGTTTGTCACCATTATTCTATAAAAAAAGTACAGGTTCTTTGATGGGGTTCTTCTTCATCAGCCTGTGAAAGTCTACTGCTAGACATGGGCTTCCTCCGTTATAGAGAGGATTTGTCATATTCGTTACGCTTGGCCGGTTTCAGTACCAGACGTAAGCACCTTTGACTTGGCTGTCACCGGTCTAAGTATTATACGTGTGGCGTTAACAAGATAGTTAAACCGCCATCTATCGGAAGTTTAGTACATGTTGTTTTTTATGGTTGCCTCTTACGACAACCATGGAATAAAATGAGGTGATAGATCCTCATTCTTTAGGTTAAAGTAGCCTTATTAACCAAAGTGATAACAGTAATTAGACTACCCTTACATAGCAACATCTAATCCAGTTTCTTACAGCTTCAACTTTTTCTTTTTGTTCATTGACCTCTTTAAATGTACTTTTAGATATCAGCCGTTTCAAAACTTTAGCAATTGGTATTTTCAATAAAACAACCTATCAAAGTCTGGAATCAAAGATGTTTGCTATAGTTTCCACGCTTTTTATTATAGAAGAAGGGTCACTCAAGGTTGTTCTATAAAAAAAAGACACAAAACGAGCACAGTGTTCACTTGCATCATAGGCATCTACACCACACATTGGGTTTCCGGTTCTCTACACTCACCATACGAAACATAGCAACATTAAGCTTATACCACGATAGTATTCTGCGAGAAAGTGGTCCTTCGAGCCGAGAGCCGTTATGGTTGTAGCACATGCTACAACCATAACATATCTGCAACATGGCTTTACCACGTCAACTCTTGGCAAGCGAGCTGGCAACCGCAGTGTTTCATTATTTCGTGTTATTATGAGGAAGATGCTACCCATCTCCTGTTTCAGTGTCCCTCTGTCGTCTCTTACGACACACACATGGTGATGTAGGATTGTTGATTCCCATATGCCACCATAATACGGCTATTGATAATTGGTATTCAAGCCATAAATAGTAAATTTGAAACTCACTCTCATCTTTCTGCAGGCGGAGATAGACGGCCGACAGAAGACGATAGCGTCTCTCCTGAAGGAGGCGGAGAGCTCCAATCAGCCGGAGAAGAAGAAGCGCGTCGCCAACTTGGCCACCAGCCTTGACCAGGCCTGGCACCAGAGGAAGCAGTACCTCACCCAGGTCAGTCATTGATAAGCATTTTATTGAACCATTTAGTTGTATTAAACCACCACCAATTATTATATTTAATAATTGTGTCTGTGATAAAATTACCATACCACGTTTTTTTTTATTTCTATGAGCTATGTTCAAAATTTCAAGTCACTAGCTTATCGGGAAGTTATATTAAAATTGATTACTAAGTTCGACATGAACAAGATATACATGAAAGCGAGTTAATAAAAACGCGCTAAAAATGTCAATTGTATTTTTTTATATAATTTATACTAAACTAGTTTAGTCAAGTTTCACTTCTACCGAGTTTGAACTGCACACATGATTTTTTATTTAGTTTCCAACCAGTTCCCAATGCTTGAATAATTTTAATTTTTCATACTTATTAAGAACCGATGACAATATAATAATTTCTTGACAATCACCTAGTATTCACAATAGGATCATTACAGTGCAATGTGTTGTTTGGGGTTTTACAAGCCGATTTATTTCGTATAAAAACGATTATATAATCGATTTTAATGAAAATCCAATTACATGCAAGTATTATGCGTGCAGGCTCACGAGCTGCAGCTGTTTAAAGAGCAAGCACAGCAGACTGAAGACTGGCTCGCGTCCAAGGAGGCCTTCCTCAACAATGACGACCTTGGAGAGAACCTGGACGCGGTGGAGACGCTGATCCGCAAGCACGCGGAGTTCGCGAAGCTGCTGGAGTCGCAGCTGGGGCGCGTGGACGAGGTGCAGCAGTTCGCGGCTGGCCTGCTGCAGCGCGGCCACGGCGACGCGCCCTACATCGAGCGTCGGGCGCGCCTGCTGCAGGACCGCGCGCACCGGCTCAAGGTCAGTGGGTGAGCGCGTGAGTGAGTGAGTGAGCGAGTCAGCGAGTTGGTAAGTAATGTTACAGGCACAGGTCTTAGGAGTTAGATATTGAATGGATGAGTAGTTGATGGGTGAATGAATGAATGTGTTGGCGTGTGATCATGATTAGTTAGTGGGTGAGTAAGATATTGATTGGATGAGTGAGTTAAAATGCGAATGAATGAATAACGATTATGTTGTGTTGCAGGAGCGGTGTGCTTCACGAGGTGACAAGCTGTCGCAGGCGCGCCAGCTGCAGCAGTTCCTGCTCAACCTGGCCCACGAACGCGAGTGGATCGAGCTCAAGATGCAGATCGCGAACGACCAGAGCTACAGGTTAGTCCTGGAACAAACAATACATATAGGCCTATGAGAGCCATCAAAGAAAACGATTTCTATAACCGTCATTTATGAACCAAACAGGATACCTCTAAAAATTGATTCAATATCATCATGGTTGTGTTCCGATATACACTGTAAGGTGCGACGCCAATTCAGTAAACTGTGAAGCCGTTCCTTTTCAGTTTGCTATACTGGTTACTGTTTAAAACGAAACGCAGTCTAGTATACTGTCATCCCCATTTTTCGACACTGTTTTCAAATGAAAATAATAATAATTAAAATAATAAATTATCATGTATACGTTTTCTGCTCTACAAGGAAAATTATTATTTGAATGTTGTTGCTTTTAAAACTTAATATCCGAGTTTATTTCAATAAAAATATTAATTAATAATAATAAATAATCATTCGTGGATCTGTTAAATCTCTAAGAGCTTGTTTTTTGATCACGTGATCAAAGAACTGAGAGCACCTTAGAGTACAAAAATGGCGATGATTTATGACGTCATATATTTCCCTAGAGTACTGTGGCAGTATACTGGCAGTCCATAACGGAACGAATTTTTCACCAGTGAGACAACTGAGCTATGCTCGCAGTGTATATCGGAACATACCCCATTTTTATCCTTACAAAGACACCCATCATCCAAAGGCTTCTATGTACTATAAGCTACGGTCAACTCTCTATAACTTCTTTAGTCGAGTGCGAGCGGGCGAACAGACTAGTTCTTTGTTTTATAAACCGCGAATGTTGTTTTCGACAATGTAATGTTAAATTTTATGTTCTACCCGCTATATCTGACACCAACATTTTTAATACACTACCGGTACGTTTTACCTGTTCCTCTGATCGGAGAAGGAATGAAGAAGGAAGGTGGTAACTGACCATGTTGTATTTCCACCAGGGAACTGTCCAACCTGCAGAGCAAGATCCAGAAGCACGCAGCGTTCGAGTCCGAGCTGGCGGCGAACAAGAAGCGCATCGACGACGTCGCCAACACCGGCGAGGAGCTCATCGGTGAGCGTCATCAACGTTGTCATCACCATCTTGATTTAATGGTGATGGTGATGGTGATCTGATTCAGATTATTTTAATGTCGAGTCTAGCCAAATGGTAGAGTCACGCTGCAGCTATATTTTCGGTCGGTTCGACCGGGGATGAACCACACTCTCACAGAAAAGCAGCTTGATGCTGGTTTGTTTCATACAGTGAAAAACTTTTGAGAACAGAGGCATTCTATCTTAGCCATCAAGAGCGATAACACATCTGCGGGTTTTGGGAATTTCATGTGGTGTTTTTTTTTTTCGTGGAACCCTAATTCCTTTTCTAAAATAAACCTTTCTTTTAAAACCTTCCTTATAACATCAGCTATCTGCCAGTGGAAGTCCCATCAAAATCGGTTTAGCCGTTTCGAAGATTAAAACAAAACAAACAGACAGACAGAAATTTACAATTGTTTTTGTTATAAGTACCGTAAATACTTTTACATGCATTTAGTAAAAAGATGTTATTACAAACTGACACTTCAATTTTATTAATGTGTATTAATGTTTCCTAGAATACAACAAAGATGTCCCAAGCAAAGTACTAATAAATAAAACAATAATATACTGTCAGTGTACTATTGGGCGTAAGAGAATCCACTGCCCCATTAAAAAGGTCAAAACTCCTGACAAGTTGTTTTTATGATATAAGGTTGACAAATGAGCACATAGTCCACTTGATAGTAAGTGGATGCTGTGGCCCATAGACATCTACATCTATCCTCGATTAAGAATCAAAATGCAGATGCGTTGTCACCCCTGACGACTATGATGGAATGCCTCGTTACCAGTAAAAAAGGGTTTGTGTGTCAACTATGGTAAATATTCGCCATACGATACAATCTATAGAGGACACCTATGCTCAGCAGTGGAATGGGCTGTAATAAATGAATATACAATAATATGGCACGACTACCGTACAGACACGGAACCGTAGAAGCCCCAATGATATAAATAAGGTAATTTTGTATAGCCGTGTAGTGGCGGTATAAGAATATCTACACCATATCGTCCCGTACCTGTCGTAAGAGGCGACAGAGGGAAACAAACCAGGAGATGAGCAACAGCGTCTAAAAATAAATAACGACTAAAAATAAAAATAAAACTGCGGCTGCCAATCCGCTTACCAAGCATGGTAACTATGGCAAAATCCCCCCTATTATGCAATATAAGGGGAAGGCCTATGTTCAGCGTGGAGTTATATAGGTTAATGGTAACAGTAAATAGATACGATTTCGTACGTGGTAGAGCCATGCTGCAGCTATATTACTGGTAAAGTTGTAGTACGAATGGGTCGGCTCTACCGCGGAGGGACCACGCTCTCATAGAATACCAGCGGGAAATAGTAGCTTAACATTGCTATGTCTCGATGGTGAGTGTAAAAAACCGGAGACCCTTTTTACTGGAAGCGAGGCATTCCATCTTAATCTTCACGGGTGACAACGCATCTGCATTTTGATTCTTAATCTAGGATAAATGTAGATGTCTATGGTGGGCCACAGCAACCACTTACCATTAGACGGGCTGTGCGCTCGCTTGTCACCCTTATCCTATAAAAAAAATCATCTGTACATCATCTTTGCTTGAGATCGGGTTTACATGTTTATAGACTGTAGTAGTCAGTTATCATCAGATGGACTCCAAGCTTATTTCGCATCATGAAAAATAAAATAAAGTTAAAAGCAAAAGCCGACTTCAAATAACTTAAAATAATTTCCATATGATATAATAGCTTTTTAAGTTGGTGCTGAAACCATATAAAGTTCTGAAGAAACGACCTCATTAAACCTTGTAAGGTTTGAAAATGTTTGGTTAACGGTTACCCTAAATTACAGAACAGAAACACTACGCCTCCGAAGAGATCGCTAAGCACGTTGAGGACCTGGAAAATATGTGGAGAGAACTGCAGGTAAGTTGTAGTCATTTGCTTATCTCCGAAGGTAAGACATTCAGCATCTGGCTTGAATGTACTAAAAAAAACCGAGTTTTACGGGTAATTAAATCCTATTGGAAAGGGCAGGACGACGTCTGCGGGGTCAGCAGTAGTTATGGTTTCGTTACAATTCTTTTTCTCTTTATTTGGTTTTCAAATCTATACATAATTGCTACAACATGCTTACGGGTGTTATAAAACAAACACAGCTTGCACAGAAATATTATGTAATAATTAACGTCAAAGTATTAATTGTAAACTATATATTAGTTCTAAACCAAATAATAAATTGATTTTAAACTAAATACTTATTTATATTAATTCATAATTAAATTAATAATTAAAGGAATAAATAATTTTTATACGTGGTAGAGTCACGCTGCAGCTATATTATGATTGCAACACGAATGGGGCGGCTCGACCGGGGATGGACTACGCTCTCACATAATACCAGCGTAAAATAACAAATTAATGCTGCTATGTTTTATATGGTGAGTGTAGACAACCCGAGACCATTTTACTGGAAACAAGGCATTCCAACTTCTTTATGGTGACAATGTATATGCATTTAGATTCTTAATGAAGGATAAATGTAGATGTGTATAGGCCACAGCATCCACTTTTTTATGCGAACTATTTTTATGCAGGTCTAATAACACCAATATCACTGCAACTAGTAAAATCGATTGTGATCGCTGCTATACTACTTACTATATCAGCATCCACTTAGCATCAGTTGGACTTTGTGCTCGTTTGTTAGCCTTATTTTTTTTTTGTTTATAAACGTTACCCCCACACTAGGATTTTCTCCTGTATCGTGGAGGCAGTTTACAAACACAAATTTCATAAGGACAAACATCCAGACCCGGAACAATCATTTGTAGGCCATACAAATACTTGTTCCGTGCGGGATTCGAACCCGCGCCCCCCAGCGCAGCAACTCATTGCTAAGCCACTGCGCCACGGAGCCGTCAAATTCTATTCTTTTGATAAAATTAAATCATATTAATTCTGAACTAAATGTTAAAATTATATTAGCTCTAATTAAATATTTAAATTATTATGATTTTATACAAAAAAATTAAATTAAATTAATTCTAAACAAAATATTTGAAATTCTGAAATAAATATTAAATTATGTAAATAATTGGAATATAGATATTAAATACAGTTTGCTTTTCGTGTGTGTGTATGTGAATTCTTTTACAATTCCTGATGAAGGTGAATTAAATGTATGTGGTTGGTGCGTACAGGCGGCGGCGAAGTTGCGCCGCGAGCGGTTGCAGGAGGCGTATCAGGCGCGGGTGTACCTGCGCGGACTCGACGACTTCACCGCCTGGCTCGATGACGTCGAGGCACAGCTGCTCAGCGAAGATCACGGTACGTTTCTCTTTGTGGAAGTTTTGCTATAACAGTTCATTATTTATAGATTAGTAAATAAACTAAAACGTAAAAACATTTATTTATGTTGCTTTTTGATAGATGGTGCTATTATTAAATGAAATGATAACACTATAAGAATGGAATAGAATTATTTTTATTTAATGTAGATTACAAGAATACTTATTTAAAAGTCATTTCTTTACTTTTTCACTGGTTCGGCAAAAACCTCTGTCGATAAAAGATAAAAAGGACAAAATGTTGGTTTTTTTTCTTATTTTTTTTTTCACCGTTCGCTTATATTTCCTATTCTGAACCTTTTCTGCAAATTTGACCGTATATTGCATAATAACCTTGCCTAGCGGAAGATCTCTTCTTTTACATCCATGGTCAAACATAGGCTTTTTCTAAGACTATAACAGCTGCAGCGTGGCTTGACCTAGTGTCTTGTGTGTGCAGGCAAGGACCTGACTTCAGTGAATGCGTTGCTGAAGCGTCACTCGCGCCTGGAGCAACAGTGCGCGGCGCAGGCGGAGACGGCCGCCCAGCTGCAGGACACGGCGCAGCAGCTCGCGGACGATCAGCACTTCATGGCCGAGGACATACTGCAGCGCGCGCACGCAGCTGTCGCCAGGTGACGCACATACACATACACGTATCTTTAATTCACACGATTTTATAATCTTAACAAAGCTAACGTGCTGCCAAAAATATATACGATATAGATAGACGGCTCAAGAGGCTCATTGACAAACATTTATTTGGTTGAAACCAATATTATCAGCTTCGAGCACAGCCGCAGAGTAGGCAGCCTCTCATTTTGGAGAGAGTGCGTAGGAATTACATGCTGTAATTCCTCTTTCAATCATCGCGCAATCAGGCGGTTGGCGGCTCGTCACCCCTTTGTTTGTATATATTCCACGTATTCGAAACAAATTAGAAAAAATGATTTTGCTTCATGAGAGCTTTTTTTTGTTTTTCATAATCAGCAGTGAAATAATTTGCTGGCGTCAGTCTTTCCGTCCGAATACAATCTGGGCTTCTTCAAGGCAAGAGTAATTAGGCTTTAATTACGCTTAGACAGTGCAATTTTACATCTAGTGCTTCCTCACCGCAAGTGGGATTGCGGTCAAGCACTGACTTATAATAAGTAAAATAAAAAGGTTATGTTCCAATACGTTGTTTTATTTGTTCTGTTCCATTTCAGATACCGGCAGCTGCAAGAGCCGATGCAGATCCGACGCGACAACTTGGAAGACGCCGCATTGCTTCATCGCTGGGACCGGGACGCCGATGAAGAATTTGATTGGTCAGTGATATTTTTATCGTGTAACTTTTGCAGAGGGCGCTGCAGATTAATGTATTGTTTCTCTTTACGCCTACGTAACTGTTCTCCATTTGTTTTTTTTTTAATTTACTGCTTGGTTTATTCACAGATAAATAAATAGTCGTTCATTTACACCTTACAGAGCTATTCCAAAACACACAACTATTCAAATATACTAATAAAAAACAAAAACTTTAGGCCGCAGCTCAGTGCGTGTACTAAGAACTGATCTTCAGCTAGGTAAAAGTGATAAAAATACTAATTTTTATCACTTTACGTAGGTTTTTTAGTAGGGGCTTGCCGTTACTCTAATAATTTAAAATTAAAAATTTCGTACAAATGACTTCAATATAAATTATTAAAAATAACTCAAAAATATTGCTCAGACTTTTATCAAATTCATATGGGACCAATGTGAAACACCAGCTTTCAAATAAAAAAAAGAATCACCGAAATCGGTTCCCTCAGTAAAAAGTTATGAGGTAACACACATTAAAAAAAACATACCGTCGAATTTAGTATCTCCTCCTTTTTGAAGTCGGTAGAAAAAAAAATGTTTAATTCCTAAAATCTAGAAATGTGTGTAAAAAATTCTGCTTAACAAATTACCTGGTGATATGTATATGCACTGCAAATCTCCGGGGAAAAGGCACGGGGAAATGGAAAATGTTAACGATCTGCCACTATTATTAATAGTTAATTCATTTCTATGAATATACAAGTGTTTTTTAACAGATGAGATTTCAATTGTTTTTTAAAAAACTAAATATAGATAATCTATATTAAATTAAAAATAATAATTTCTATTTGTCGTTGTAATAGGCTTCGAGAGCGCAGCGCGGAACTGGAACAGGAGAACCCGCCCCTGGGAGACACCCTACCTGAAGCTCAAGCGCTCCTGAAGAAGCACCTGGCGCTGGAGGCTGAACTGCTGGCCCGGTGAGTGACAAAAACTTGCATTTACAACTGAACATTTACAACATTTCTTAAAGTAAGTTACAGATGCATTTTCGCAACTGACGACTAAGCTGAAATGATAAAGATGCTGGAATTAATTAATTTAGATTGCTGTAAAAAAAAATGTGTAACATAGGTGAATATCAAAGCATTCACTCTTAACCATTGTCGAGTGGTGCTTAAATGGTGTATCATTTTTAGTATATTATGCAAATTATTTAATAATTTTTTTTGTTATTTAGTTATAAGACAAGCGTGTAGTGGCGGTGTAAGAATGTCCTTATCGCCTCGTGGGTGGTGTAAGAGACTACAATGGGAAACTGAAACAGGATATGAACAAGCAACATTTTCTGATAACAACATTAAGTAATAAAAAAATGTGTGTTGCCAATCCATTTGCCAAGGGTTGTACATATTCTTCCGGTCTTCGTTTAGTATTCAGTGAATTTTTGATAGACATGTGTCTAAATACTCAAATACTCAAGTCGAGTAGCGTTTGTGTATTTGGCCATCAAAGCACTAAATCTTGGGGGTGGTAACGCATCTGCATTTTGATTTGTTTTTTTCTTTTTATAAAAGTATTCAAGAAAACTCTATTGTTATATGAATTTAAGAGGTAGCATATGGGATTGAAAGTGCAGATGATTTATGAACTTAATTGATAGAATCAGGCTTTACTTTGCGAAAATTTATTTAATTAATGATATTAGAAATAAATTGGTTAACATCCTCGGTTTATTTTTTAGACAATATGAGTAGCAAACGAGCAAATAGTTCACCTGATGGTAAGTGTTTGCTGTGACCCATAGAAATCTACATTTATCCTCGATTATGAATCAAAATGCAGATGCATTTTCACTTCTGAGAACTAAGATGGAATGCCATATTTTCAGTAAAAAGGTTCTCCGGTTCTCTTTATCTACACCCACTATTCGAAACTTTTTTCGTTCTAAATTAAAAAATCTTTAAACCTCCCCGTTCGAGCGGACCCATTTGTGCTACAAGTATATTTCTAATAGCCATGCTGCAGCACGTTGAAAATGAACAATTGTTGTGTGTATAGAGAGCCGTCGGTGAAGGCGCTGGTGTCGCGCGCGACGGCGCTGGCGCGGCGCGGGCACTTCGCGGGCGGCGCGCTGGAGCGGCGCGCGGGGGAGCTGGCGGCGCGCCTGCAGGCGCTGCTGGCCGCCGCCGGCGCGCGGGCCTGCGCGCTGCGAGCCCGGGCCGCGCTGCTGGCGCTGCTGGCGGAGGGCGGCGAGGCGGCGGGCTGGCTGGCGGCGCGCCGCGCGCCGCTCACCAGCGCGGACGTGGGCCGCGACGAGGAGGACGTGCTGGCGCTCACCAGGCGTCTTGACGCCATGCTTAGGGAACTCGCCTCCTTCGACGCCACGCTCGCCAAACTGGAGAAGGCCGCCGCAGACACGGTCAGTGCTTGCGACATTTTGTTATATTCAAGTGTGTATGCATGAGCGAATGAAAGTGACGGCATTTTATAGTTCAGTTTTTAAATAATCTATTTTTTTTTTAATTGGTAACGAAGCATTCTATCGTTGTCTCGAAATGTTATCATTAATAACAATCTATACATCTATGCAAATAAATAACATTGAAGTGTCTGTTTGTAATATAATATCTTTTTATCAAAATAACATCTTTTTACTAAATAACCATACGCTACTTACAATAAAAACACGATTTTTAAAAAAATTCTCTGTCTGTTCCGGCTAATCTCCAAAATGGATGAACCGATTTTGACGAAACTTTTACTGGCAGATATCTGATATTATAAGAAGTAACTTAAGCTACTTTTATTTTAGAAAAAGTATTAGGGTTCCGCGCAAAAAAAAAACCTTAAATTACACGCAATCGAAATCTCGGAGAACAGATAATCTATACAAATAAATAAAATTGAAGTGTATGTTTGTGATGTCAATATTAAATTACTAAATGCGTATGAAAGTATAAACAGTACTTATAACAAAAATACATCTATTAAAATTTTTGACTGTCTGTCCGTCTTTTTATTCCGGCTAATCTCCGAAACGGTTGGAACAATTTTGACGGGACTTTCCACTGGCAGATAGCTGATGTCATGAGGAGTAACTCAGGCTATTTCTATTTTAGAAAAATAATTAGGATTACTCGCAAAAAAAAATTAAAACCCTAAATTACACGCGGGCGAAGTCGCGGGGTTACAGCTAGTTACAAATATAATAAAAGACGCACGTACCGTCGTAGGAACTCTATAAAAAATTTTCGAATAAACAGTGTCAACATATCAAGAAGTACAACGAGTTTTTCCTGCTAATTATTTCTGTATGGTATAAAAACAAATTTGAAAAAAAATTATAAAAGTATTCTATATATGTATACTGATTTCTAACATGGTAGAACCACAGTGCAACTATATAATAGTTATACCACGAATGGACCACTTTCTTAAAAACATCAGCGCAAAATTGCATCTTAATGCTCAATGTATTTCGTATAGTGAGTGTAAATAACCGGAAACACTGAGCTGGGAACAAGGGTTTCCATTTAGCCTCAGATGTAACAACACTTCTGGATTTTGATACTTAATGGAGGATGTAACATAGATCTCTTCGAACCACAGCATCTATTTTCCATCGGGTTGACTTCGTTAGTCCATCTTATTTCGTCAAAAAAACATACAATACATTTGTTTATACGCGATAAAATCACGCTACATTACAATTGGAAGGACCACGCTTTTACTAAACTGTTTACCAGACTACGAGCAAATCAAATCATATACATTTATTGTAGAACATATCTTACAAAAAATCTTATTACTTACATATTAGTATCACCATGTCTAGTCCATATTAGATGTACAATATTTTAAAAAAAATCTATCTAACTTCATTTTAGGCAATTAATTTATCACATATATCCGTCAAAAACAATTTGAATTTATTTTTAAATGTTTAAAAATTTAACACAAGAAGTTCGCTACGATAGACGCCCTCACCCAAAACATAAATTAAAGTTTGAAGGCTACATGAGAAGGGTATCTGGTATCGAACAATTCAGCCACAAATAACCTGTCATTCGTTGATAGATAGTCCACTAAATAGAAACTACATAAAGTCTATTCTTAGATTACGTTCGGGACATATTCCATCGAATAAGTTTGCTTTTTTAATGAAAAATGTGCCATCACCAAATTGCGACGTATGCGGAATAGTTGAAGATGTTCAACATATTTTGATGGAATGTGTCCGGAATGAAGCAATTAGAAGGTTATTTTTTGGTAGTGATACGAATTTTCAGGTTGGCACCTTGAACAGTATTTTGACTTATCCTATTTCGGAGGAGGCTAAAATGCTGGTCAAGCTAGCAGACTTGATTCTGTGTAGGGAATAGATGGGGCTGTTTATGGTTCCACTTATTCCTATTCCTTAGGTGTGTTTGCTTATAGTCGCGCGTGCTCTTTGCACGTAACTATTGTTAATATAATAGACTTTATGTTTAATTTTGTAATCAATTGTAGTGATTAAGTAATTGTAGACAAAACGGGACTATGTGGTCGCTCAGCGACAAAGTCCTTTATAATAATAAATTAAAAAAAAAAAGTTTGAAGGCGCAATGACAATCCCTTATCACCATTGTTTAGGACCGATCGCCTCAAGACGCAGAGCAGGTGAAGAAGATGATCGAGGACCTGAAGCACTCGTACGAGGAGCTGAAGCTGCTCGGCGCCAGGAGGCAGCAGCGCCTACAGCAGAGCCTTAAATATTTCAAGTAAAATCGTTTTCTGCGCATCAACATCATCATAATTACAGCCCTTTATAAGTCCCCTGTATTAGTATAATTTAATATGCAGTGTTAGTAGTAGTAACTATAACAAAACATTGCGTACATTTTTTTCTTTCTTTTTTAACGAGAGCTTAAAAACCACCACGTCCAGCTGTGGACTATTACGAGCTGTTGATAAAGAAGTGAATCTGTAACGTGTGTTGGTTGTGCAGGTTCGTGCAGGAGTGCTCTGAGGTGCAGGAGTGGATCGGCGAGCAGATGGCGACGGCCGCCAGTGAGGACTACGGGCTGGACGTGGAGCACGTGGACACGCTGCAGCAGGCCTTCGACAACTTCCTCACGCAGCTGCACGGTACTCACTCTTTCATTTTCAATATCTCATAAAGCATACTCAGTAGAGCCATGCTGCAGCTATATCATGGTTGTAGCATGAATGAATCGGCTTAAAGGACCTCACTCTCAGACCATACCAGCGTAAATTAGCAGCTTAATACTACTGTATTTCGTATGGTGTATGGTGGTGGAGTGTAGAGAACTGGAAACTCGCCCGAACACCCCCCCCCCCATCCCACCTCTTTGTTGTTGACAAACCCCGCCTCTTAGTTATTTGGCAGCATCTCTCTTTCCATCCCAAAACATAATGAGCATGTCTTCAAGCTAAGAGTAAATATGATAAATGTTTTTTCCTTTATCTTTAATTTATGTATGCAAAACTGTCCCTACGATAAATTAAAGATAAAAAAGGATATCAGAGGAGTTTTTGAAACGAAGTTCCTTATCGCACGGTACGAATTTAATGGATGGGAACTAGGCGAGAAAAAGTCTAAGTTTTTTCCGTCACGACCGACTTTCTATAGTGCGAGCGAGATAGAATAGTATCCATCTCGCACATTTTCTTATCTTGTCATGAAAGAAATATTATTTTAATTTAAATTACGCTTCATTTTAATAGACGCTAGTAATTCATTTATTTGTATTTGTTAATCAATAATATAATACGTTTATCAATTATAATATACTACGAAAGGAACTTCGTTCCAACCGAGTGTTCCACGTCACTCACGCATGTTTTTTTTTTTCACCGTTTCTTTAACGGACAGAAAAGCTTAATTTGTAATAGGTTCTTGATTAAAAATATGTTAATAGTAGAAAAATTTAATTTTTATTCGTTTCGTCAAAAACTTCAATTACAGCCTATAAAAGTTGACTGTTGAACATCGGCCTTCCCTTACTTACTTCATAGGGAGATTCATAACCACATTGTCATTCAATGTCATACATATTATATTAAGAAAAAAAGTAAAGTGTCTGTTTGTAATGTCAAAATAACAGCTTTTTACTAAATGCATATGAAAGTATATGTGATATGTCTGTCTGCCTGTCTGTTTGTTCCGGCTAATCTCCGAAACGACTGGACCGATTTTGACAGCACTCACTGGCAGATAGCTGATGTTATAAGGAGTAACTCAGGCTACTTTTATTTCAAAAAATAATTATGGTTCCGCGCAAAAAAAATTAAAACCCATAAGGTCCAATCGTAATAAATTATACGCGGGTGAAATCGCGGGGAACAGCTAGTGATTAAAATAATATTTTTTATACTGTAAATACTAACCGATAGATGGCGTTAAACTTAAAATGAATCTGCAGCAAACGAGGGCCGCATCGAGGCAGTATGCGAGGCGGGCAACGTACTGCTAGAGGAGAACACGCCAGAAGCAGACCGAGTGAGACAGCGCATCGACGATATACGCGGCTTGTGGGACGATCTAAAGGAGCTCGCGGCGGCGCGACAAGAGGTAAGAGATTGAAGTACCGTGACCGTTACGTTCAGTACCACTGTATAAATTGATACCTAAATATCCAAGCTTATTTTGCAATAGCCGGCGGCGATTTATGACGTCATATATTTTCCTAGGGTACTGCGGCAGTATATAACGGAATGAATTTTTCACCAATGAGAGCACTGAGCAGTGCTCGCAGTATACACTGGAACGAATGGATCGGAACTTACCCATTATTTTTTATTTTTATAGACTATTTAAATTACAGCTACCATATATGTCACTGTTCGGTATCCTCTTATTTGTAAGAGTGAATGTTTTAAAGAATACGTGGTGATGATTCCGGCTCTGGAGCGTTTTAAGTCTAAAATTTAGTTAGTGAACGTGAAAGATATTTTGCTGTTTGTTAAAGTTCGTAAAAATTATTTCGCCTATATTCGCTATGATGTTGTGTCTTACCTACTTTGAAGAGCACCTCCCGCCCTCCCTCATGGCGTGCACTATCCCCTTCACCACTATGTCTTTCACTAGGAAAGATATACCAGCGACCACCGACCATATAATATAAATTAATTTTTATGAAGTAAAGTAATTCTAATTTTTTAAGTTCGAAGTAATTTTTACTAACTTTAATATAATGGATATCCGCAAAGTAACATCCGATTCTATTAATTGGTTTGCTATTTGGTCTAAACTATGTACTCAATATGTTTTTTTTTTATAAGATAAGGGTGACAAACGAGCACACAGTCCACCTGATGGTAAGTGGATGCTGTGGCCTGTAGACATCTATATGTATCTTCGATTACGAATCAAAATGCAGATGCGTTGTAATTTTCTACTAAATTAGGACTTAAAATTGGAGAAGAGGCACGAGTTGAGATAGCTGTCCTCTTGTCAAATTTTTTATCAAGAAACTTACCAGCACTAATAAAGAATGAGTTAATTCTACCGGCCGACTCATTTGGGAATGGACATATTTGTAATATGTTATTATGGCTGGTGTTGTTCTAGTTCTAGTATTGGTAACGTATTTTATTGTATCCTAAATACGTTTTGAGTTTTTCCCAGCCTCAGCTAATTTATTTCTTTCATATTTATGTTGTAGAGTCATACTGCAGCTATATTACTTGTATAGTTGTAGCACGAATGGGTCGGCCCGACCGGGGAAGGACCGCGCTCTTACAGAATTTCAGCGTATAATAGCAGCTTAACGCTGCAGTGTTTCACATGGTGAGTGTAGAGAACCGGAGACCCGTTTTACTGGAAACGGGGCATTCCATCTTAATCCTCGCATTAGACAACGCATCTGCAGTTTGATTCGTCACCAAGGACAGATGTAGATGTCTATGGGCCATAGCAATCACTTACCATCAGGTGGACTGTGTGCCCGTTTTTCATCCTTATCCTATAAAGAAAGTGTGTGTCAGCTCCGACGTACGACTCGAGCTTACTCCTTACGAACGATGATTTGTTTATATAAAGTAGTACAGCCGAGAGTACTCTGTGCAAGGGGCTGCGCTTATCTTAATTTGTACACGAGATTACGTAGTCTTGGAAACATGAATACATAACGTAACTTTTGATTTTGCTTCCAATAAATTTTAATACCCCGGGATTATATATGAAAATCGCTTCTTAAGGAGTAAACTCCAAAAAAAAACGTGTTTGACTCTGTGGAGTAAAGAATTGCAATAATTTCTTTAGCGCTTGTAGATGGGTTTGAAAAGCACATAGGATGAGTTGTTGAGGTTGTAGTGTAAGTTGTCTCCATCCCCCCCATGTGCAGGCGCTGGCGGGCGCACGGCAGGTGCACGAGTTCTCGCGCGCGGCGGAGGAGACGGGCGCCTGGGTGCAGGAGAAGGAGGCGGCGCTGCAGCTGGCGGGCGGCCAGCAGCGCCAGCAGCACCGCCTGCGCGCGCTGCACGCCGACCTGCTGGCCGTGGCTGACGCGCACCGCCGCCTGCAGGCCGAGGCCGACCGCCTGGCCGCCGCCTTCCCCGACGCCCGGGACCACGTGGCCGCCAAGCTGGACGACGTCACGGACGCGCTGCACGCGCTGCAGCGCCGCGCCGCCAGCTGCGAGCAACAGCTGCAGCTCGCCGACCAGCTGCACGCCTACTTCGCTCAGCACCAGGACCTGCTGTGAGTACCCTACCGCACTGACTGCAGCTCTCTGTCACTAACTCTAACGTTCTCTTGTCAAAACACTTCGCGCTTTTACCTTGTCTTCTATTATTTTTGTAAAAAGCTTTCCCTACTAAAAATACGATATCAAACAAAAGTAAAAGGCCTCGCAAAATGCCTCGAGCCCTGAACAGCTGAGGAGCTAGTTAGATAGTTAGATAGTTAGAGAGTGTAGAGTACAAGGAGGACCATTTATATATAAGAAAAGTGTCCCTAAAAACGCGTCCAATAATAGTGGCGCTGCTTTAGCATAGGATAAATTCAAAAAGCGCCAAAAGTAATTAGAATAAGATGGAGAAATAAACAAGGACTGGCCAATCCGCTTGGTTTTGTTCTACGTAATAGTTGAGATTTTGTATACTGGCATTTTACTAACTACTCTAGTCATGAAATTTTTAATATTTGAATTCAGCTGACTTCACGCCGTTCACAACAGCTATCTTCATATCGTAGTTTTTCAGTGCGAGGGCTATTGTGGTAGGTTTTGGAACCTCTATTTTCAGTAAATAGTAGGACGCTTTTTCAACTTTCGCCCCCTTATAAGATGGTTCTCCTTGTACTCTACTGGAGGAGACAATTTTTTAAAATCGAATTAAATATGTTTCCATTTTCTCCATAATTGTGGATCTTTTTCTGTACAGGTATATTTCTATACTGGTACTTTATTTTGCCAAGGCCTGTCCAAATAGCAAACACACAAGTGTCTTGCCTAGAAATGCGCAATTGCCCTTGAATATGGTAATACTATTTATGTTTTTTTATTTATCGTGAATGTAACATTTACTGTAGGCAACCAAAAATCAACTTATTTCAGTTTGATGGCGTTGTCTCATATGCCGAGGATGAACATTCGATTGCAATAATACCAAGCTCTTATATTCCATATGGGGTTGCTCCTAGAAAGGGAAATTATTGGTCTGTGATTAACCCGCACCAAAAATTCTCAAATTGCAGTCTCTTCATTACTTCTGCCATGTTTTGTGGACGGCACATTGCTTACATCTTTTCCATAATGAATTTATTTTGTCAGTGGGCCACATTTAGTTGTCGGGCGACGTTTGCAGATTGCAGACTGTCGGAAACCATAACGGAATTTCGCTTTGTAATATGGTGCCTTTTTAGGGTTCCGTACCCAAAGGTTAACCAACGGGACCCTATTACTAAGCCTCCGCTGTCCGTCCGTCTGTCTGTCAACGGGCTGTATCTCATGATCCGTAATAGGTAGACAATTGAAATTTTCACAGAATGTGTATTTCCGTTGCTCCTATAACAACAAATATTACAAATAAAATACAACAAACATTAAAGGGGGCTCCCCTACTAGAAACGTGTTTTACGATGGTACGGAACCCTTCATGCGCGAGTCTGACTTGCACTTGGCCGGCTTTTTTTATGTTAGCAATATAAATTAATTAAAAAGACTAAAGACACCAAAGCAAACCACTGTGGTCTGGTGTTCCAGGGCATGGACCAACGAGACCCTTGCACGAGTGACAGCTCCCGAGCTGGCGAGTGACGTGTCCGGTGCAGAGAGGCTGCTGGCCCGCCACCGGGACATCCGCGCGGAGATCGACGCCAAGGAGGACGCCTTCCACACCTTCTACAGTGAAGGTAATCCATCAGCACGAATAGCTCTTATTATAATAGATTCATTCAAAATTAGATCATATTGAGCAAGCGATAGAGTAGTTTTTGAATGTCAAAGAAACTACGTTATGATTTCATATTGTGATTTGAATAAACACTTGATTTTATTCCGTATATTAACTTTAGCTGTGTCAACCAACAAGTCCCTACAATGAGATATTTCGCATAATTATTTCTTATCTTTAGGAGAACACTACAAATTGAACAAGCCGTGCAGTGGCGGCGTAAGACAATCCATTACCTCATATCATCCGGTGGGTGACTTACGAAACAACAGAGGGAAACTGAAACAGGGGATGGGCAGCAGCATCTTCCTGATAATAACTTCAATATCGGAGATCATTCGCGGGGCCTACGGTATTACGCGCTTTCCGAGTCGCGGGGGTGTAACACAGCCAACTTCCTGACTCCGGGCATCTACTGATAACTTCTTGTCACAAAAGTCCAATAACTAATTTTTGCCCGACCCGGAATTCAAAACTGGAACATTAAGATCATCAATCGCGCTTACGACCACTAGAATTAAGAGGCAATCATAGATATATGTGTTATTTCACGCTGGTATTCTGTGAGGTGTGATCAACGTGCCTATCAGGTTGACGTGTCGATGTATATATTCCTTAGTTTTGTTTACAAAACTGAAGTGACAAACACATTTACAATCCACCGGACGGTAAGTTATTACTGCAGTTCGTGGACACTTGCAGCCAACTTCACACAAAGAAGGCCATAGCGGCATTGGCACCCTTGAGGAGTGTCTTACTCCTCAAGGGTGCCAATGCCTCACAAAGTGCAATTATACTGACTCTCCATACAATTCAGACCGGAACCACAGCCTACAAAGAACATACAGTCAGTCAGCGCGTTTGATGTTGTCAGAAAAGCCGACATAAGCAATAAAATGTCAGCATGGGAGATAATAAAAAAATAAAAAAAAACTAACTTTATTTTATTTCACGTTTAAACAAATTAATGTGTATGTGGAAATTGATGAAACTAACTCTTTATCTTTAAATGAGGACGACCCACAGTTTTTTACCGCACATGTAGTGTGAACCATTTTATTTGCGTGACAATACAGCCCTACCGGACAGTTCCCTCAAGAAGTGCTCAGACCGCACTGCACGATTGCCCTGTCTAGACGCCTTATATGACCGATTGTTGGTAGTAGTTAAACTGCGTCGGAACACAGCAGTGCAAGCACTGTTGCTCAGCGACAGAAATAGTTAATGTCTGGTACCTACCCACACAAACTCCTACTGAGAAAACTAGTCCCACAACCTACTGGTACTTAAAAAATAATTTTTCAGGCGAGAAGCTCGTGAGCGAAGGCCACTTCATGGCGAACGAGATAGAGGAACGCATGGCAACTTTGCGCTCGCGGAAACAAACCCTCGACGCGACCTGGCAAGGCCGGGCTACCGTCTACGAGCAACATCTCGACGCACTGATCTTCCTAAGGGATGCTGACACGCTGGAACACTGGATACTCACCAGGTAACGCCTATTAATATATGATACTATAAACTACGCCTTATTTTAACATTATTATTGTTATTACATACTTTAATTATCTACAATTTTTATATGGTTAAGGGTTACAAACGAACACACAATCCACCTGATGGTAAATGACTGCTGTGACCCATAAGCATCTTCATCTATCCTCGATTATTAATCACAATACAGATGCTTTGTCACCCCCTGAGGACTAAGATGGAATGCCTTGTTTCCAGCAAAAATAGTCTCCGGTTCTCTAAACGCACTATCTATTTCACGCTGGTATTCTGTGAGAGCGTGATTCTTCCCAGTTAGAGCCAACCCATTCTATACTACTAATGCAGCTGCAGTGTGGCTCTACAATGTAAATATTTTTATGTATATTATATTAAAGGACCAAAATATATATGTCACCTTGCATTGGCGGCGTAAGATGTGACATAGGGAAACTGTAACATGAGATAGGCAGCAGCGTCTTCCTAGTATAGTCGTAGCACGAATGGGTCGGCTCAACCGGGGAAGGACCACGCTCTCACAGAATACCAGCGTCAAATAGCAGCTTAAAACTGCTGTGTTTCGTATGGTGAGTGTAGAGAACCGGAGACCCTTTTTACTGGAAAAGAGGCATTCCATCTTAGTCTTCACCGGTGACAACGCATCTGCATTTTGATTCGCAATCGAGGATAGATGTCTATGGGCCACAGCAACCACTTACCATCAGGTGGACTGTGTGCTCGTTTGTCACCCTATCCTATAAAAAAAAACTGCTGTTGCCAATCCGCTTGCCAAGCGTGGCAGCTATGGCAAAATTCCCCTATGAGGCCTATGTTTAACAATAGACTTTTGATAGTCTGTAATGAACGAATTCTTATTTTCATTCTTACCGTTCCAGGATGCCGCTGGTCCGCGACGGAAAGTACGGGGAGAGCGTCGCCCAGACTGAGGAACTGATCAACAGACATAGAGACCTGGAGGAGACTATCGAGTCTCAAAAGGATAAATTCAACGCGTTGAAGCGCATCACCCTGGTCAGTGGAGTTTATTTTACCTGTTTCTTTCTTTATTATATTAATGTGATAACCAAGCTTTTCTCCACTGTACACCTGGTGGTAAGTGGCTACTGCAGTCCATGGACTGCTGCCAACTTCAAACAAAGAAGGCTACAGTTGCATCGTCACCTCGTTAAAGTCTCACAGCATGTAATAAATAATAATACTTGTTCTCTATACCCTGGAACATTTGACGGTACAAATAGGTGAGAGGGTGGATACCTAGCCAGGTGGAAAACTAGGCAGAATAGTTCTACCATCTAGTGAAGTCTGTTATCTTTTCTGCCGACTTCAAAAAGGAGGAGGTACTCAATTCGACTGTATGTTTTTTTATGTGTGTTACCTCATAACTTTTTTCTGGGTGAACCGATTTCGATGCTTCTTTTTTTATTTGAAAGCTAGTGCTTCTCATGTGGTGCAATTTCAAATAAAAAAAAAGTTTTTGAGTTATTTTTAATAATTTATTTTGATTTCGGTTGTACAAAATTTTTAATTTTAAATTATTAGTGCATAATTTGATAACGGTCTACTGTTATAGTGCTCCCTACCCCTTAATTTCTAGAACCCAAAAATAAAGTAGTTGTAATTCCATTTGTGGTCATTCAAACACCTTCCCCTCCCTTTCTAACCCTCCTCATGGTCTTGAGCCACTTGCGCCCATCAGATGCCCGCATACTTCAAAATATTATTTGCGACAGAAATAATAATATTCAAATCTCTTATTTTTCAGATTGAAAAAGCGTTCAAAGAGCAACAGGATGAAGAGGAGGCCGCTAGGAAGAGGTACGCGGAGAAACAGGAGGCTGAGCGTCTGCAGCAGTACAAGAAGCGCGAGATGGAGAGGATCACTGAGGAACGGAGGAGAGAGACCGCTCCGCCCGTTCAGCTCGTCAGAGAAGTGAGTGAGATCTTTGATTTGCGGAATTTTTTGGAGGATCTTTCTAAAATGAACTCAACATCGTTATCGCCATTATTGCAACTCTTTACAAGTCTGCACCTAAACATAGGCCTCCCCTAAGGAATCCATCAACTTCCTGCATCTCTTGCCAGGTCATCATTCCATCTAGACTCGAGAATCCTTTAAAGTCAAATCAATTTCATTATGCTCGACTGGTAATAAGATATTTTACAAAGAAGAAACTTTTAATAGCGCTGTGATTCACCATTTGTAGTACAGTAAAAACAGATGCAAATTTGAAAACAAGTAAAGTCCACTGCTAAACATGGACCTTCCTTTAAACTGTCTCATAAGGGGAATATTGGCCATAGTTGCCACACTTATACCAGCGTGAAATAGCAGCTTAATGCTGCTGTGTTTGATTTGGTGAGTGTAGAGAACCGGAGAACCTTTTTACGGGAAACGAGGCATTCCACCTTAATCCTCAGGGATGACAACGCATCTGCATTTTAATTGTAAATTGATGATAGACGTAGATGTCTATGGGCCACAGCATCCACTTGCCATCAGGTGGACTGTGTGCTCGTTTATCACTTCCTCTATATCATGATTAGTACAGCAATGTATGCGTCTGTAGGTGGAGCTTCTGGGTGCGAGCGGGACGGCGAACACGAGTGCGAGCGGGACGGGTGCGCTCACGGCTGCGTCCTCCGAAGAGACGCTGGTGCCGGCTCCACAGTTCGAGCGGCTGCCACGGACAGATGCACTCGTCAAGAGGGCCGAGAGCATGAGTGTGAGTGGTTTTATTATTAATTTATTGTTTAAGTGAAAACTTCTTTAGAAACTCTATGAAACGAAAAAGGGACACTAAAAAGAGACAAACATATTCATCCATAGGATTTAGACTGCGAGGGAATGGGATAGCATGCAGTATACAATATTTCCTATTATGCATGTTATCTATGAGCAGTAAGGATTAAAGACGAAATTTGTTGATTAGGAAATATTTAAGTACTAGCGATAATGAATGGAATCAGTATAATATGTAACGTAATATACTTATTAGTATAATAAAATGTAAAATTACTTTTAAAATTGATGACAACATTATAATTTAAAAAAAAACCCTACAATTACCCTACTGCTGAATCAGCAGTGCTGATACTCTGTATTCGTCACATTCTCTCGAAGTAAAGTTTTCTAAATGTTTCACTTCTACCGCGAGAACTGCACACATATTTCATTTATGTAATTATTTATTTATTTAAAAGCTTACATGTGAAATTTTTGTGATTTGAATGAAGTTACCACCAAGTGACAACAATCGCAGGACATTATGTAATAATGTATAAAATTTTCCGTGGAATTCCGTAGATGCTCTTTCAAAATATCCATAAGTCTACAGACTTCGTTAGAGGATCGAAATTTTTTGTTTTTGTTATAGAATAGATAAATTTTCTGGAGAAATTCTTTCTATCATGTAAAATTTTGATTGTGAGTCCAATTGTAGTATAACATCGAATCAAGCTGCACATGTAAGTAAAAAACGGCCAAGTGCGAGTCGGACTCGCCCATGAAGGGTTTCGTAGCAGTAAGTAACATTATTTACTTGGCACCTTTTACAGATTTATTATTAGAAAATAATGGTTCACGGTTTATGCATAAGGTTTATGTCTATGAAATTAAATGTTTTTTTTTTAAATTGTTATATTTGAGTTAATTGAATGAAAGGTAAATAGCGGTTTACGATTTATGACCTATTAAAAAAAAACTACTTACTAGATCTCGTTCAAACTAATTTTCCGTGGAAGTTTACATGGTAATGTACATCATATATTTTTTTTAGTTTTATTACTTTCTTATTTTAGAAGTTTCGCGCAAACTATTCAGTTTAAAAAAATGATATTAGAAACCTCAATATCATTTTTGAAGACCTATCCATACATATTCCACATTTTCAGTTCTAAGTATGGGGAACCCCCAAAGTTTATTGTATTTTTTTCTATTTTTGTGTGAAAATCTTAATGCGGTTCACAGAATACATCTACTTACCAAGTTTCAACAGCATAGTTCTTATAGTTTCGGAAAAAAAGGCTGTGACATACGGACGGACAGACAGACATGACGAATCCATAAGGGTTCCGTTTTTTGCCATTTGACTACGGAACCCTAAGAAGTATCGTAAATAGTTGTAGTTCCGCAGACGATGAAAAAATTCCGTAGACCTACGGAAAAATCCGTAGAGTTGACAACGCTGCTCCACTGAGACTTGCCATCTGCCCAAGATCAACGGCTTTTCGAGGGATGGGGGGATGGAACACCGCTAATTGACTTTTTTGTCCGACTCGCAGCAAAATTCAAATGATTTGAATTTAGTAATTTTTTAACCCCGACGCAAACAGAGGTGTATAAAACACATATGTATTTGTATTCGTATGTATCTGTGTCTATCTGTGGCATCGTAGCTCCCAAACGGATGAAAAAAAATTTTTTTTGTTTGAAAAGTGACTTGATCGAGAGTGTCTTTATGAGCTATGATTCAATATTTTCAGCCGTATGAATAACATGAGCTCTTTTTAAATCACGCGAAAAAAAACTAAAACCCATAAAATCCAATTTTAACTGTCAGCTTCTACTTCGTTCATCAAAAGTCATCCGTATTTTTCACGTCTGTACATTGCTTTGTAGCTGCAAGTAAGTGTGTAGTGTTTTATTTATTTCATGCTAACATTTGATGTCCTCTCCCAGGTGGTGAAAACTCCGAAGCGAACGCCATCGTTCACGACCCGACGTCGCACGCAGAGCTTCCGCAGACACAGGAATGACATGGACCCCTTGCCGCCCGTAGAGATTGAAGGTTTGTACTGTTATGGGTCACACAGTTCCTTTCTAAATAACAACTTATTTGTATTTACGTTAATTGAAATCTATTATAACTATCAATAACATTTTTATAAACTAAAACTCGGGGTTTCTCTGCGCGATAGACTTAAACACGTGGATATCCGCAGTAGAACGAGAGTAAACGACGTGGCCCAACGAATTAGCATTATTCATGAAACATGAAACTAAGGATGTTATGTAAAGTACATGTGTAGGTAAATTTTTTATACATTACATAACATTGAAAAATATACAATAAAATAAATCCTAAAAAGTGCCCCCGTGGTAACAGTGTCAACGAGTTTAGCCTGCACAGACTTTGATGATAGAAAAGTGCTGGTAGCTTTTCACGGCACGGTTCTTTGAATGATGTCAACCGAAGGGCTTTTAATTGTCTCTATAAATGTTCCCTCGGTTTTAGAGCCTTTTAGAGACGATGGCAGGAGACCCGACGGTATGAGATTGGTCCCATTGGCTTTAACGAGGTAAAGCTAAGGCATCCTACATGTGTGTGTGATGTAGATGTGAGGCAGTGCGTATGTTCAGGATACATGTCAAGTATATACTATATAGCTCTACATCTCCCGTTTGGACAAAAGTACGTCGGTAAAAGACGGTCTTGCGTTTCGTGGAAGAACGAAGCCGATGTTGCATAGAGGATTCGACCTCTTGACATTTGTAGCGTCTGGAGTCTAATAGATCAACGAACTTCCAATCCTACGTACTCCAGGTTCCTGCAAATTGTAATGAGACATTCCTCACTCCCGATTTCTGGCCCTCTGGGAGTAGTGTATCGCCGATACAGGGCCGCGACTAAGAAGAAAGTTTCCCCAAATTGGGTCAAACTTACTAATAAGTATTTAATGCTTGCAATAAAATTATTGTATTGTATTGTTAATGGAGGGTAGGTCGTGTTGTGGGGCGTGTGTGAGATTTAGATGTGAATCAGTGTGTATGTTTAGGTTACCTGGAGAGGAAGCAGGAGGCTGGGTGCGGTGGCAAGCGGGCCACTGTGCGATCTTGGCGCACGTACTATTCGGTGCTGTGCGGCCAGCTGCTGTGCTTCTTCCGTGACCAGCAGGACTTCGGCAGCTCCAAGGCGGCAGCACCACCAGTCGCCATCCTCAACGTAAGCACCACCAATTTTGTGTTTTTTCACAGGGGGAAGGGACAACAAACGAGCAGGTGGTGGGAGAGTCACGCTGCAGCTATATCATGGTTGTAGCATGAATGGGTCGGCTCGAAGGACCACGCTCTCAGAGCATACCAGCGTAAAATAGCAGCTTAATGTTACTGTGAGTCGTATGGTGAGTGTAGAGAACTGGAGACCCTTTTTACTGGAAACGAAACATACCATCTTGATGTTCACGGGTGACAACGCATCTGTGTTTTGATTCTTAATCGAGGATACATATAGATATCTATAGGCCACAGCAAAAGCAAAAAATATTTTAAAGATAAACGTGATTAACTATGTCATTGGGTCGTCGAACACATCAGCTTTCCTGTGATCGTGGGTACAGTAAAGTACTCGAAATGTCTGGTATATAAAATAACTTAATATACGCGATAAAATCCGTAAAAATTAGTTTCATGTTTTTGAATTTGCTTCCATAGCGGGAGGCGCTTAGAAAACTAATGAAAACAAAATCGGGGTATTCAGTTTGCTGTTGCAGCTACATACAAAATTTAATTACACCACTTGATAGCTGAAGGATCAAAGAATTAGTGTCGTTGTGTGAGGAGTATAACAGACACGCGGTAGAGGGACGGGGTAGGGGGAGGGGAGGGGTGGTGGTAGCGCCCTAATTTTGAAATCGTTTCGCTACGTACACGTGTTTACATACAACAGGGGTAAAGGAATATAATATGCTCCGGTAACCATCCACAACTTCAGGAGAATTTGGGACGCGTTGCCGGCTTTTAAATAGTGGGAAGGCTTTTTTATTGCCCCCTGAAGAGGAGGGCGATTCGGTAATGGCCCCGAGACACCTTGACAGCGCTGCATAGGTGCTGGGGGCAGTAAGCACTGCCTTCGGTACGTGCTTTCAATAAAGTACGGCGTAAAGGCTCCGGTTGGGTTCTTTACGGAGATCCCGTGACCCCACATATACGTTAATGGCGACCACCGTTAGCCTTTAGCCGGTAGGAGTTCATAATGATCTTTCTGTTGCTCCCACTGTCGGAGGCATCCGTATCCCACGAGAAAAAAAGGCTGTTTTCTTTAATGTCTCTAAGTTGTATCGATGCGGAAAAATCTTTGGTGGTAGCTGATTTTAAAAGAAAGAAACTTTTGGTAAATTCTATCACTCATCCTCTAACCGTCTATGTTTATTCACTTCTATAGTTTAATTTATTTTTAATCGACTTCAAAAAGGAGCAGGTACTCAATTCGATTGTATGTTTTTTATGTGTGTTAATTCATAACTTTTTCTAGGTGAACCGATTTCGATGATTCTTTTTTTTTTGAAAGCTGGTGCTTCTCATGTGGTCCCATATAAATGTGATGAAGGTTTGACCAGATGTTATAGAATTGGTTGTAAGGTACGTGTGTGGTGTGTTGTGTGCAGGCGCGGTGCACGGTGGCGGACGACTACACGAAGCGCGCGCACGTGTTCCGGCTGGCGTGCGGCGACGGCGCCGAGTTCCTGTTCGCGTGCGGTTCGGCGCGCCTGCTGCACGACTGGGTGGCCAAGCTGGCCTTCCACGCGCAGCTGCCGCCCGAGCTGCAGCTCACGCCCTACGCCGACGCCGAGGCCGGGGCCGCCGCCTGCTCCACCGACGAGCTGCGCCGCAGACTGCACCAGTCAGTTGCTCACTTTCTTTTTGTGGCTATTGTGGCGCAGGCTACAAGGCTTTCTGCCAGAATAAATACATCACATGCTATTGTACACTCCAGACAATTAAACTTTTAATAAATAGTAAAAGTCGACTTTAAAAAACCTAAAAAAGCTGCTGGCATACTCCGCCACTCCCAACAGCGAGACCTGCTCGATGACGAACTGTGCTGCAAACTGCACCAGTCAGTTGCTTTTTAATATATATTTTTTTGGTTTTTGTGACATTGACTATAAGGTTTTCTACCAAAAATAATGCATCGAACGCTGTAATATATTTTACGAAATTTAACTTTCAACAAAAAATATAAAGCTCACGTTAAATTACTAATAAAATCCACCTAATTATCAATAGTGTATGAACTTCAAAGTTTTAATTCTTTGGTATACTATAATATCTCATTATCTATATTTGTTCGGAGAAAAGTAATATTCGATTAAAATTACTATCCATTTATACAGTTTTCGCATTTAAGGCGAAATAATATCGTGTTCAGTAGCGAGAAGCGGCGATTTGCTCCTGTTTGACGGGCACGCGCGCAATTTTATTCCTCGATATTTATTTGATATTTCTTTTTAAAATGAAATATACTTTTTTTATTAAAAAATAAACCCATAATTCCTCCATGTATTTACTGGTGAACACTTAGGCAAAATATAATTGAAATTGCTTTAATTACATTCGAATAAAACTGTTTTTCCCCTTAATAAACGTACCTAAAATAAGGTATTTTACACCATGTAAAAAAAATCAAAGAATATATATTTATGAATATATATTTTGTAAAAAGTAAACGAGAAATATTGATTTCTATTTATAAAAATGCATTATAAATATGCATTATAAATTTTATATTCCAATTTAAAAAATATTTTTTTTACCTGTGCCTCAAATCTGTAAAACGATGTCCGCCATATTAGATAGCGTCGTGACGTCACTAGGTTATGTGTTGTGTATTAACTAGCTAATTTCGAAATTTTTCAAGTTATCATTACGATTGTTGACTTTTATTCCGATTTTTATTGAAAAGGCATCATGTTACACGGATTCGTAAAAGCTAGTTTATTACTTCGATTTTAGCGCTAATGTTATAGATATTATAATATAAGTTTAGGTGAGAAAAACTTTTTGTTATATTTTTTTGTACAAATGCTCAGACGAAATAAAAAGTCACTTTTTTATTTGGTCTGAGTACAAACATGTCTTTATTCCCATATAATAGAAGAAAACAGGAATTAAGTAAAACACTGCACTGCACTTGAAACGGCTATCAAAATGGCCCACAAAGGGTGGGACAGACGAGCGATTAACCTAATTTATTACAAAATTTGACTTGCAATAGGTAAGTACCCTATCATGTCATGATGTTTTGTTTTATTTAATTGATAGTTAAATATAAGTCATACTTACATCAAAGTGATCTTCACAGAAGTATAGTTTAGATTTTGTGGACAATGCCTTCGGGTCTCTTCTTGCCAGTTTTAATTAAGTATTTCTCATATTTAAATCAGTTGGCACTTTATTCCATAACTTCCCCGGCGTTCTTATGCTCGTATTTATTGCAATCAGGCACAACATAACAATGATATAAATGATAACTCATTATTAAACATTCAAAAGTATCTTATTCCTTTGCAAAATTGTCAAAATTCTACGACAGTGACGTCACGAGTTGAACAGTATGGCGGCTAGCGTTTTCACGCGAAAATTTAAAACGATAGTTTAAAAGTAATTTTTATGTCACTATTCAGTTAAAAAAATTTATATAAAAATTATAGTGGTTCATTATTACTCTAGAATTCATTATAAAACACTTTTTGAAAATGGGTGTAATACCCTATTGCATATTTTGGGGAAACTACAATTTTTTTGTATGGAGCCAAAATATGTTATTTTAGACCATCATAATTTACTAACAAAAATTTTTAACTGTCATAATGATTTTAAAAAAGGTGAATTCGTAGTTTTGAATGACTAAAATTGATTTTCTGCGCACCCATAAAGCGTGAAAAATCTGCTTTTGGCGCCCATTTCACCTTAAAAAGCCAACGATTGACTTATTGCACAATATGTCCTGTTATAATACACATATACATAATTTCAGACATCATACACAGAACTTAAGGCGCAGGTTGAGCAAAATGTCGCGCTAGTCGTTATTTGTGCGGTTTTTAGGAGCTATCTACTTTTTATTTAAAAGATATATTAACTAATAAAAAACACATTATATTTCTACATAATCTTGATTCCATAAAAGTCATATCCAATTTTTTTTAAGGAATAAATATTAAAATAATCTCCTTACAACGAAACCACATAAATGTGATATAATTATGATGGAGATGCATGATAACATGCATCTCCTCGTAAAGTAAGTATTATTTTGTTTTACGATTTACACCAATCGATAGGTAATTTATTAATGAACATTTCTATCAATATTTTTTTTTTCAAAAGACCAAAATTTGATTTTATTGAGATATTATTTTAAAAACTCAGGAGTCAGTGAGCGCCAAGCTCTTGAAGGTGAAACCTGTGTCGTTTGTCACGACGTCAGCCAGCGCACATGCTCGCTGACGTCATCTTTTTCAACCGATAATATTATTATTACTTATTAGGTTATTTATAAGTCAACGCAAGTATTTAAGAACGCAAGAAGTACAGTGAGTAAGTATCTTTTAAACTCACAATTTTCAATGCTTCATTTTTAATATATAATTAATTATAAAATTTCATAATTAGATAATATACGAGAATACATAATTCTAATATAATGCAACTAATATACCGAATAAAAAAATTAAAATACATTTATCGTTGTACGCCGTGTGTATTTCCATAAAATAGTTTATTGATGTTGAAAAAATAATACTACGTTCGTACAATAGGTGGCGTCTTACATATTTCTTACGCAATATATTGTAGCGAAATGTTCAAGGTCGTTCGCATGGAGTAGCCCCTTAAAGGAGAATGCCCAATACTGGCCATGAAACGCCCAACAATTTGCATTTGTTAAAAAAATACATCTTTTTTTGTGGTAATTAATCGCGGTACTTCTGTATGTATGTATGAAATTATGTAAATCCGCAAGTCATTAGTTGTTGGATAAAATAAAAAGTGTTGCCAATTACAAATCTCGATTCTGTTTTTTAATCGATTTTTTATGGTGTCATTATTATAATGGTAATATTATTTTTCGATAATTATTACGATGTTATGATAATTAGACAAGCGAATTGCTAGTTGATTTACCATAAACTCTTTAGAACATAACAAAAACGCTATTGCACAATTTAACTGTTATTCTAATCTGTTCTTAAAAATACATTTAAAATGGAATTTAAATAAATAAAACAAAACATATTTTAAAAGGCGTGCAGAACTTAAAGCGAATCAGAGAGTATTCTTCTTTATGAAATTATAAATTGAATAAATTAATCGCTATCTATTTATCGATTTTATGTCTGTTAATTGGTAACATCGAATCTGACAGCTAGGCCCATGTCATAATTATCAAAACTTAGTCACAAGTCGAATTCCTTTGCATTTGTGTTATTTTGTTTGTTTTCTCGCGGCTTGTTGTTATCTAAGCTACGAATAAGCTTTCTAAATGGACTCCGATAATACTTCTCACCCTATTGACCACTGCCTGAAAATGGATCCCGCTCCCACTTCTTACGATAACCTCTGCACGAACTTTGACTCGATATCCACTGTTAACGATGACCCCAGCTTTCACACCGGCCAAATTCTTCCCAGCCCTCAGTAACTCATTCAAGAGGACATTAACGCTGTGTCAATTGTGATTTAAATGTCACGAAAATATGACGTCATTTGTTGTTAAAAAGTGTTCTTGTGAAAATAAAAAACCTTTATATCTTAAAAATCCGGACTTTTGTCAAACCAATTCCTTAACTATTTCTTTCTTTTAATTGCATATTATAATTTCCATATGCTTTTATATGTGGGCACCCATGGCCGAAGTGTCTATTAACGGTGGGCATTCCCCTTTATTTCTATTTTTTTATAATTGAATACTAATTACATTTCGATCAATAAGCTAAGTAAAATAAAAAATATCTAAAATAACAATCAAAATGAATGAATAAGTTTTACTAGAACCACGCGTAGCATTGGTTACAAGGTCTTCTATCTAAGCCTTCCCATAAATTACCTCATATGACGAATATTTGCTATGGTTGCCATGCTTGGCCAACGGCTTGGCAACCGCAGATTTTTATGCTGAAACAATATACAATATATCAACGTGTCACATTACGATGTTTTTGAGAGGTTTTGAGAGCAGGTTTAGCAAACAGTCGATGACGACAGTATGCCAAGTTCTCAAGACACTAAAGCGGATGAAATGTTTTACAAATCGTGGCACGTAAGTCTAGAACTGAACGAAACGTGGAGGGGACGCGCACGAATTGTATTTCACGAATGCGACCGGAGAGCCAATCAGCGCGTGCGGACGATACGCACGAGTCATACAACGCGACTTATGCGCGATAACGGTCACCGCTTGACTTTCGTGCCGCTACTTATAAGATATTTATCAGCATCGGAATACTTGTTTCATCATTTCTATTAATGTTTAATTTTCGTCTTAGGCCCCAGGTGTGACAACGCAGCTGCACTTTTATTTCTAATCGAAGATTAATATATCTATGAACCACAGCATCTACGTTGTGACCGAATTTAGGTCTGAAGGGTGTTATATAACATGGTATTGCAGGAACGCGTCGTCGTCCTCTTCGGCCGCGTCGTCTCCCGAGCCGCAGCGCGCGTCCCGCTCGCAGGCGGAGATCCTGCAGGAGCACCGGGACTCGCAGCGGGCTTCCGCCACGCCAGAGAGGAACATAGGTACGCCGCCTTTGTACTCAATCCACTTTTGTTTTTTTTTAAACCTAAGCGACAAAAGACCTGCAGCCAAGTTCGAACACAGACAGAGTATTTTTCCGAAAAATTACTTTTAGTAAGAATTACTTGTAATCTATATTGTTCTAGCGATCCGCCCGGGCTTCGAACGGGTTTCTAGGGAATCTCGAAGATAGCGACACCTAGCGGCTCCGATTATGAATCTAAACCATCCAGCGATCAACTGAAATACAAAAAAATATCATAAGAATCGGTCGAGTTTAAGCGAGACTAACAGACAGCAATTGATTGTTTATATATTGAGATAATAATAGCCCTAGGGAATGAGGTGATCGCTACCAAGCTATTTCTAATTTATTCTTTGTAGTTAATTGTGTCATGTAATATAAAATTTTGTACGTGGTAGCGCCATGCTGCAGCTATATTAGTAGTATAGTTGTAGCACGAACGGGGCGGCTCGACCGGGGAAGGACCACGCTCTCACAGAATACCAGTGTAAAATAGCAGTTTATCACTGCTGTGTTTCGTATGGTGAGTGTAGAGAACCGGAGACCCTTTTTACTGGAAAAGAGGCATTTTATCTTAGTCCTCACGTGTGACAACGCATCTGCATTTTGAATTGCAGTCGAGGACAAATGTAGATGTCTATGGACCACAGCAACCACTTACCATCAGGTGGGCTGTGTGCTCGTTTGTCACCCTATCCAGTAAAAAAAATTGCAAACTGCCCTTTTTTTTCAAAAAACATGTCCTGCTGGGTTTTTTGCTGGTTCTTTCCAGAACAGAGCTGTTTTTTGTACCAGTGCTAAATTTAACATAAAGAGGGGTACTTTCAATACGTATTATTTATAATCTATATTGATTAAAAAAAAAACAGTATTTTTACTTCTGTAACATATATACTCTTTACTTTGTTACAGAGTCGTCCGTGCTGCCGTCTCTGCCACCGCGCCAGCCCCCGCAGGAGGAACAAGCGGACGTAGTGCTGAGGTCAGTGAGACTTTTTTTACCATCCCTGCCACGCTGGGAAACTGTACTGTATCAGCAATACCAGGCGTAAGCGCCCTTGACGCTGACGCTCGTGACCTGTCTGGGTACTTTACGCCTGGCGTAAACTAGATGGTTATACCACCATGTTTCTGAATCCATAAGACTTTCTGGCTCTTTTCTCTGTCGCCTCTGATGACATCCATAGGATAACAAAAAAAAAAACATGCGTGAGTGTCGTCGAACACTCGGTTGGAACGACGTTCCTTTCGTAGTATATTATTATTGATGAACGTATTATATTATTGGTTAACAAATACAAATAAATGAATTACTAGCGTCTATTAAAATAAAGCGTCACTTAAAATAAAATAATATTCCTTTCATGGCAATATAAGAAAAAGTGCGAGGGAGATGGCTATTATTCCATCTTGCTTAACACACACGTCATAAGAGGTCGTGACGAAAAAATCTTACACTTTATGTCGTCTAGCCCCCATCCGCCAAATTCGTACCGTCGGATAAGGAACTTTGTTCCAAAAATATTTTTACACCTTAAAAATTATACGCGGGCGAAGTAGCGGAGAACAGCTAGTCTAACACTAATTTTGTTGTATGTGCACAGTCATACCCACCTGCATCCATCGCCTTCCTGCACCTCTAAACTCACTCTACCTAATGGGATGTAGTACTAGATTGGTAGTGCATGCAATCAAAAATTAGCCCTTTTGCTGTCCCGTGCACTACATATAGGTCATTGCTATTGTCTTACTATTGTGTCTGTAAGCCGGACAGTGAAAGTGCAAGAATTTTTTTTATCTATATAATGTTAAGTGTGTGTTTGCTTTAAACAGGAACGCGACGGAGCGCAGCGGCAGTCCGTGGGGACGCACGCGCTTCTCCAACGGACGCGATCTCAACGCAGAGTTCATTCGCTCGCAGAGAGAAGGTAAGATCAACTTACAATACACATTATAGAAATATATATAATATTTACCCATTTAATACTATGATATGAAATTTTAATAAAATACAATTTTCTTTAATAACTTTTAAATGTAAACCGTTTTCTTACAAAACGTTATTTAATAGAATCTACTTATCTGTGCTATTTTGAAGAGAGTAAGAGAGTACATTTAATATCATATTTAAAAAAAAACTAAATGTAACAATTTTTGCTGACATTTATAATTTGGAAGAAAATGTTTGACTACTAATTTGCCTATTTAGCACGATAAAAATAACTATGTCATATATTTTATCGTTATAAATATACCTCGAGGTCATAGCTAAAGCTAAAGTCGGTTTCAATGTACAGTTGCCATTTCAAAAATATTTATTTTCTATTGTCTATGGGATAAACATAGTATTAGAAACAAAATTGCCTTGTGAGCTACATGCTGTTGTGAACCACGTCGAGCTTTGTGACGTCATCGATTTTCCTGTTTTGTGAACGTTTAAGACTCGATCCGAATTTAAAACCAATTACGTCTAAATATTCAAAGGTTACTCAATTTTATGATGCTGCTAAGAATCGTGACGTCTCTATCATTATATATATTATTTCATTATATTATTATCATTATATGTATTATTCATTAACTGCCTCGTTGTTTTAGTGGTCGTGATCGCGATTATTGATTATGAGGTCCCGGGTTCGAATCCCGGGGCAGGCCAAAATTATTTACTGGATTTTCTCATTAGCAGCCCGTAATCAGGAACTTGACGGTGTTTTGAAAGCACCTAAAGCCGTTGGTCCTACGCCGGATCTCTCGGGTCGTGTCGGATTGCCGTCCCATCGGACTATGAGAGTAAGGGCATAGAGAGTGCACCTGTGCTTGCACATACACACACACACACTATAATTCTGTTTTGTACTGATAGCTATTCTCCGTTCAGACCGAAATTCGGTCTGGAGGACATTGTTGTCACTTTAAGTAGAAGTGACTGCGAAGTCACGAGACTTAATGGTATCTTAGAATTGAGTAGCATTTAAATTTTTGGCCATTAGTTCCTTTAATATATCGATAGACACCAAGCGAATGTTTAACTCTACTGGGAATCGTGGTGGCCTTGTTTTTATCCCGACTTAAAAAAAGGAGGTATTCAAGTCGAGTGATTTCTTTTGCTTTTTACGCATTTTATTTTTATTCTATGAGTCACAGCATCCACTTACCATCAGGTGGACTGTGCTCGTTTGTCACCATTTTTCTATAGAAAAAGAAACATATACTCGAATTGCGATGCTCCTCCGTTTTTTGAAATTCGTTAACAGATATAACGCAGTTGTGAAGTGATCCCCAGTCCCATCAGAAATATACAATCGCACTGTCAGTTTATGTTACTATTAAATAATTTTCTTGGTAATTAGTCACGCAACTTGCTTTGTTATAGGATCTTTTTTAATTCACAGTTTAAACAAAAGATCTAGTTAAAGGAAAGTAGCCTAACGGCAGGTAGCGGATCGAGAACGCTAACGGTCGTGGGTTTAAATCCACCATCCGACTGCTGTCGTGAACCATTCCTAACATAAGCATTTATAGCTTACCTGGAGCGTTTAAAGTGAATATATAATAATGTTAATAGCATTGGTAGTTTTTTTTAAAGTTAAATTTATAACTTTTAGCAAAACTAACTCCACCAGTCAACCAGTACCTGGTCGCCAACATCGCACATCACATTTAACATGTAATTCTAACCCAAACTAAGACTAACCTATCATTAACATATTCCAAAACCCAGCTGAAGGGGTAGCCCCACCATTACCCCAGTCGACCTCCCTGGAACGCCCCCCGGTTATCCCGGACCGGGCGCCGGCTTTGCCCGAAAGGGGACCCAATCTCCCCGAGAGGAGAATGTCCAGCATCAACGAGAGAGGCGAGAGGGCCGCCAACGTAACGGAGAGATCGTCCATGATAGCGGAAAGAGGACACGAAAAGAACCCGCAGCAATCCGTTACGGCGCTGGTGAACAGCTACCAGCAGCGGATGACCAAGAGCTTCCCGGAGAAGGACGAGAACAAGAACGCCACCTGGCAGTACGAGAGGCAGAACAACAACTGGCAGGGCGCGGGCGTCGAGACAACGTCTCATTTCTATTCTGCGAGCGAACTCGGTCAGTGGGAGGCTGTAGCTAGCTCGGCTTCGTAGACCTTCGAAATCTTCAAATGTCATAAGTGGGAGGAAGCGGGTCAAAAGTGTCTCAGATGATATTAAAATATGTTGTCTTGATACCGAGTCTAAAATAAACGCAAAAATTGTCAATCTACTGTAATAAAATGTTGATAGTTCCAGTCATTATTCGAACAACAATTCATCAACGTAGATCTCTCCGATAGATGCCTCTTACGTGCTGTAGATGTCACGTTTGGCAAGTGGGTTTGCCACCGCACTCTTTTATAACTTTGAGTTGTTGTCAGGAAGATGCTACTACAGGAGATCCTGTTGCAGTTTCCCTCTGTCGCCTCTTACGACACCCGCGGGACGACAGGGTAGTGGATCAGCTGACGGCTACATATATATGAGTACTACTGAGTGCAAAAATAAAATTTAAAACTCCATTTCTCAAGAACTGTTATATGTGGGTTTAATTCCTTTTGCGTCCAGTTTACATTAATTAATATTTTTTGTGTAAATTGCCTTTTTTTTTTTAATATCAATAATATTATCAAAACAGTATTGATCAGAATACTGTAACTGTTAAATTGAGACTGATAGTAACAAGTTTTCGCGCGCTTTTAAAATTCGACTTGTGTTTTGGCGTGAACTTAACCGCCAAGGGATTGCTACTTGTGTCAATTACATTGTTTAAATAATAGATTGATGTGGATTTTGATATGTAAAATTAGTGCGATTTTGTCTGCGCATGAGAACTATTAATGGAAACGATGTAACAAGTTCTTTGATAGTGACATAAATCTCGATATTTTATTCGCTTAAACGCCTTGAGATGCTGTCTTCATCAAATGTGCGCCGGGTTAGCTGTCGTTAGAATCTCCCAAAAATTTCAGCATCAGCATATTGTATATAATAGAATAGCATATTGTAAAGAACTTATTATTATCTGACATTGTTAATAATATAACCGTACGGGCCTATAACGAAAGAAAAAGACCTGACATTGACACATGGATCTCCCACGATGACATTTGAAGATACAGAATAAAAATAGCTGCTTTTGTACTACTAGGTATTACTCTATGGTGTTAAAAATCTGTAAAAGTTTGTTAGCTTTTATATATTACTATATTGAAAATTGCGTTGTAAAACATTTAAATAGCTGTAATGATAAATTACAGGATTAACAAATACAAACCCCCCCCCCCCCCCCCTAGACTATCTAGAGGAAAAAAAATTTCGGATTTATATTTAAAAAAATTAAAATGGACTTATTTATTTATCACTACTTAAAATAATTTATCGATAAAGATTCAGCTTAATTGATTGACTAACCTTTGGAATATCATATTACATAGATTAAATTATAGAACATTTAGTCGAATTGACAACTTCCCTCTTTTTGAAGTCGGTTAAAATCGGTCGGTTAACTGGCTGACTGGCTGCGTTATAGAATTATTATTATTACAGCTGTTTAGAGTTCCTGTACTGTAGTCTTTTTACCCTTAAGCGTTTATATACTTTAAGCTGATTATATTTAAATATTATAACAATCTACTAACTGGGTTTTCAAATAAGCACTTTACTGGACAACTAAATAACTTTATAAATATTTTATCTAAAATAACCTGAAACTTAATATGATGTTAACAAATAATTCTATCAAGTTCGCCGTATCATGTACTATATATACAATATGTAACAAAACCCTGTGGTTCCCGTTAATTACGTTATCAGGATCAGTATTCAAACGTATAGAAATATTTTTTTAAACTCGAACAATATTTTTTTTATTTTATTTTGGTATTTGGTATGGGGCTGACCATACTAAATATAGTAGGGTTTATTTGTCATATAAAAAATGATAGAATTATTTAGTTTATGACATTTCTTGCTTAGTTTATCACATTTCTTGCATGTTTCTTGATGAGTACAGTTAGCGGCACTAATCATGAGCACGGTAATGCTAAACAAAGATTGTATAAAAAGGGTTATTATAATATTTACCCATTCCCTTTCCTATTAACAACCTATGGTACATTGCTATTGTCTTTAAATTTCATATATTTAAATCGATATTTGATATTAGTTTTCTTTTAACTAATTTTAAATTCATTATATTTTAAGTATAATAAGTTACTATGTATCAATTTTTATTAAATATACTAACATGTTTATGATTTTCAATGGTGGTGGGTTTCGGTGTCAGGATCGAGTCACCTGCTGTATGTGCTTCACAAAGTACAATGTATGTGGTCCTTACTGTTGTGTGCGCTTCGTTCTCGACGCTTTTGTAGTTTGTTTTAGATACGTTGTTAGATTAAGATGATTTTGTTTGTAGCCTTGCTTTTAGTCCTGTGTTTTTGTGTGTTTTTATTTTAAGGGATTTTAAGTATTGATTATTCTATGTTTATTTGTATAATCTCCGTTCGACCGACGCGTGAGACGTGACTCTAATTTTTTTTCAATTCTAACGACGCACGACTATTTCTAAATGGCGGAGCACTCTACAATTTACCTTCGACATTTCACAACTCGGCGAGCGTTTGCAAACACGCGACGCCGTCTGTATAATGAATGACGAACCATACAATCTGCTGACGACATACACGTTTATCCTTTTTCTTCGGTAAAAGTCTACTGCGGTGTACTTTACGTGTTAGAGCCACGCTGTAGCGTATTATGGTTGTAACACGAATGGGTCAAATCCGTCGGGAAGGATCACGCTCTCACAGAATACAGAAATAGCAGCTCAATGCTGCTTTGTTTCGTATGGTGAGTGCGGAAAAGCGGAGACCCTTTTTACCGGTTACAAGGCATTCCATCGTAGTTCTCAGGGATAACAACGCATTTACATTTTGATTCTCATTCGAGGATAAATGTAGTTGTCTATGGTCCGCGGCATCCACTTGTCGTGTGCTCGTTTGTCACCCTTATTCAATAATAAAACAAATACATTCCATTAGATTACATCTCGTTACATTACTTTTTAATAAATACCTATGAATAATAGCTAATGGTAGAGACCCGTGTCAAGAAGAAAGCATCGGTGCGCTGATCTAGAGAAAGAAGAAAACAATTTGGGTTGGATGTATTTATTGTTTTATTTATATATGAGTGATAGTAAAAAGATATAGTGGCAATTCAAAATGGATGTTTATTGTTTACATTTTGTAAATTTAGTTATCTGTAGTATTAGTATTAGTATTTTGGTTATTTTAGTTTTTTCTTTTGTATTTCGTATTCTTAGTGTTTTGATATACGGTGCTTACGATTTTTTAAATGGCTTAGATTTTACTTATGAATTAAAAATTATGCCGACATCTGACTGAATATACCGACTGAATCATAAAAAACCTCGGCTTGAACAAGTTATCAAAGGTAACAACGCATCTTTAGCCTTCTGTGTTTAAAGTTGTTTACATGTTTCTATAGGCTGTCAAAGTTGTATCTGTTTGGTTTGGTGTGTAAAGTCTACCTGATAGTAAGTGCAGTGGCGTGGCTACTGAACAAACGCAGTAAAAAATTTTTTACTGCGTTTGTAACTTATAAATAAATACATCTGAGCTTTATTTTATTGTAAATAGGGACGATTTTTCAATCTTCAAATAAAAGTTATTCATATATACACAACTATATATAAAAGTTCATAATTACAGATGGGTGGTATATTATATTTTAACTTTTATATTCAGTCGGGTTATAATTGGAAATGAAACATAAAAACTGGTTAATTGACTGAAAACGACTACAACTCATTGAAGCATCCATTGTTACCCACACTAGGTAATCCTGTGTCGTGGGTACACATTTAGTATTGACAATTTATGTTTAATTTTCGCTTGGTTTGCTTAAACACAAAATTTAAATATAAAAACTAATGTACATATAAACAGAAATGAAGAGATATAATAAAATAAAACTTCATGTATAACTTTTATCTGACGATTGTAAATTTCATCCTTAAAGCAAAGGATCTTATTTGTACAAATTAGTAAAAATTAAATGCCATAAAGTCTTGAACACCTGTATAACTTTACCTCTCTCTGTAGCTCTATATCTCTTTCTGTAGCTCTCTTGTACAGTGCAGTATTTTCACAGCTCACTGCAAGTTACTCAACAATGAACCTTACTGCCCACAGCATACGGCGAAGGTAGCGGTGGTAGTACGAGGCCCGCCTCCGTAGCAGGAAGTGGCGGCTCACCAGCGCTGGACCAGAGACCAGCATCGAGGTACATTTTACCATGTTTTTATTAAGTCACTTTCTTGTCAATCTGTCTGTCTGTTTGTTAGATGACAATGTAGGAATATGAATAAAAACCGTGATATATTTAATTTTTTAGTTCAAAATAAAAAAAACACTTGTGTAGTCATTCAATCATTACAACCAATGCTAATCTCATGTAGTGGCGATGTAAGAATATCCACTACCCCATATCATACCGTGGATGTCGTAAGAGACGACAGAAGGAAACAGATCAGGAGATGGGCAGCAGCGTCATCCGAATAAAGGATATAGCCTTTATTCGGAAGACGCTGCTGCCCATCAGCATAAAAATTTGCGCTTGCCAACCCGCATGCCAAGCGTAGCAACTATGGCATACAACCCCCCTATAAGGCAATCTGTAAGGTAGGCCTATGTTCAGCAGTGGACTTATGCTAAACGTATAAGTAACTCCAATGCTAAATGTATATAGGATTTCATAGATTACCTGATTGGGAATACTTATCATAGTTGCCACGTTGCATTAGTAAGGAATCGCAGTACCAGACGTGAGCACATTTGACTCTGCTGCCCGTCGCCGGATATGGGGTAGTGGATTCCGTTACGGCGCTACTTCACGGCGATATTATATTATGAATTCTCACGTATATATTATGATTTCTTTGTTTAGATCATCCGGGGAGTCGGAGCTGTCCGTCGGCGGAGTAACGAAAGACAAAAAGGACAAGAAGGGCGTATTTGGAGGCCTCTTCAGCAGGAAGAAGCGCCCGCAAAGCCATATGTAAAAACAAACTAACGTCTACTTAAGCACTTGTTTTATTTTCATTTATAGCAACACTGGTTATGATTGACAGATATCAAGTTTAAGTTTTAGAATGTTATCTATAATATAATCTATGGCATTAACTATTAGTCAAAGTTGCCTTGCTCATTTATATATTTCTTTGAGGTTAAAAAAATTTAAATCATGTTTGTATTTTCACTATACACATATTAATTTTGTATATTTGTTGATCTGTGACCTATTTTAGGTCGGAATCAGTGCCTTTTGAAAAAATTGTTTACCGTCAATTTGACATAAGTTTTTAACTTTTTTAACGTAATGCATAGTTGAATACATTACACTTTTAGCGAAGTTAGCCAAGTTGACTGTCTATAATCGTAAACGCAAAAAAACTATAAAATGAATGAAATACACTTTACTGCACGTGTAGACCAGACCACCTTAAGCCACTATAAGAATTAGAGAAATGAATAAAATATATTTATTCATTATTTATTGCGTTTCCTTATTACAAAAGAATACAAAGGCCGGAGACGAATACCCATGGAGTGGTAAGAGTTGACGTAGGTGTAGAATTAAAGAATAAAAATAAAATAAAAAAATAATGTTGATATTTAAATACATAAATACATTTTACAGATAAATAAACTATAAGAATATATACGTCTGTTAAGTGATACATATGATGTGCTAGAATGGTTCATGTAAGAAGCGTTATCTTAATTTGATAATCACGAACCAACTTTTTGAAAGCGATAATATGAGATATGTCATTCCCATTAATTTTTCTCGCTGGAATAACAATTTTATATGTTGAGCAGTTAAAATTAATAATAATTATATTTTAATATAATAAGTACATACTATATTCATATAACTTTAGGTGTACGTTATATAATAATTCCACTGTGTTGAAACATTCCTTAAAAAGCAAATGTCACAAAACATTCTTTGAAATTGGGACCAATTTTATACTACATTTTTAAAATACAATAGAAATTATTTTGAATTGTCTAAATTTAAAAAAAAAGTATTATAATATTCAAAGCAATAATCGACAATAAGTGTAACTTTTATCACTCTAATTTAAGATTTATTTACTATTTAATTATTTCCCTTAATATAGGCTAATCGTTCTCGATTATTCACTTTTCTTATGGACATTTGATTATTGTAATTTGACATGACAAAGCAAATCGTGCTGGCAACCCAGAGAAATGCCAATACATTTTAGAGGTAATCTGTTGACGTTTCGCCGCCATTTTGTTCTTTTTTTGAATTAAACGTCAACAATTTTAAATTCTTAAATAATTATTATTATCAATTACAACAGCGCTAATATGATGCCGGAAAACGATAGCGGATTTAGAATAAGTATTTATCGTTTATTTTCCAGACTATCTTTAGTAGATGTAATGCCCTTTCAAATGAAATCGAAAGCGTCGCCATGTTGTTTTAATGTCTTGTCATACACAAAGTACAACAGAAACCACCCCTCTTCACAGTTATATAATCGTTGATTTTGCATAAGTTTATTAAATCGTTGTTTTTTTTAGTAGGCGCTTTCGGTTTTGTTCATTAATAAGTACTATGGTACGTATATAGACATGTTTACTGGAATATATTAAATATAGATTAAGAGAAAGGCGGGAAAATTGACATCTGTCAAAATGTTTCGCCTAAGAACCTTGGTTCCCAATAATAATACACGAACGATTATTTTGATAAATATATTTTTGCATAATTCATATTGTTTTTTTCTTACATTAAAACCTTATCTTCTCAAAACCGTAAGAGTTCTCATCAATAGACTCCTACAATAGTAGAGAGTAGTTTTTAATAGTAGTGAAAAACGAGCATACAGTACACCAGATGCTGAGTAGCTACTGTACTCTTGCAGTTTTTATATATAAGGGTGATTTTTCACGTACTTGAGGCCACAAAAGAATAATTTTGTAGTGTCTTTCCTCGTATTCTCGTATTTTTTCTCGTAATGCCCGGCTCAAACGAATCAATTGCAGTCTAAACTGATCGCCTGTAATAGAATCACCAGGTTTTAGTAGCTCATAACATACAACCCCCTTTTGGTCCCACCAGACACACATGACCTTCGAACTATGAATATTCGGCTTTGATGCTGATGTTGAGGACGATGGCAACGGTTGACCGGGCTTAAAGTTAAAATTACAGCCCATATACGACCCACTTCTGGGCACAGGCCTTCCTTCATTTCTGAAAGAGTTTTAGGGCAAGGATATGTCTGCCGCGCTGCCCCAAATGCGTGTTGGCGAACTTCACAAGTCTTCGAAATTTTTTTCTTATTTCTCAGACATGCAGGTTGCCTCACGATGATTTTCTTCACCGCCGAGCAGTGCTAAGAATCTCCGGTGGAGATTCGGTTGCCACCTACGACGACTTGACCTGGCAACTTATAACGCACGCACCCTGAGGACTGATGAGGAGATCCTGGAGCTGGAAGAAGAGATAGACAAGTTGCGCTGGAATGTCATAGGATTATCCGAAGTTCGAAGAGAGGGGGAGGACACGGTAATCCTCGAATATGGGAATTTGTTCTATCACCGGGAGGGCGACCATCTGTCCCAAGGAGGTGTCCGATTTATCGTCCACAAGTCTCTTGTTAACAACGTTGTAAAGATCGGGAGTGTGTCGACGAGGGTTGCGTACCTTATACTCAGAATCACCAAACGGTATTCGCTGAAGGTCATACAGGTTTACGTACCAACCTCGGCACACCCTGATGAGGAGGTGGAGGAAATGTATGGGGATATTTCTAGAGCCATGCATTCCTCCAAAACCCACTATACGGTGTTAATGGGAGATTTCAATGCAAAACCAGTCACAAGAGAGAACGGTGAGCTGAAAGTAGGGAAATTTGGAATAGGGCAACGGAATCCAAGGGGCCAGCAGCTGGCCGACTTCATGGAGAAAGAGGGACTCTTTATGATGAAATCTTTCTTCCAGAAGCGGCCCCACAGGAAGTGGACCTGGTCGAGCCCCGACGGTTCGACAAAAAATGAGATTGACTTCATTAAGACGACAACTGTTCAGTGATGTCTCCGTGATCGCGAGGGTGAAAACTGGTAGCGATCACCGAATGGTTAGTGGCACTCTGAACCTAAACGTTAAGTTGGAGAGGTCTCGTCTAATGAAGTCAACGCTCCGTCCCCCTCTTGCTCTGTTCCAAAGTCCTGAAACCTTTCAGCTCGAGTTACAAAACCGTTTTCAGTGCCTAGAAGACTGCAATGAAGTGTACGATATGAATGACAAGCTCGTAGAAACTATCCATGCGGTCGGAGCTAAGTTCTGCAAGACCCGCCGCAGAAGAACACAAAAACTCTCCGATCACACTCTTAATCTCATGGCTGTTAGACGGGAGATGAAGCTATTCTTCAACAGATTTGACAGCATACAGGCAACTGAACAGACAGATCTCCAAATGCATGCGGCGGGACTTATGCAACTTCAATACAGCTATTGAAGAAGCGATCGAGAGGAAACAAGGCTCCAAAGTCTTTGCCAGAGATCTGTCTGCCAGAAAGAGCCAACTGTCAAAGCTGAAGACCGAGTGTGGCATCATCGTTTCCGGGGCACCTGAGATTTTGAGTAAGATTGAGATGTTCTATGGACAGCTGTACACGTCATCGTTGGAGCCACACGCAAGTGTGAGTAACGATCTAACAGCGAGTCTAATCCGACACTATTCCGAAGATATCCCGGATTATTCCGTCTGAGCGAGATTAGAATGGCTCTCCAGCATCTTAAAAACGGCAAGGCCCCAGGCGAGGATGGAATTACAGCGGAGCTTCTGAAAGCGGGTGGAAAACCGGTACTCGAAGTCCTTTAGAGGCTCTTTAATTCCGTCCTCCATGGTGGCATTACACCGGAGTCGTGGAGAAGTGCGGTGGTCTTGTTCTTCAAGAAAGGTGACAATGCTCTCTTGAAGAACTACAGACTGATTTCCCTTCTGAGCCGCGTCTACGTGCTGTTTTGGAGAGTCATTACGAATCGTTTCGCATGCAGACTTGCGACTTCCAGCCTCCCGAACAAGCCGGTTTCCGAAAGGGCTTTAGCACCATAGACCACAAATTGTACAGAAGTCCGAGGAGTACAATTTGCCTCTATGCCTGGCGTATGTGGACGTATGTGGAAGCCTTTGATTCCGTCGAAATTTGGGCGGTGCTGCCGTCCCTTCAGCGGTGCCAAGTCGACTGTCGGTATATCGAAGTGCTGAAGTGCTTGTACAGTAGGGCTACGATGGCTATCCGAGTACAGAACCAGAGTACGAAACCTATCCAATTGCAGAGAGGTGTAAGACAGGGTGACGTTATATCCCCGAAACTCTTCACCGCTGCAAGCTTCTGGACTGGAAAGGAAACGGTATTAACATCAATGGCGAGTACATCACTCACCTTCGATCTGCCGACGATATAGTCCTTATGGCAGAATCGCTGGAGGACCTAAACACTATGCTCAATGACCTCAATAGTGTTTCCCAACGGATAGGTCTTAAGAAGAACATGGACAAAACAAAGATTATGTTTAATGTCCATGTCACACCTATGTCGGTAGTTGTTGGGAGCACTAAGCTCGAAGTTGTAGACGAGTATGTTTACCTGGGACAAATAGTCCGACTAGGTAAGTCCAACTTCGACCGAGAGGTCAATCGACGGATTCAACTCGGCTGGGCAGCGTTCGGGAAGCTACGACACATCTTCTCGTCAGACATACCTCAAAACCTTAAAACGAAATTGTACAACCTGTGCGTGTTGCCAGTGATGACTTACGGATCTGAGACGTGGTCCTTCACTGCTGGCCGTATGAGGAAGCTCAAGGTCGCTCAGCGAGCTATGGAGAGGGCTATGCTCGGAGTTTCTCTGCGTGATAAACTTAGGAATGAGGATATCCGCAGTAGAACCAGAGTAACCGACATAGCCCAACGGATTAGTAAGCTGAAGTGGCAGTGGGCCGGCCATATAGCTCGAAGAACCGACAACCGATGGGGAAGAAAGGTTCTTGAGTCGCAGACTCGTACCGGAAGGCGGAGTGTAGTTCGACCCCCCACGAGATGGATTGGTAAGACATGCAGGAAGTCGATGGATGCAGGTGGCTCAGGTCCGTGCTTTGTGGCATTCCTTGGGGGAGGCCTATGTTTAGCAGTGGACTTCTGAAAGGCTGTAATGATGATGATGAATAATTATTGTCATAAAATTGTCTTGATGATAAAGTAACTTTTGTTCGTAAGGATAAATAGGCCATGCCTAATAATAACGCTCATAAATCACTTTTAAATTTTCATTTTGTCACAAAATACCTAATTATGGCTTATGTATAAGAAATAGACATATGGTATCACGAACTTTTTTTAGACAGAGTAAAGATCTATATTTTTCTAGAACATTGTATTTACGTATCCCTAACGATAACACCAGCGTACGCAGATAAATCATTTCGGGAGTGCTTTTTCTACTGACTTGCTTAAGAAATATCTATATTTAAGGCTTGCTGAGTCATATAGCTTAATTCTAGATAGCCTATACTATTCCACATGAATCAGGCTATAATATACAAAAATAATTTTTCAAATCGGACTGCTAGTTCCAGAGATTAGCGCGTTTAAACAAACAAAAAACAAAAAACTCTTCCGCTTTATTATATTAATAATATAGTATATAGTATAGATTATTAACTAACAAAATTAACAATAATTATGAAGAAGGCATCGTGGCTCACACATGAGCAAAACCGGACATTTTGTTATCATTGATTCCAATGACAAATTGGACTGAAGTTATAGAACGTACAAAAACACCTCTCGCAACGTATTTTTTGTTTGCAGTCTTTGCCGACGGTTATGAGCATAGATAAATAAATATGTAGCAAGCTAGTTATGAGTATAGAAAAGAGCGACAACGTGCGAGCGAGAGGTGAATAGAGGCGATGCCATTTTCAATCCCATTCCTTAACCACACGGGTAGTACGAAATAAATAAATAAATATAGATTTATAACATTTTATTTTAAAATAATAACAGCTTAAGTAGAAAATATCCTAGGTATATTGTTGCTTACTTATTACAAATTTGATTTTAAATGTTTGTTGAGTTATAATGAACATAGAAACAATACATATTTAATGAAAAAGTGTAAAATAATTCGAGATACCCCAACTACGATTTAAGAGCTGACTTTTCAATCGTCGTAATAAAGTTATACACATCGAGTAAAGTACCTGACTGAATATAAAAGTGCAATTTCTTATTAATAATGTATTTTATCTTTTGAATAAATTTTTATTTGATGATTGGAAAAATCAACCCACAAATAAATTATAAAATTCCTACACTTGATCGGCAAATGTACAAATCATGCGAAACTTGTTTCATCTGAAAAAAAAAATTATGACAAGTGCATAACTTAATTTTTAAACATCCGAAATAGTTTTAATAACGCCGAAATAGAACGGCGATGGAATCAAAGGGTTGTAATTAGAGCCATATCTTCTCACTACTTCGATGTTGCCAGTCTGGAAAATTCTTTCCAAGCCTAACCTTGCTTCAATTGCCCCCGCCACAGATGGTTTAATATTCGTGCCTGGCTTGTTCTTAACATAATAACTAATATCTTGCGTCGGATCTTCCGGTTCACGAACAGTTATCTTATTTTTATAATTAATCGACCTTTTTTGTATCGATTTCAAAGATTTCTTCGATTTTCTTATATTATTTTTTATTGTAAATGTATCGCTTTCACGCATTTTCGTTGTATAAGTTTTTATTTGTTCTTTAAGGGATTTATCTGTGTTGTAATAAACACCGGATTTGTGGTTTACGTACGGACTGATATCTTTATGCGTTTCTTTTGGAATGTGCAACAATATTGCCCTTTTAACAAAATTAGAACGTTTTTGAATTGATTTCGGTTTGTTTATATTATTATCAATATAGAAATTCTCTTTATTTCTCTCAGTTTTACTCTCTTTAGGATTAGATCCATCAAAGAGCTTATCTTTGACATAATATTTCATTACTTTCAACAATGGGTCATTGGCGGAGCGTTTCTGAATGGATTTGACGGCCTCCGAAGGCGGGAATTTTGACAGCTTTTTATTTTCATCAGACCACAATTTTTCTAATGTGTTCGAAGGTTGGACACTGGGTTCTTCTGGGGGTGGAATAGTTGATATATCTGGTAACGTGGATGGATCTGTTGGCACTTCACTACTGGCATCTAAAACCGTCTGTGTAGAGGAGTTTACAGTTACCGTGGCGTTGTCTTCTGTGAAAAAAAAAACGTTCATTACAAATTTCTATTGTAATTTATATTGAACATCGCTGCAATACGAATAGGTTGGCTCATCGGAAGGACCACACTCGCATCACGCATCACCAACGTGAAATAGCACCATAATTCTGCCGTATTATTTCGTATAATGAGTGTAGACAACTGGACACTCTTTTTATTCCAAACGAGGCATTCCATTTTAGTCCTCAGGGGTAGCATTTTGATGCCTAATCGTGGATAGATATAGGTGTTACCACAGCATCCACTAACCATTTAGTTAGAATGTATGCTCTTTCATTACCCTCAATTCTATAAAAAGTAAAAAACGACGTGCTTACAAAGCATTTAATAGAAATGTAGGAAACGTCTTAAAACTTAAAGGTTAATAAATTGTATTTTTTTATATTTTATATATGTATTTTTTTAAAAGTTAAAGGTAATTTGTTAAAAAATTAAAGGACACGTGCATCTACAGCCAAATTCACGCAAAAACGGTTCATTGTGCTTGTGACAAAAAAAATGCGTATTTGTCGAGGAACACTCGGTTGGAACGAAGTTCCTTGCGTAGTATATTATTATTCATAAACGTAGGTATTATATTATTGATTAAAAAATACAAATAAATTAATTACTAGCGTCTATTAAAATGAAGCGTCATTTGAAATCAAATAATATTTCTTTCATGGCAAGATAAAAAAGTGCGAAAGAGATGGATATCTCACTTCCTTATTTCGCCGCCAAGGCCGTCTACACTATGATACAAGGGGTAGTGACAAAAAAATCTTACATTTTTTGTCGCCTAGCTCCCATCCGCCAAACCCGTACCGTTCGATAAAGAACTTCGTTCCAAAAGATGTAGTGTATGTGGAATCATATACAGAACGACCTACGACTTAGTTGATTATAATGGCAATACAAAATGAGCAAGGTGGCGACGTAATAAATTCGTCACCCCATTTCGTGTCGTAGTTGTTGGCTATGTGGTTTCCGACAGATGGCTGTATGTATATCTATCTCATTTACTTGACGTTAAAAATTTTACACGTCTAGAGCCACGCTGCATTTTATTGTTGTAACACAGAATACCAGCGTGCTGCTTCTGTAGAGAACTGGAGACCCTTTTACTGGAAATGAGGCATTCCATTTTAGTCCTCAGGGGTGACAAAGAATTTGCATTTTAATTCTTAATGGAGGATACATGTAGATGTCTATGGGCCACAGCATCCACTTACCATCAGGTGGACTGTTTCTCGTTTGTTACCCATATTCTTTAAAAAAAGACTTTAAATAGATACACCGATAGGGAGCAGATAGAAAAATTCCACTTCCGATAGTTTCCGATAGACTGCCTTCTTGATCTAGTGGTCGCAAACGCGACTGATGATTTTGACGTCGCGGGTTCGAATCCCGGGTCTTATCAAAATTAGTTATTAAGTTTTACTGACAAGAAATTCTCCGTAGCAGCCTGGAGTCATTAAATCGGCGGTGTTTCACCGCCATATCTCAGAAAGCACGTTAAGCCGTTGGTCCTTCTCATGATCTCTCTCCGGTGTGTCGGACTATGAGAGTGAGGCAATAGAGAGTGCACCTGTGCTTGCTTGCTTTTGACAGCAGCGTCAATTGTCCTCATGTCTGGTATTGCGATAAAAAGAATTAGCAAACATCAGAAAATAATTTTTACTTCGAATTTGTGGCCTAAAATACTAAACGGTGTACCGACACGAGTTGAACAGTCAGAGATGGGGGTCCGCACACCCCCACTCGAACAGCGGTTAGATAGCGAAAAACCCTCAACAGAGGGGACATGATGATTGGGGACATCGTCATCCTCATCCTCACCATCATTGCCATTCCCTTTTGTAAATACCTAAAACTACCGTAAATGCCTTTCAGGCTGCAAGCTATTTAAAAAAGTCCTGTGTATATAAGATATAGAATATAAATAGAAGATAGAATACTAATATAAAACCAAAAAATAATGAAACCAACGTTAAGATACTCGTAATTATGTGATTCGCATTCATTTTTACGACGCTTTAATTAACTCGCTTTTGTGTATGTCTGTTCGGGTCGAATTTAGTAATTATTTACTATTTATTAGTATACTAAACTTCTAAATAAGACATGTGTGCAGTTCACACGCGGTACAAGTAGGATCTAATGTCTCATTCTCCCGAAGTTTACTTTTCTGAAGGTGTACTGCACACATGTTTTTTTTTTCAAAAAGCACCTGTAAGGTTAAGCACCATCCTGAGCAGTGGGGGCAGTTGGACCGGGATGGCGCAGCGCTCCGTGGCTGGCGCACTCGAGTTCCGCTGGATGCAGCTCATCATTTGACGCTTGACGTCTTCAGGGATTGGCAGCGCCAACGGATTTAGCGGCGCTGGTGTCGTACTGGTCGTTGCTGTGAAGTTAATATCCCATGTAACAAAAAACCCTGTGGTCCCGGTTAAGTACGCTATCAGAATCAGTATTCAAACGTATAAAAATATATTTTCTCCTCTCTCAGATAACTCGACATTTGCAAATTTCATATAGGGGTTTATTACCTCTGCAGTGGCCGGGAAGTAAGAGTATTGTCAAAGACAAAGCTTTGCCGATGCCTGTCGGCCAGGGAGGTCATAAAACCACAACATACCATTTGCAAATAATAATTAATTTCAAAATTTCTGTTTAAAGATGCTATTGCCTGCATGTCTGAAAAATTTGAAATGTTTTTTAGTTCATTCGAAGCCAATAAAGGGAGTTTTGCTTGAAATTGAAGAAACTGGATTACTGTTCCTGTTTTATCTTTTAAATAACGGTTTAAAGTTGATTTTGATACGTATAATTATAACTTTTAACAAAAAGTAAAAACCGACTTCAAATTGCTAAAAAGGACGTTATTTATTTTCTACCTTTAGGGGTGGAATTTTTTTTCCAAATTTATTTGGGAGCACTCTTGAAGTATAACGTATTAAATAAAAAAAGAAACATTAAAATAGGTTTTCAGTTTGAAGATATATGAAATGCCTTAAACAATAGTCCAATATGCAACTTTTGCCCCTATTTTCCACTCTTGGGGTGGAAGTTTTTCTTCAATATTTAATGGGGCAACCCTAGAGGTAAATACCATTTAATAAAAAAAGAATCATTAAAATTGGTTCACAATCTGTGAAGATATTGAGTAACATACACAAAAAAAATGGTTGGATAGAGCGACATTGTGTGTTAATTGTTTTTTTTAAACTAGATTTCCGGCTCTGGGTTTAGCCCTTCTGAGTGTGTTAAATGTCTGCGCATATAAACTACGAGTGAAAACGTAACAAGCGCTTTTTTGTTGAATGGATATCAGTTTTTTTTATATATTTTTTTATCCGCGATGGGCCCTTGAAATATTATTATCGTCATGAGCTGTTCGTGGGTAAGGCTGTCGTCGTAACTTGTGAAGAGTTTTGAACAAAATACAAGTTAGACTAGGCTGTATAGTCTAAGATCTTTATCTGCTTTAAATGGCGAATTGTAACAATGAATGAACTCATATCACTGACTTATACCCCATTTAGACTCTCGCCTCGTGCCTCGCCTCGTACCTCGCCTCGCAGCTCGCGTGTTGTAGCGAGGTAACGAGTGCCTGTATACACTCTCGCGATGCGTTCAGTTTGCGTTGAACCCACAGAGTACTTTTATATATGAACCAGCAACGATGGAAGACGTCGAAGTAATAGCGGCATCAACTCTTGCCTTAATAAATATTTATCGATGCTTGACCATTTTAAAAAGAAGGAAATTAAAAAATTTCATAGATTTTTTCAAAGATTTCATAGATTGCTTTTTCTTCGTAGGTGTTGACGAAAGGTAGCCATAAGCGAATTATTTTTTACTTTGAGCTCTGCTAGCGGTCTGCACATAACCTCGGAAGTTCTATTCCACGCATCTTTTACTTTTTGGGTATTTTTATGCATAATCTATTTTGCATTTGTAAGAAGCTTACTCGAATATACGAGCTTTGTATGGTCTCCACAGTACGCAAAGCATATTGATGCCATTGAATCCATCCAGAAAAAATTCATTAAATACCTAAATTTCAAAATGATTCCAAATTGTGTTATCAACGAAGATAGCTGTCGTTTTTACGGATTTCACCATAGATCGACGCGAGTTGCTCGATATTTTATTTTTGCATAAATTCACACAGGTCAAATAGATTCTCCGGAGCTGCTATCGATGATATCGCTTAATGTACCTTCAAAGCGCACTCGTCACACAAATAAACGTTTATTCCATGTCGTTATCGTTTGTCGCGTACCAGTTATTCATCAAAATCAGTTCTGTCTAGGATACTACATAATTACAACACGAAATTTTCTGATACAGATCCCTTTAATTCGACCACATATGGTTTTAAACACGTCGTCATCAAAAAGCTTATGTAACATCAATATAGCATGTTAATTTATATAATACTAAAGCATTTTACACACACATACCTCCACACACACAGACACACACTCTCTCTCACAAACGCATATACACACACATTATGTGTATATATATATATATATGCATATATGTATATATATATGTATATATATATATATATATATAAATATGTATATATATATATATGTGTGTGTGTATGTGTATATATATATATATATATATATATATATATATATATATATACACACATATTTTTAAATTACTCTTTCTGCTCGTACTCTTAAGTTATGATTTTTAAGTAAGAAAACTGTAATTAGTTTTAATTTAAAACTAAGTAAAGGTTGTATACTACTATTGTAATCATGCCGTAGTTTTCTAATAAATAAATAAATAAAATAAATAATATGTTTTGGATCCCAAATTATTCGCTCAGCCTGATAAAGTTCCAAGAAATGCAGCGTTTCTTCTTGCGACTAGACCATTTTTAATTGAAGTTGAACGTGTAAACTTCCCTATATATAATGTACTCTGTGGTGTAAACCCAACAAAACAACACAACCTGCACGGAAGGGCGCCGTAAACAAACTGAAACGAGAGCGCGAGTGTAAACACCACGCTCGCGTCCCTCGCGAGGCCCTTTGCCTCGTGCCCAAAAAACTGCCTCCGACGCGAGCGCCGCGCGTGGCGAGGCGAGCTGCGAGGCGAGCCACGAGCTAGCGTTTACACTCGCGCCTCGTGGCTCGCCTCGCGACTCGCCTCGTCGCTCGCGCGAGAGTGTAAATGGGGTATTAGAAGTATATGGACTGGGCATACCAAAAGAATTAGCGTGACTACCTAAACAAAAATTGCGCATAAAATGGCCGCCTTGTATAGAGTTGTAACTCTGCAATATGGGCAGCTGATATCGATATTTTTACTAATATGAGTTTTTTCTTATTTCAAATAATTATAGAAATTAAATCCATAGCCTAATTGCGTAATGCACCTAAAATGGCAAACCATACCAATTTGACAGTTTACCAACATCCATTGCGTGGTTTTTGCTGTCGAGCAAACGAATTTTTCAATCACATGAATCAATGGATATTGTTGGGTTGTTAAATTAGTTTTGGATTAACATTCCTTAAATTTCGCTTGAGCTGCTTCATGAGGCTTCACCGCATATGTATACTTACGCAATGCACACTCTGCTAAAGATTTTTTGTGTTAGGTACACAGTCAAACAATGAGTTAAGTATGCAGGTAGCTAACTTGCAACTTGTTTTAAACAATGTTCTGAGTGTGCTAAGTGCTTACTCAAGTTTTGAAGTTATACTTCGCTTGGCGCATTTGAGAAAAATGATGAGAGTGAATTTTTACAATTTCAATTGGTAATTGTCTGTCAATTGTTAAGTTTTCCTGAGAACTGATAACTATATTCGAGGTAGTTATTCAAATATATTTATCAATGTATAAAACGTGTTTTATTTTAGTTATTTTTGTTTTGTTACGCTAAAGAAGTGTAACTTCTTTCGTGCGTACATAAGTACATAAACACGTTTTGTTTTATATCAATGTGAACAAAGTTAAAAAGTTATAACGCACACAATAAAAATGTATCGGAAATGACAACAGGCGATCCCACTTCTGATGTCGGAGAATTACAACAAGGGATTCCAATTTTGATCTTGGAAATACATCAGGATAGCGTTAACTGTTAAAAATAAAAAGTGTGAGAGCGGATGTTCAACTTGCTCTCGTGCTTACGCAATTAATCATTATCAGTAATAAGACAACGTAACGCACTATACATTCAGTATAGTGAAATAACAGTTCGACCACACCGTAACACGTCTCCGCCACAATTACACACCAGTGTAACGTGAGGTACGTAATTACATGATAACACCAAAATATGTAAACCGACAGCAACATTACTTATCTCAATGTAACACAGGATAGCCTCTCAGCAACACCAATTCTCCTTGCCGGCACTAGAAAAATTACAACAACGAACCGAACCACGACACTATCTTAGCACTAGTCGAATGACCACACTCGTTGAATGACTTAAGCGGAATCTCTCGCGCACGTCACCTACAGTGAACTTTATACTGCACAAACAAGAGGGGGTTTCTCGATATACCCTCCATTCTACCTCGATCCAACGGGGTATTTTATAGACGCTCCGACAAATGAATATTGACAGAGTAGTGGGAATATGAATATTTTTGCTTGTATACGAAATACCTTTGTTCACTGTACAATAATATTGTACAGTAAACAAATGTATGGAAATGGGGTGAAGATCCTTGATTCCATATTGTAATCCTATATTATAGTGTTTTTAATATAAAATAATAATGATTAGTTGAATTAAATTAAATAATCTGTTTTTAAAATCAATACTTATTTATTATTAATTTGTATATAGGAACGTTCTACACATAATTGATCACAAATGGTAAGTTATATAAGCATGTTCGGTCATATTTAATTTTTTTATTCAGATTTTAAATGAAAAATATTATTATTTTCGCAGGTACATTAATTTTGTTCATTTAAAATTCGAAAATCTGGCATGATCATGAAACGGTGGATGAAATATTATATCCAGGAATTATAAACTATTATTATTAGTATATATTCATTTCTGAACAAAATTAATTTATTAAAATAATTTCTATCGACACCATGATAAGAGTGTACGACACTATTTCACTGCATTTTTGACAGTTTGACATCAGATATACCACAAAACTTGGCGCTTAACATGGCGGCGCAGTCACGCAAGGATGACCTAATGACGTCACACGAAAGTATTACCAAAATAAGCACTTTACAAACTGTAGATGTCTCTTTTTTCTATTGCAGCTACTACTTTGTTAAAAAGAGACAAAACTTTTTGACAAGTGTCTGTCGATATTATAGATATTTGTATAACTATTATTTCTATAGTGGAATATGCCCTCTCCATAGGTATATATCTCTATGACTCATATTGACTTCATTGTCAACTCGAAATACCGTAAACAAGATCTATTTTTTATATTTGTAAAGACTGTATATGAGCTACTCACTCTCAGGGACAACAACAAAATCGCTCACGTCCGGTTCATACCCAGTAATCTGGGCAAGCCGATCCAGGAACCACGCCAATCGTATGAGCAGTTCCTTATCCTCGTCGTCGTGGCCTGGATGACCCTGGATAAGAATTAAAGACGTGAAAATTATTAAAATAAAATACACATGAAAATTATGGTCTTACTTAGTTCGAAGGACACCTCTCTCCCTCCTTCCCACATCACTACACCACCATCACACAAAGGAAAACACACCACCATCACATAAGGGAAAACACACCACCATCAATAATACCATACCTCTAATTCGTTTAGAGGTATGGTATTATTGATGGTGAATTGACGTTGAATAGAATGATATAGAATAGAACATAATAGAATATTTTGAGCAATGGGGGCAGCTGAACTGGGATGGGTTCCGTGGCTGGCGTACTCGAGTTCTGCTGGATGCAGCTCATCATTTGACGCTTGACGTCTTCACGGACTAGGCTGTAAACGAATAAAAGTAATTTTTTCACATTTAACCATTTTTACGTGGTAGGGCCATGCTGCAGCTATATTAGTAGTATAGTTGTAGCACGAATGGGTCGGCTTGACCGGGGAAGGACCACGCTCTCACAGAATACCAGCGTAAAATAGCAGCTTAATGCTGTTGTGTTTCGTATAGTGAGTGTAGAGAACCGGAGACCCTTTTTACTGTAAAAGAGGCATTCCATCTTAGTCCTCACGGATGACAACGCATCTGTATTTTGATTCGCAAACAAGGATAAATGTAGATGTCTATGGGCCACAGCAATCACTTACCATCAGGTGGACTGTGTGGTCATTAGTCACTCTATCCTATAAAAAAAATTTTGTTCCTTATCTCATCATTATTCATCTTACAGCCCTTCACAAGTCCACTGCTGAACATAGGCCTCCCCCAAGCAATGCTACAAAGCACCGTCCTGAGCCACCTGTATCCATCGACTTCCTGCATATCTTACCAGGTCGTCACTCCATCTAGTGGGGGACGCCCTACACTTCGTTCGCCGGTACGAGGCCGCCACTCGAGAACCTTTTTTCCCCATCGGCTGTCGGTTCTTCGAGCTATATGGCCGGCCCATTGCCACTTCAGCTTACTAATCCGTTGGGCTATGTCGGTCACTCTGGTTCTACTGCGGATATCCTCATTTCTAAGTTTATCATGCAGAGAAACTCCGAGCGTAGTCCTCTCCATAGCTAGCTGAGCGACCTTGAGCTTCTTCATCCGGCCAGCAATGAAGGACCACGTCTCAGTACCATAGGTCATCACTGGCAACACGCACTGATTGTATAGTCTTGTTTTCAAGTTTTGATGTGCACCTGACGAGAAGATGTGCCGTAATTTCCCGAACGCTGCTCAACCGAGTTGAATCCGTCGATTGACCTCTCGGTCGAAGTTGGACTTACCTAGTCGGACTATTTGTCTCAGGTAAACATACTCATCAACAACTTCGAGCTTAGTGCTCCCAACAATTACCGGCATAGGTGTGACATGGACATTGAACATGATCTTCGTTTTGTCCATGTTCATCTTAAGACCTATCCGTTGGGAGACACTATTGAGGCCATTGAGCATGGTGCTTATATCCTCCAAAGCCGTGTGGTGTGCGGCGGAGTAGAATACCACCACCCCATATCTACCTGTGGGTGTCGTAGAAGGCGACTAAGGGAGTGTGGAAAAGGACTGAACCCCTGTACCTTTTTCACTGATACCTACTGTTCCATCTGGCCGAGTCCCTCTCCGGTCGTAACGGTCTCCGTTCCACTGGGTCCAGAGGGGCAAAGACGAGTATGTGCACCTGTGTCCGCGCGTACACTTGTGCACGTTAATATGTCCTGCGCAATTGACCTGCTTCCAAATAGGACTCCGATCTATAACCAATGTCCTACGGCGATGGGAGGAGGTAGAGAGGCTTGACGTGATGCCCGTTGAGTTTTGTCTGACTCCTGCACGTAGGCGGTCTTGGGGGTGTAGTGTACATCGTGGTCGCTTCTGCTCTGCAACGGGGTGACAGAGCGGACTCGGCAGCACCCAAGGTGACAAAGCAGCCCTATTCAGGGAGGCACTGCTTTCCTCGCTCAGACGGGGAGGGGGCTAGAAAAGGTGCCCTAAACAAATGCTCACTCCAACCCTTTAGGATGGTAGCAACCACGGCTGCCTCCGCATCATAAATTCGCGGTCGACGCTACAGGAAAAATAATGGAAAATTTAATTTATCAAAATCAATGACATTTGGCGCGTGGAATGTGCGCACACTTCTTGACCGCGAAGCAAATGCCTGCCCTGAGCGAAAAACTGCCATTGTAGCTCGGGAACTAAGTCGCTATAATATTGATGTGGCTGCACTCAGCGAAACACACCTCCCCGAGGAAGGAGAGTTGGTAGAATATGGCGGCGGGTATACTTTCTTTTGGAAAGGACTCGCTTCCTCGGAGCCGCGAAGGTCTGGTGTAGGCTTTGCTGTCAAGAACTACCTTGCTGCTCAACTGCAAGAGTACCCTGTACACATCTCGGACCGCATTACCACATTGCGCCTTCACATGGAACGTGAAAGCTATCTTAATATCATCAGTGTCTATGCCCCTACGCTGGACAAGTCTGATGATATTAAGGATAAATTCTACGAAGAATTGACGCGGTGCGTAAATCGTATTCGTCCAAGAGAGCAAATCCTTCTCATGGGCGACTTTAACGCCCGAGTAGGACGAGACTATGACGCCTGGCCTAAAGTTCTCGGCAGACATGGTGTTGGTAAAATGAACAGCAGCGGCTAATTGTTGCTTAGTCTTTGTGCACAATTGGATCTTGCAATTACAAATACTATGTTCAGACTGCCTGCCAAGTACAAGGCAACGTGGATGCACCCCAGATCGAAACATTGGCACCTTATCGATTACGCCATCGTGCGTCAAAAAGACATATCTCAAGTCCAAGTCACCCGTGTCATGCGTGGTGCTCATTGTTGGACTGATCACCGGCTTGTTATTATTAAATTAAATCTTCGTCTTCCACCTCCTTGTAGAGTGGGAAGATCTAAACAGATACGTCTGAACCTCGAACGACTCCAAGATACCAACACGAAGGCTAAATATGCCGAAACCTTGAACACTGCTCTGCAGCCCCTCGATCTAAAATTAGGTGAGATCGATGTTGTCTGGGAGTCTCTATCTTCTTGTGTTCTCGACACTGCTAAATCTACTTTGGGTTTGAGAGTTCGAAAACATGAGGACTGGTTTGATGAGAATGATGGGATACTTACAGGCGCTATTGATAAACACCGTAGGCTCCTAAAGCAGCACAGTAGAACTCATCAGAGTGGAGGTGCGATGGAGTTGCGTCAAAGTGATCTGGAGCTGCGTAAACTCGCACGACAAGCGAAAGACAAGTGGTGGCAGGAGAAGGCTCGTCAGATGCAGTGGCTCGCTGATACCAACCAGCTCGGTGAGTTTTATGCTGAGGTGCGACATCTACTCGGTACGTCCTCTATGGCAAAAGTTCCACTGAAGTCAACTAGTGGTGGAGCGCTTTTTAAAAGCAGGGAGGAAATACTCGGGCGATGGGCGGAGCATTTTAACACCCTACTTAACGTGGATCATTTTGTTGACCTAGACCACGTTCGCTGCCTACCTCAACAACCTTTCGCCCTCGAGCTAGATGAGCCAATCTCGCCTGGCGAGGTTGCTCTTACCATTAAGCAACAGCAAAATAAACGCGCGGTTGGTGTTGATTTTATACCGGGTGAATTATTGAAGTATGGCGGTGGGGATTTGTATTCAGCGTTATGGGAACTTTTTGTCATTATGTGGGAAAAAGAACAAGTCCCTAATACTTTTAAGGTATCCCTCATACGAGCCCTATATAAAGGCAAGGGTGACCGGTCAAACTGCAATTCTTACCGTGGCATTTCTCTACTTTCAGTGCCTGGAAAAGTCTTCGCCAGACTTCTTTTAAACCGCCTCAGGAAACTTTCTGAAAGGATTTTGCCGGAATCCCAGTTCGGCTTCCGACCTGACCGTGGTACCTGTGAGGCGATTTTCTCATTACGTCAACTACAGGAAAAAAGCAGAGAACAGGGTCGTAATATGTATCTCTGTTTTGTAGACCTTGAGAAGGCATTCGATAGTGTACCACGTGAAGCCCTCTGGATAGTGCTGCGGAAAATTGGATGCACGGAGAAGTTTGTGAGACTTCTGAGACTCCTGCATGATGGCATGCAGAGCTGCGTCGCTGTAAATGCTGATCAGTCAGAATTTTTTCCCGTTACCTGTGGAGTAAAACAAGGGTGTGTCCTTGCACCCACACTTTTCGCGTTATACTTTGCAGTTGTAGTCCAGGAAGTCTTAAAAACTACCCATGATGGAATTCGCATTCGTTTCCGCAACGATGGCAATCTTTTCAGCTTAGCTAGACTTAAGGCCCGTACGAAAGTGTCTTACGCACTTATTACAGAGATCGTCTACGCAGACGATTTATGTTTTGTGGCCGATTCCCCAGCTGGCCTGCAACAGCTTGTGACCACCTTTCATGAGTCGTGCCGTATTTTTGGTCTGAAGATAAGTGTTAAAAAGACGGAAGTGATGTCTTTAGATATCTACGGTCAAGAGACACTGGCCGTCAAACTCGGTGATGATATACTTAAGCAGATCAATACATTTCGTTATCTGGGGAGCACGATAACATCAAAGTGTGACCTTGATGCTGAAATCAACAGTCGAATCGGTGCCGCGGCTGCGGTATTCGGTAAACTGGATCGCAAGGTCTTTGGCTCACATGACCTAAAGCTGACTACCAAAATTGGTATTTATAAGGCGGTAGTGCTGCCTAACATACTGTACTCTTCAGAGTCATGGACAGTTTACCGCCGTCATATACGGACGCTGGATCGCTTCCACTTGCAATGTCTGCGCAAAATTCTCAACATCCGTTGGTCTGATCGCATTCGGAATACGGAAGTGCTACGTAGAGCCTATACCATGGGGATTAAAGCCTACCTTATGGGGCGACAACTCCGTTGGTGTGGACACTTATCGCGAATGTCAGATCAGCGTACGGCTAAGTGCATCTTTTTCTCTGAACTTGAGAAGGGCAAGCGTAAGCATGGCGGACAACTTCTCAGGTACAAAGATGTACTTAAGCGCCACATGACGAAGTGCGACATTGAGCCTTCAGAGTGGGAGCAAGCAGCCGCTCGACGACCGGAGTGGAGATCCTTGGTGAAAGCCAAGGTCAAAATGTTTGAGGAGAATCGATGCTCTGAATTGGACGCCCGACGTGAAGAACTCAAAGCACGCCCACCTTGTGCGATTAACTATAATTTCTGTAATGGTGTGCTCACCTGCCCGCATTGCACGCGAACATTTGTAAATAAGATCGGCTACGTTAGCCATGCACGAGCACACCAACGACAAGATCGGAGCTGAAGAGGTCGCCGTGGCCGAAATCGGTCGAGGAGATTATTATATCCTCCAGCGATTCTGCCATAAGGACTATATCGTCGGCAAATCGAAGGTGAGTGATGTACTCGCCATTGATGTTAATACCGTATCCTTTCCAGTCCAGAAGCTTGAAAACGTCTTCCAATGCAGCGGTGAAGAGTTTCGGGAATATGACGTCACCCTGTCTTACACCTCTCTGCAATTGGATAGGTTTCGTACTCTGGTTCTGTACTCGGATAGCAATCGTAGCCCTACTGTACAAGCACTTCAGCACTTCGATATATCGACAGTCAACTTGGCATCGCTGAAAGGACTGCAGCACCGCCCATTCTAATCTCGCTCAGACTGACGTCCGGGATATCATCGGAATAGTTTCGGATAAAACTCGTTCTTGGATCGTTACTCACACTTACGTGTGGCTCCAACGATGATGTGTACAGCTGCCCATAGAACCTCTCAATCTCACTCAAAATCTCAGGTGTCCCGGAAACGACGCTGCCACACTCGGTCTTCAGCTTCGACAGTTGGCACTTTCTGGCAGACAGATCTCTGGCAAAGACTTTGGAGCCCTAGTTCCGCTCGATCGCTTCTTCAATAAGAGCAGTATTAAAGTTGCGTGAGTCCCGCCGCATGCATTTGGAGATCTGTCTGTTCAGTTGCCTGTATGCTGTCAAATTTACTGAAGACTGCAGTTTGATATCCCGTCTAACAGCCATGAGATTAAGAGTGTGATCGGAGAGTTTTTGTGTTCTTCTGTGGCGGGTCTTGCAAAACTTAGCTCCGACCACATGGACAGTTTCCACGAGCTTGTCATTCACATCGTCCACTACATTGCAATCTTCTAGGCACTGAAAACGGTTTCGTAGCTCGAGCTGAAAGGTTTCGGGACTTTGGATTAGAGCACGATGGGAACGGAGCGTTGACTTCATTAGACGTGACCTCTCCAACTTAACGTTTAGGTTCAGTGTGCCCCTCACCATTCGGTGATCGCTGCCGGTTTTCACCCTCGCGATCATTGAGACATCACTGAACAGTTGTCGTCTGGTCGTCATAATGAAGTCAATCTCATTTTTTGTCGAACCGTCGAGGCTCGACCAGGTCCACTTCCTGTGGGGCCGCTTCTGGAAGAAAGATTTCATCATAAAGAGTCCCTCTTTGAAGTGAAGTCCATGAAGTCGGCCAGCTGCTGGCCCCTTGGGTTCCGTTGCCCTATTCCGAAATTCCCTACTTTCAGCTCACCGTTCTCTCTTGTGCCTAGTTTTGCGTTGAAGTCTCCCATTAACACCGTATAGTGGGTTTTGGAGGAATGCATGGCTCTAGAGATATCCTCATACATTTCCTCCACCTCCTCATTGGCGTGTGCTGAGGTTGGTGCTTAAACCTATATGACCTTCAGCGAATACCGTTTGGTGATTCTGAGTATAAGGTACGCAACCCTCGTCGACACATTCCCAATCTTTACAACGTTGTTAACGAGAGACTTGTGGACGATAAATCCGACACCTCCTTGGGACAGATGGTCGCCCTCCCGGTGATAGAACAAATTCCCATATTCGAGGATTACCGTGTCCTCCCCCTCTCCTCGAACTTCGGATAATCCTATGACATTCCAGCGCAACTTCTCTATCTCTTGTTCCAGCTCCAGGATCGCCTCGTCAGCCCTCAGGGTGCGTGCGTTATAAGTTGCCAGGTTGAGTCGTCGTAGGTGGCAACTGAACCTCCACCGGAGATTCTTAGCACCTCCTGCCCCGCCGTTACCATGGTCGCCACCGTAGCCAGGAATAGCGGGGCCGCCGGGGACTGGGGGCCGTCTCTTCGTTACGTTCATGGGGGGTTATATTGCCATAGTTGCCACGCTTAGCGAGCGGGTTGGCAACCGCAGTTTTTTTTTATTGTTACTGCTGCCCATCTTCTGTTTCAGGTTCCCTCTGTTGCCTTTTACGACACCCACGGGAAGATATGGAGTAGTGAATATTCTTACCCGCCACTACACGGGGTATCCTTATCTATAAACAGGTATTTCTTATTGCGCTATTTTTTTTTCGGAACAAAAACCCCTGTCCTGGAAAGAACCAGCAAGAAACCCAGCGAGATTTTTTTTAAATAAATTATACAAGAAAGGTATTTTACAAAACTTTACAATGAAACACCTTGGAAGCAACCATCTTATTCCCAGGTGTTATTATCAACCATAAATCATCAGAAATAGGTTTTATGGATGATAATTGATAATAACGCCTAGGAATCAGGTGTAGTTAATTGAGTAATTAATATACCTATGGTTTTATACTGTTCTTTTTACTTGCTACTATAGATTGATGGCCAAATTGTAAACGCGACTGCTGGTCACGAGGCCCCAGGTTCGAAATCAAGGTTTGACCAAAATCAGTTATTGAGTATTTGCGTCGAGAAATTGTCAGTAGCTGCCCGGAGTCAGGAAGTTGGCGGTGACTCACCCCCGTGCCTCGGCAAGCACGAAAAGCCGTTGGTCCTGCGCCTCATCTCTCCAGTCGTATCGGTTTACCGTTCCATCGGACTATGAGAGTGAGGGAATAGAAAGTGCACCTGTGCTTGCGCACACACTCATGCACTATAATCCCGTGATGGCTAGTCTCCGTTGAGACTGGCAAGTAGAAGGAGCTGACACTGGGGTGCCCCAGCCCAGAGATGGGAACAGTATTCCATGTGAGGCCAAACCTGTGCCTTGTAAAGTTGCAGGCGTTGGGCCGGCATGAAATACTGTCCCGCTCTGCTGAGCACGCCAATCTTTTTAGAGGCCAATTTGGCCTTCTCTTCCAAGTGACCACGAAACTGCAAGTCACTCGATGTGTCGAGGATTCCGATACTGGCTGAGGCAACAGGGGGGGTGCCTTGAAACTGAGGAAATACGACAAAGGGGTTCTTTTCGCGGTAAACGCGCAAACTAGTGTCTTCTGAGGATTAAACTGGACTAGATTTAGTCGCCCCCAAAACGAGACTTTGTTCAGCAAAGACTCGACTTCAGACACAAGTTTGTTCCGGTACTCGGCGACGTTTCCCCGAGAAATATAGGCACGGCCGGTGTATAGAGCATCACCAGTGCTGTCATCCGCATAGCAATGAATGTTACCAGTTTGCAACATATCATTGATATGCAGAAGAAACAGCGTTGGTGATAGCACACAGCCTTGTGGAACACCAGCGTTAAAAGGCTTGTAGTCGTAGCATGCACCATCTACAACGACCTTAATGCTCCGATCTGCAAGGAAGCTGGTGATCCAATTGCACAATTTCTCAGGAAGCCCATAGGAAGGGAGCTTCGAAAGAAGCGCTTTGTGCCAAACCCGATCGAAGGCCTTCGCAATGTCCAAACTAACGGCCAACGCCTCCACCTTGAACTCTACTGCCTCTATTTCACCCTGGTATTGCGAGCGTAGATTTCCCAGTCGTGCCGAACTATTCGTGTACAGCCATATTTCTACTATTGTGTTCTAATACCTACATACACAAATAATTAAATTCAAACTTACGGGGTAAGGTATCCCGCTCATCGCCCGATCCTGCAACTCTCTCGTAGTCCACAACGCGAGATCAGCCAGCCTCCTAACGTGTTCTGTCTCCTTGGTAGCTTTTTCACATTTAATCCTTTCAGTTTCCATCTCTGTCAGATTTCTAATCGGTGCCTCCAACGCCGATCGCCACGTTGTGTTAGAATTCCCTTCTGCTGAGTTCCGGTTTAAATCTCCTATCGCGGATGCACTGGAATTCAGTATTTGCAGCAAAGCAGGGTTTGTATTTAGGCCGGGTACCCAGCTTGAGTTTGAAGGAAGCGACTGTGACGTGTCGTTCCATTTCAGTCCAGGCACGACGGTCGTATTGATATTCTCGTCAAACTACGAATAAAAGTAAATTAGTTGTATCGATCTAGATTTCAGACTAGCGACCCGCCCCGGGTTGGCCTGGATAGGATCTAATAATGTAGCGTTATTTAGATTTAAGACAATCGAAGATAGTTTTTTTAGTTATTAGGATAAATTTTAGCCTAGATCATACCTGACATTGCTCTAGCTATTTGTGAAGTTGCATTACAATCGGTTCAGCCAATCTGAAGATTATCCCGGACAGAGAGATAAACACACAGACAAAAACATGCGTGAAAGTCGTGGAACACTCGGTTAGAACGAAGTTCCTTTCGTAGTATATTATTATTGATAAACGAGTTATATTATTGATTAAAAAATACATATAAATTAATTACTAGCGTCTATTAAAATGAAGCGTTATTTAAAATAAAATAATATTTTTTTCATGCCAAGATAAGAAAAAGTGCGAGGGAGATGGATATTATTCCATCTCGCTTCCTTATGGCCGCCAAGGCCGGCTACACTACGTCAGAAGGGATCGTGACGAAAGATCTTACACTTTTTCTCGCCTAGGCCCCATCCGCCAAATTCGTACCGTCCGATAAAGAAATTCGTTTCAAAAATTTGAAAATGGTTATTCATATGTTCTCGTAATGACATGTAAATATAACCCTATTAAGCTCATGTGGCAGTTATTTCGACACTACAGACAGACACGTATATGTATAGAGATGTATTAACAAATATCCACAGTTCCGTCCGTTAACCTTAGCATGGCGTTGTGGGCAACTAACTGTAACACTTTGATAATTAACAATGTCTCTACACGAGTGCTTTAGTGTTTATCTCGTATGGTAACTATCCTAAGTATTCATCTTATTACATTGAAACTTTGCCGAGTTGTTAGCTTTGCCTTGTTGTGCAGCGCTCGCAGTTTCTGGAAGAAAATGAATATTTTATTTGTTTGTTTGTTCCTTTAGCGTTTCATACTTTTCGTCGGATGACGATGAAACTTTGGTGAGTTGTAGAGTAATACCTACATACTCGTATATAAATAAAGTGTCTCTCTGTATCGAATATATCGAAATAACTGCCTTTTATCGAGCTCAGGGTGTTATTTACATGATATTAAGACATTACTTGATGAAAACCAGCGTAAAATACAGGCTTAACGATGCTGTGTTTCGTATGGTGAGTGTAGAGAACCGGAGATCCTTTTTACTGGCAAAGAGGCATTCCATCTTAGTCCTCACGGGTGACAACGCATCTGCATCTTGAGTCTTTATTGAGATAGATATAGATGTCTATGGGTCACAGTAACCACTTACCATCAGGTGGACTGTGTGCTCGTTTGTCACCAGATCCTATAAAAAAAAACTATTTTTTTTATTGTATTCCTTCAAACAAAGGAATACAATTGCCGGACTTAATGCCTAGAAGCATTCTCTATTCCATGGAGTGGTGGTAATTTGACGTAAGTGTAGCAATATAGAATAAAAACAAAATAAAAGTGAGAATTAAATACCTAATATATACATTTTACTAGTAAATAAACTATGGTAATATAACCTATATATATATATATAATTAGTACATACAAATAACGACGAATATCATAGGTCTGTTTAGTAATATACATGACTTGGATGTTTCATGTAAGAAGCGTTGTCTTTAATAGAATACGTACCGTAAAATGCTACAACTTTGCCAACTATGCCCAAGTTTGCCTATTTTGTTTCAAATACAATATTTCGCGTTTGATTAGTTGTTTCTTATTTTCTACCTTTTGGTAGTAGATTTCCATCATTAGGGCAACATATTTTTATTTTTTTATAATGGTAACTCGATTGTTCCACTGTCAGTTGTGCGACAAAAACCGGTGCGAGTATAGTGCCACCAACTTATCTGTTCAGGTGGACAAAATTGGAACTAAAACCGCCATTTTGTAAATGACATTTCGCTGTCAGCTATTATTTATTCTGAGCTATCAGGTGAGTGTTTTTAAAAAGTGTAAATAAATCTTAAAAGTGATGCGCGATAGATTACCCTTAAAGTTTTATCAATTATTATTATGAAAGAAGAGAAACGTGTAAAAGTCCCAACTATACCATTTGAAAACCTGTATGAAAGCATTGCTGCCGTGACAGGTTAGTATTGCCAGATATGGAAAATTAAAATCACCAAATAATGTACTTGTGAAACAGTAAAAAAAATATCTCAATTTACTGCAATTCATCTAAAGTACTTAACTTTGTAGTTTGTGCTGCTAATGTTCTAATGCCCCAATTAATTGAAGATTCATTTCATGAAATTACACCGGTTCAGTGGAAAAACATTTGTAATCATGTAAAAAAAAATTGAAAATGAATAAAGACTAAAAGACGTATTTAAATGAACCCTTTATTATAGAGGGTCAGAGAGATAGTGAAAGCGATTCCAGTGACTCAGGAGATGAATTTTTCGAACCAGTAGCTAACGCGGGTAAATTTTTCAAAACAGAAATTCCCAGAATTCGGCCGCTTGAACTCGGAGATCACGACCACAATTATTTTTATAAAATATAAATAATATATATTATAACACTAATTCTCACTAATTTTAATATATTAACACGTTATTTGTTTTATTTTATATTATGTGTAATGAATATGTAGTTACATATTTCCTCGGTAAATTTCTTAAATGGCAATAGTAAGCACTCCACTAGCGACGCTGTCAACTGAACAGATAAGTTGGTGGCACTATAGGTGAATTTTTTTTGGGGCCTACAACTTTTGCATTTTTAGCTATAGAAAAGGTGATTTAGTGCAGAAATAAAATCTCAGGGTAAGAAAATACTGTCCGTTATTTTTAATGTTTAATATTTCTATAATCAGGGCTCGATTTCATCAAAATAATTTAGTAGGCAATTTTGTGCACTGTTTTGAAAACTTGAGTCACACAACTTTGCCTGGGTCTAGGGATGTCCCTATTTGAATTTTATTAATGATATATATTTTTAATATGATTTCTTTCAATCTCTGTTTTCTCACTGCTGTGTAAATGCTTTCCTGACATTTAAACCGAATATATATTGTGACTTCAATATTGATTAAAAAGACACAAGGAATCTTGAGCCTTAATTTTAGGAACCAAGGACGACAAGACAAGGGCATTGACAATGGACAATTTACTAGTACATAGAGTACACACTTCGTAACACAAATCATCAGCGATTTTTCGACCGAATACTTTTAACAAAACGTATTTAGATAAATTCTTAGAAGCAGCCTAGAGTCTAGAATTATGCTCGGCATATGACAATACGGTACCAACTTACGACCACGACCGCCCTATCAAAAGTGTAACTGCTATGAAGATAGCAATAGGCATGCCGCTTATTACATGAGACTTTAAAATAATAAATGCCAAATATATAGTACCTACCTCTATGTTAGACGTTGCAGCGGATCTCGTGCGAAATAAATTTATTTCGTCATACGAAGCGGAGAAGCAGTTTGGGATCCCGCGTCGGACCATTCTCAATAAATCCAAAAACATTCATAACAAACCATTTGGACGACCCACAAAGTTATCAGCAGAGGAAGAAGCCCACATCGCAGACGTAGTGAAACTTTCTGCTGAATTTGGCTATCCTTTTACCATTTTAGATTTGCGCATTGTAGTTTACAACTACTTAGTAAAACGCGGAAAAGATTATCTTTTCAAAGGAAAAATGCCAGGTGAACCCGTGCTTTTTTACAACGTCACAATTTTTCCCAAAGGGCAACACAAAATATAAAAAGAAGTCGTGCTGCGAAAACAGTAGAGGAAATAAATGAATATTTCAAGAATCTTGAAACTTCACTAAAAGATGTTACTGCCAGCAATATTCTTAATTTCGATGAGACAAATTTAAGTGACGGCCCGGGGTCAAAAAAGTGTATTTTTAAAAGAGGAACAAAACACCCGATAAGGGTTATAAATGCAAGCGAAAGTGCAGTTTCAATAATGTTTAGCGAAACAGCTGATGGCAATTGTCTACCACCCTATGTGGTTTATAAGGCAGATCATTTGTGGTCCAGGTGGTGTGAGAATGGACCAAAAATGCTTGGTATAACCGAACCAAATCCGGATGGTTCGATATGGTATGTTTTGATAATTTTTAAGAGCATAGTTTTGCCATGGGCTAACTCTTTAGACGGCGTTAAACTTATCATCGGCGATAACTTGGCATCGCACCTAAGTGTCGAGACAATTCAAATATGTCAAAATAAAAACATCAGATTCGTTTTTCTTCCAAAAAATGTTACACACCTAACTCAGCTGCTAGATGTTTCATTTTTTGGACCAATGAAACGAATTTGGAGGGAAATTTTAACAAATTATAAAATTACATACAACACTGCAAACACAATCAACAAATGCCATTTCCCACAGCTACTGCAGGAGCTAATGACTAAAATAGACATTACAAAAGAAACCAACATACGTAAAGGATTTGAAGGATCTGGAATATTCCCTTTCAATCCCATGTTACCATGGCCGACCGAAAGCGAAACGAAGAGATTCGCAATATGGCAGGTTTGAAAGATGACCTTATCACAAAAATTGATAAGGGCGTGCTTCGGTGGTTTGGGCACGTTGAGCGAATGAGTGAAGACCGAATGGTGAAGAAAATATATAGCGCGAAAGTTAATATTAAAAGGTGTCGAGGTAGACCGAGACTAACTTTCGAAGACCATGTGAGCAAATTGCTCGAAGAGGGTAGGGTCAAAAGTACTCGGATACCTAGACGTGCATGCATGAAGAAGATAATGAATCTGAAAGAAGCGAAAGAGGTTTGTAAGGATCGTGACACTTGGCGATCTGTTCTCTCTGGCTACCCCTCAAGAGTGACATTAAAAATACCAACAGTACAAGAAGAAAATACTCGTCAGTTTGATGCCAGCCTTTTGGAGTTTTTACAGCAAAACAGACGATCACAGCTAATGAAAACAGGCAAAAACAGTTACCAGGTACAACTTACAGTTGTACTTGGTAAATCTATA